GCTTCCATGATTTCTTGAGTAACTTCAGTATCACCATTCAAAGCGAACATAGTTTTAATTGCATCATAAAACTTTCTCTTAATGATAACGTCGTTTTGAACAAATTTAATTTTCCAATTTCGCAATTGACTTCTCATTTGTACCATATCGTAAGCTTTTAAGCTCAGGTCAATATCTCGAGGTTGACTACCTTTATTTCTTTTACCTTTATCTTTATCTTTATTTTTATCTGGTTGATTAACAGGATTATCATCACCGTCCTCAGAATTCACAGAACCAGCCATGAAACAATAGTCATATTTAATAGTTGAATTTAACAGCAATCCTGCCGTGGTCGCCATTTGAAAGGTTATAATTCAGTTCGTTTACAAACGCAGAGCACAATTTAAACACAATTAAATTTAATCACAATTAAAGTTGAATTCAAACAGACTCAGAAGATTTATTCAGCCTTTCAAATCCTGAATATCAGGTTCTTTTAGGATCACTGAGTTTTCAAACTCTTAAATAAAACCAAAGTCAAACAAAAGGTACAATTACTAAGCAAGGATTAGTAAAGGGTAAAAACCACAACTGGTCAACAGGAATGTCTCTGGACAAGAATTAGAAATAGTCTAAACTGGTTTTGAACAGTAACTCAGCTTATAAGCTTGACCTCTTATCTCGTTGATTAGCTTTAGAAAGCGATGAAACTAGAGTTGAAATGAGTTTCCAAACTCTAACCAAAAGAGACTAAAACACGAGAAGTTGAATTCGATGATTATTATCAGCACTATCAGGAACAGTTCAAGAGCTGTGATTTCAAGCATCACTTGAAGGACTCATTTAGATGAATTAGACTATAGTCTTAGGCACAAATTCAAGAAGATTAGAAGCACAATTTAGAAAACTCAGAGATATTTTATTACACCAAAAGTAAACCCAAATTTAGAGAAAATTGATGAAGATGAAGAATGGTTTATAAACCAACATTTGAAAACACTTATATTTTTAGATTCAGTTCGATTCTGTTGATTGACAATATTAAAACTAGGATATTTTCACTGTACTTAATCAAAGACATAAAAAGAGATAATTAAACCCAATTAAAGGAACCCCTTATATACGTTAATAAACGGAAGGAAAAGAACAAAAGAAAAAGGAAAAGGAATAATTGTGTAAGCTTAGAAGCTATGGACAACTATCTCTGTGACAACAGTAAACAATCTTATGATGTCATTGTTAGGGATAATTACAAAATTACAAAACCAAAATTTATGTTTTTAAACAAAGATAAGCTTACAAGCTAAACAAAATGAAATCAAAGATTAAATGAAAGAATGATTATTATCAAATGATTATGATTGGGATTGATTTTGGGCAACTCTACCCTTCAATTGTAATTATTCAATGTACCAGTTTATATGAATAGTTAATTGTTTTTTAATCATAATCATAAAGTGTGCATTGAAACGATTTTCATATTTCATCAATTCTAACTAGTCAGTTATTGTAACGATTGTCGAACAAGTTCAACAATGAACTGATTCAAAACTAGACTCTTTTGTTTTGATACTGTGCCTGATGCCTTGCATCAATAAGATTTGCATCACTTTTTAACCTCATTCAGGTTCTGTATTTCACTTGTTTTTCATGAAAATGCCTTCCATCAACATGCAGCAGCGTTTTGTGCGAAATGAACAGTTGAAACATTATCCAAAAGTATCCATTGACTCGATTCCTTCCAAATTTCAGTTGATCATTTCATCAACAAGCAATATGTTTGAAAAGTGTCTTTTCGCTGTAACCATTATTTTAGCAAACTTGATACATTGCCGTGCTTTAATGTACATTTCTCTATATTCAGTTTGTGCAGTCACACACGTAATTTTGTGTTTCTTTTGCATGGAAATTGGATGTTCTTCGTATTTTATTGCAGATATAATCATAGCCTCATGCAACAAATTGATGATCATTGGGATAGCTTGCAAAGTCATTTAGCATAGCCTTATGTTAATGAATGATTTGGCATTTACACCTGCAGCTATCGCAATTCATACTAAATCTCAAGAAACTCTTGCCACTGTGTACAAATTATCCCTGCAAACAGACTCGATGCGACTTCTCAATGAGGTTGGTGTTTTCACCTGGTAATTGGGGACCATTTTCATCTTAAAGTCGTCTTCGATTAAACCCATCTTTAGTCAATTTTCCCTCAATAGAGCAAACTTCAGGTCAAACTAACATTATTTATTTTTACAAACGTTATTCAACGCTTTATTCATTATTTGAGTGAATCGTTTTTCAATCATAATTATTTTATATTATTCAAAAAAGTATTCATTGAAATACAAAATATCAATATTTAATTAATTTTGTTGTAACGGTTTAAACATAGTTAACATGATTAACACTGGATCAATCAAAACTAGATTCTATTTTTTCTACACTGAGACTGGTTCCTTGTATTCATGAGATTTAAATGATTTTATAACACTCATTTTACTTGTTTCATGATAATGACTTCCATCAATATGCAGCAATGTTTTGTGCGAAATGAACAGTTGAAACATTATCCGAAAGTATCCATCGACTCGATTCAATCCAGATATCTATTGATGATTTCATCGACAAGCAACATCTACGGAAAGTGTCTATTTGTATTTATCATGTTCATAATCAACTTGGTTCATTGTCGTGCTTTACTGTTCATTTCTTTAGATTCAATGTTTTCAGTTAAATTTGGAACTTTTCTCTTTGTTTTGGTTGTAAATGTGAACCCAATTCTATTTTATTACAGGTATAATCATAAACTTGTTAAACAAATTGAAAATCATTGGAATGGGCTGCAAATCGATTACGATTATGAGACGAGAAAATATTTTTGGACTCGTAAAGTCATTTACCGTTGGTTGGTATATTCCTCTTACATACTTTTGTACATTTTTAAATATTGTTATTTGATTTATACGTTGAGTGATCAAGACACGAGCAAACAGTCGATCGGAAATGTTATATTTCCCTTTTTATTGTTGATTCTTGCTCTAATAACTATTTTTATTCATTTTTGTCACAGTTGTATTCATTGGGATTTATCGCTGTTAGCACAAACAGCAGTTCAATTCAATTTAATTAAATTGAAGAAACTCTTAAACGAATCAAGAAAAGATCAGAAATCGTTAAACGTAGATGCAATTCAAAGCATTCGACATAAATATCTTTTAATTTGTCGTTTAGTTTACAAAATAGATGAAATCATGAGTCCTAGTCTGTTTGCGATGTTCACTCATTTCTTAGCATATGCTTGTAATTTATCTTATTCATTAATTTACAATGAAGAGAATCAATTGACTAAATGGTATAATGTCATTCTGACTAGTTTCATATTGATAATAAGTTTGGTATCTACATATGTGAATGTTAGAATTCATGAAAAATCTCTTGAATCGCTAGCCATTGTGTATAAATTATCATTGAGGACAGATTCGATTCGGATTCTCAATGAGGTTGGTGTTTTCATTTATGATTGCATTCAATTCGATTCCAAGTTAATTACAAATTATTTTCTGTTTTTCTTTTAGATTTTGTTATTTCTCAATCACAACGAAATTGGATTTACATTCGGAGGAATGTTCATGTTAACGCTTTCTTCCCTATCGACATTGTTCAGTATCTTGACCACTAACCTGTGGGAAGAAATTATGTTACAAATTCTTGTAAATGAATTATCTTCTTTGTTTTTCATTCAATTGATTTGATTTTTTTGCTGAAGTTAGGTTGAGGTTAGAGGTTTACTCGGAAAAAGTTAATCTCTTCGAAAACTTCTTAATCCGCCTTAAATTTAAGATTTTTCATGATGCGCTCGAGAAAAGCAAAACCAAATTTTTTGCCGTTATTTTTAATTTTGTTAATGATTTGTTGAAAATTGTTTTAGCAAAATCTAGTGAAACAAACTTTAACTTAAAACAGACTTCTAAAAGTATCAACTGTCTCAATTCAGGAACTTTATGATTTAAGAAACGGCCTGAATTTTAAGATCAAAAATGTCTGGCACAATTCCGCTAAATAATCTGAGGATTTAAGACCAGTCCGAAAAATTCGTATATGTCTAATAACTTTTGAACCAAAGTGCGGATTAACTTCAGATTTGGATCAAGTATTGTTCAAAGTTAGATCCTCATTTCATGAAAATTTCAGCCTTCTAACCCTAAAATTAAGCATGGATTTAATTAAACTATTTGTAACATAATTTCTTCCCACAGGTTATCATCATCGCTTTACCATCATTCGCTAGCTATCAATAAAACCAGTCATATTTGCGAAACTCTGGTACAATTTAGGTTAGGCACAAATTTATGACACTTTATGATGCTTAGTCCATTAAAAGAAACAAATTCAGTTTGAATTATTCAATACAAAAGCTTTTCATGTTAATTGTATTTTTAATCGTAATTATTCAATGTACAAGTTTACATATAAAGTTAATCGTTTTTTAATCATAAAGTATCCAATGAAATATAAAATATACATATTTAATTTATTTAGTTGCATAGAAATTGGATGTACTTCGTATTTTATCATATATAATCATAACCTAATGAAACAAATTGATGATCATTGGGATAGCTTACAAATCGATTTCGATTACACTTTAGTCAATGCTATTGAGAAACCAAAATTGTGGACTTCATTTACAGAGTACCTTTAGCTAATTGATTGGTATAAGCTTCAAAGATCTAATGCACGAGTGTCTTTGGTTAGTTTATTATTCGCAATCACTTTTGCTTAATTTTCGGTGGAAAAAATCCACCGCTAATAAATGCTGTTTCAAAACAAACTTTATTTTTAAAGGTAAGAGTTTTTCGCCTAAAACTCTGCCACGAATTTGGTTTATTTTGTATTCTTAGTTTTGAATGATCACAGACAAACTACATCATCAACTACGTTTTTGGGTAAAGATGAAGAAACCGGAAAAGTGAAAAATTGGGATGACTTCCAAAAAAGTCAAACAATATTCTATTTTGGTTTATTCCAGTTGCTCAGCTTAACGAGGTATACCAATTCAAATCACTTGATTTCTGTGTAATTCAACATTCTTCTAAATTGTAACCTTTGTTATCGAACCCTAACTACTTGATCAGGTAAGCCAATTTTAAATCACAAACTTAATTATAACTAAAGTTAAACACTGAATACTTAAAATTGCGATTCAGTTTAAACATAACAACCATAGAGTTTAGTACAATTTTGATGATCAGTTCAATAGAAATACATTTATTTGTATTCGCTTGCAAGTTTTTCACTGATTACTTCAACTCATTCGTATTAATATACACCAATTTCATGTGATTAAAGTGACAGCAATTTATTTCTATCAATTTTTCTAAGCAGTAATAAATGAAGGATTCACTTGAGCAATCTTTACAAAAAATGGTCAAGGAAAAGCAAGAAGCTGATGAACGAGTGAAGGCAGCTGAAGATGAAGCCAGGATCGCTCTTGAACGAGTAGCCAGTGTAAGTACAATAAATATCTAAATAGATTCGAAGGCTTCGATCAAAACAAATGACTTTTAACTGTTTCGTGTTTTAGGCTGAAGATGCAGCTAAATCTTTGAGGGGTCGGTTAGAAGCCATGGAAAGGAAATTGGCTGAAGCAAAGGAGACGCAGCTTAAGACAATTGAAGAGATTGAAAGCAAGACTAGTCGACTTGAAATCGTAAATATTTAACTAAATATCTTTTCATTTTTATGTAAATTGTGAATAACCAATCAACTAATAACCCAATCTTTTATGCACTTCATAGATTCAATCCCAAACTGTTAACCTAAACTCAGCTATCAAAATGCTTGAAGAAAAATCAGAGAGTCTGAAGAAAGCTCAAAAAGAGGTAAATCCGAGTGACTTTTATTTCAATAGTTGACCATTTAAGTAATGCCTTGAATTTTGATTATATTTCAGTTAATGGCTTTGGGAGAGAAAATGGATGTTAATGAAGCAGAAAAAGAAAAGAAATTTGCTGAATTAGAAGCTGAAATCACTCGAACTCGTGAGCTGAGCATCAAACGAGAACAAGAAATGGCCTCCAAATTGGAATTGTTGAATCAAAAATCGGAAAAATTGAGACAATTGAATGCTAAACAGACTAAAAATGAATAACTTTTATGTTTATAGTTTTAATAAAAGCAACTCAATGTGTAATTAAACTGATTTAGCAAATGATTGGTGTTTGTCCATTTTCTGACTCAAGACCGATGGTTTCAATTTGAACACTAATTCAGACAAGAATCGTGAAAACACACAAAACAAATAACCTGTAAGATCAAGAGTCTTCGAGATTTATCACAGTTGTTTTGTTATTTTATAGCCATCTTAATGAGTAATGTTGATGTTTGTCTAGATTTCACTGAAAATGAATGATATGTCAATGATATTTGAAAACACGTATCCGCGCAATAAGACATATCTGGATGAGTTGTTTCACTACTTAATTGCAGAGCTTAAATTGTTTGTCAACCATCTGAATAGTTAAGAATCTGGTTGATTATATTATCACAGCGACTAGTTATCTGTTATATGGAGTTGTTCAGATGTTCATGTAATCGATAAATAAAGATCACTCTTTTCCTCTATGTTTCCTCTTTCTCTCCACTCTGTTGCAGTCTTTACTTTCCTCTCTGTCTACCTTTCTTGCTTTCTTTCAATCTCCCCGAAGCCAGACTCTATGAGTAAAGTCACTTTCTAGTTCATTTTCATCCTTTCTTTTTTCAATCTTTTCAATTAATCACATTTTCAACTCTTTTTATATACATTAAAGTAGCATTAATTTCAAATTATAATGAATTACATCTAACAACAACCATCCACTGGCCTGTTTTGGATTGTACAATATCTTATAACATTGGAAACATAAGTGCAACATCACACCAAGGTAATTATGATCCGTTTCCTAATTCAGACAATTTTAACCTCCTCTTTCACCTTATTCACCATCCATGTTCACAGTCTTTGTCCTCTTGTGCTTTATTCACTAGTCAAAAGCAACGGTCAATAGTCCCTTCAATACGAGAACCGATAAAGAGTCCTCTGATTGTAGAGGCTTCTTAATTTGTCCAGTCCATTGACATCCTTTGATATTACAATCCATTTTGTGCAATTGTCTTCCTTTAACCACTGACACTGTATTTGTCTCGTAAAGTACAGCACCCAATTCATATGCTAACATTGAATCCACCAAATTTACTTACACGATGCAAAGTGATCGAGTGATAGTGATCAGTGAGAAGCAGTCAGATGAAAATCCCAGCTCTTGTAGTCCGTGAAAGAATTGGAAATGCCATGCTATTGTCTAGCTTCATCCGTTGGATATAATGTCGATTATGACAATTTGATAGCACTAAAGATCCTCAACCGATTCCAGAATTTAAATAAAACAGAGTCAGAAATATTAGAAAACCGTTTTTCACATTATGGTTTTGGACAACACTCTGGTCGATAGATGAATGATTTGCATACTTATCAAGCCGATATTTTGCTCATCTGAATTGTTGAAGACTCAGCATCCTCAGATGTTATTGCCAATAGCGTTCATATTGCTGAATTTGTTGTCAATACCTAATCAAATTAAATGAAAAATGAAATTTTATGTTGTTATGTGTTTATTAGGTAGCTTAATAGTTGAGGTTGCTTTTGTAAACGCAATCCCGGTGAATAATTCTGGTTTCACAATTTGTCATTTTGTATTATTTAAGATGTTTTTATTAGATTTAGATTGGTTTTTTGATTGTTCAAGGATTGTTCAAGGATTGAAATGTTAATTTGAATTGAATTTTGAATGTTTTCAGTAGCTACTGCCATCTATTTGTAGTAAAAATAGTTATAAGGTGCTCGAAAGGGGGATGAGTTGAAATCAGTTCAAGCTGTAAATGATACCATTCGAAGCTTTTAATGTTCAGTTGACTTGTGATTAGAACTTGAAATTAAAATACTTATTTGAATTGTTTACTTTTATCCTCATCCATTATTGACCATTTTTCGTGTTTTATTTATTTTAGTTGGTACACACTAATATTGGATTGCCTGTTATATTGTGAAAAGTGAAAAATATATCTTTTTCCACATCTTATAATCAAACCTCCTTATGGTTAATTTTTGTGGAGCAAGCCATCTTGTGATATCTTGATTTTCATTTATGTCAACCACTTCGCTTGATTTAACATCCAATTTAACCAATGAAGAAAAAACTGGATACGATGAGATAATTGAAAAATTGTTTCCCAAATGTCGCCCTCGGTCTGATGGCAGTAATGCAAGTAGCAATGGTGGTAAAAGAACATCAACCCATGAGAAGGATGACTTAAGAGGGAATGGTAATCATTATTCTTACCAATCTTCTAACCACCATCATTCACAAAATCTTCAGCCTCACCATCAGCATCATCAGCTGCATCCATCGGTAAGATTTAAATCCACCCGACAGAGTTACCCGAATATATTACACTATTGAGACGACACATCAACATTTAAGATTTTTCCAACATATTTAATACAAACATGCATAAATTATCTTAAAACTTAAACATTTTAAACTTGAACTATTGTGTTTATGCCGATATTTTTATGAGACATTCCTAGACTGAATCATTAGATGCCAAAACATACGCAATTGGTGAAGTAATCATTCATGAGAATTTGGTTATACAGACTGACACGGCTGACTACTCATTTTGCTTGTGTAAACAAACCGAACTTGGATTCAGCATTTGAATGATTTTTATTGATCTACTTTAGGCCTGACATACTCTGTATTTAAACAAACCGTATTTTCATGCATAAAAACGGCAGTTCAAGCAGTGATAGTCCTATCTTAAGCTACAAATCAAGAGCCAATATTTCTTTTCCTTTTTTTCAAATTATCTTTTGTTTTTCAGGATAATTATGAAAATCTTAAATTTTTGAAAGGTCATTTTTCAATGAAATTCAAGATTGATTTTTCGATGCAGCACAGTTTCTAAATATTATTGCTTGGCTCATTGATTTTGAATATACTTGAAATTTGATTGTTCACAAATCAATCGATTGGCGAAAACTTATCGCTAAATTTCCCTCGACTGTATAATTTTACTCTTTATTTACCTTACTTTTTTATCTTTTACAGAGACGTAGACGATCAACTGGTGGAAATGACGAAGATACAGGACAAGATTTACTAACTGTCGACGACCCTGAACCATTGGTTCATATCGAATGTGATTCATACTCAGACCGTTGCCCGCCACCTCCACATCGTGTCTCTTCTGCAACCTCTTTACCTATTCTTTACAATTCTAGTCAACAACCGCAATCATCTCTAACATTTAATAAGTCAACCATCGGATATTGTACCGGTCAGCTAACAGCTATACCAGGTACATGCAAAAGACAGCAAACTTCTGAGGAACCTCAAAATCTTTCGATTAGCAATAAAATAGCATCTAACAATAATTGTAACAGTCTTAATAGCAATGCTTCTTCTAGTGATCAAGATAGTCCCGAAGAAGATCAAATTATTATTGGTAATGTGCCCATAGCCAAATATACTGGATCACCTCGTCGTTATGGACCCAAACTTCCTTTGGTAACAGAGCAAGCAGATGAAAAGGAAACAGACGACATTAGTTCACCTAGTAAAAAGCTTTTACATCCATCTCCATTATTATCTGCAAGACTGATTGGACCTAATAAAAATGATTGCTTTTCTACGGGTAACTCAAATCTTTATAATAACTTGGCTCGTGCTAATGAATCTTATGAGAATGATTCATTTCCACCCCATCATTTTTCACTATCCCCCGAGATTACCGATGGAGACAGCAATGATATTGAAAGTGAATTTTCAATTGGTGAAGGAAGTTTACATTCCCTTTCTCGAAGTAACATGATGCCTATTCTCGAAGATGGTCTCTCCAGTGGTATACCTTCCAGTGATAACGAATTAGATGATGACTTTGATGAAACTTCTCTACCCAATGAAACAATACCAACAACGTCAACCATAACAGCAGCAGTAACATCTTCTTTGGCACCAACAACAACAGCCACAAATTTACCTGTTTCAACAACAACACAATCTGCCAATCATTCAAATCAGGTCGTTAAACGAGAGAAGGAGTCTTTATTGGGTATTAAAGAGACTTTAATCGATTGCATTCAAGAACGAGTTGCTTATGAAGAGATACACAATTGTCAAAGTTCAAACAATTTACCTTTAGAGAAACAAATTCAACATGGATACCCAACATATCATCCAACAACTGGTAAGCTTTCCTTTTCTCCACTTTAACAGTAATTAACTTGATTATTATTTTCTCTCTTTCTCCTTTTTCTTTCTATCTGCTTCTCTTTTTTCTCTGTTTTCCCAACATTCTTTGCGCACCTTTTCTCATCCCTGCAATCTAACCTTTTGTTTTCATTTCAACCACCTTTCGCCTCAACTTATTTTTTCACTTTTCCATTCCAGATAATTCTCATCCTGAACGTTTAAAAGAGCCAATAGACATGTATGATAAATCTATGGAAGTCCGACAACCTATGGAACAACACAGGCAAAACTTTCGGCGAACTCGATCTCTACAATTAGACCAAAGCAATGGACAAAACTTTGGCTCCACAGTGAATAGTTCAGTCTCTGAATCCAATTTTGAAGCTAGGTAAGTCAGAAAAAAAAGAGAAAAATAATCTCTCCATTGGATGTAAACATAAACCCCTTAGAACCTTAAAAGCTTAAACCTTTCTCATTTTTCCTGTTCATCTCACAATAACTCATGGCTTGTTTATACTCATTAATGGCTAAATTTATTTTCATAATGGCTTCCAACAAGTCCAAAATTTCCCCCTTTACATTAAACTCTCCTTTTTTTATTTGGTTTGATCACCTCCTCCGACCTTGTCTTTACCCCCTCTCCAATTGTTAATTAAACTTTTGATTGGTATGTTTTTAACCTATCGAGTGCGTTAAGCTTCATATTGATTTTTTTCACTTTTTGTTTCTCACTCAGCCACTTACTTACACACTAACTCACTCATTCTCACCTTCCTTTCCTTTATTCCCTTTTCTCATCTCTAAACTTTTGCTTCTTTTTCTTTTCTACATTCTTGTAGATATGAACAAGACCATGGCTCATCTCGAAAGATATCCAATTTAAATCAGCCTAAATCATCGTTTGAATCAAAAGAAAACTCCAAAATGAATGAACATTCAACCCATTCTCATCTTGATGAAGGTATGTCAAGAGTCAAATTTTACTCTTTTTTTGTTTGCTTTTTTTTCTCTCTATTAACCTTTCATTCTTTTTCTTTCAGAATCTGATACTGATCAAGAAACTGATCGCCTTTTAGGAGCACAAAGAATCGAAGAGAAAAATAACTTTGATGAAAAGGTAAGCCTTTTTTGTTTACTGTCATTTGATAATTCACGTAAATAACCGCTCTTTTGAGCCAGCTACAGTTTTTGAGTTTTTTTCAACAATTATTTTCTTAAGTGTTGTAATTAGTGATTTACCTTGCATATAAAGTCAAGTATCAATCCTGTTTCTCTCCAAATTTCAGTATAAACGCCAAGTCTCCCAATTTTTTCCTTCAGATGTTCATGACCTTTTCTTTTTTTCTGTTTCAAGTGTATTGAAAGCTCTGTTTTTTCACATGCTGTTTCAGCAAAAAATGTGTTTCATTTTTTAATATCAGTAAATTGCTTCCATAATTTACATACTAATTTTTTGTCTTGTACAAAACACTTGTACAATTATCATCAATATCACATTTGCAAAAATCTCTCACCTTTGAACTGATTTTTAGTTAACCGTTCAAGTAACTTTATCTGTAGATAAAGTTTGTTTATTTTTTTTACCTCAAATGATTAATGAACTTATATTTGATAATTTTGGTTCCCACATTAAAATTATCATCGTCCAAGTTTCAACAGTTTCTTTTCAATTTCATTTTCTGTAAAAATTTAATTTAACTTTTTCATTTTCCGAATGATCTTTAAGTGTTTCAATCAAATTCAATAAAACATTAACTCACTCTTTCTTTTATCTCGTTCCAGAATAATGGTTACATAAGGAAAAAGAATAGTCCTCGAGAAAGTGAGTTAATAAAATCAAGAATATTTAAGAAACTTTTTATTTAATTTAAACCTTCAAAATAACTTAATAATTTGTTTCCTTTTTTTCAGCCCTTATTGAAGGAGTTTTGTTCCGAGCTCGTTACCTTGGGTCAACCCAATTAATATGCAATGGACAGCCTACCAAAGCAACTCGAATGATGCAAGCTGAAGAAGCAGTTTCACGAATTAAGGTGAGACTTGAAGCCATCTTTACCCTTATTATTAATGGCTCATATCCGCGACCAAAGTTCCGTCGATCTGTTAATTGATTGTCTCCGTTTATCCAGTTTTTGCATTAAACTGGTAAACTAGTAACTTGATCTTATCTTTGTTTACATTTTGTCTTTTCGGCGGAGCTGTTTTTTTGAAACACATTGTCCGGAAATGAACCAAAATTTGTTTTCCTTTTGTATCTAATGCATTGAAAAAAATCATGTTAACTTCATTGATGCTTAAATGCTGCCCTTTCTCTTTATGCTTTCCAAAAATGCTCATTTTTAACAGTCATTGGTAAGAATTATTGACTAACTATTTTCCATCAGCGCTCCAATTCAATCTTGACAATCTAATTAATGTCTTTTATCATTCTTATAACAGGCTCCGGATGGCGAATCTCAACCTAGCACTGAGGTGGATCTATTCATTTCTACCGAAAAAATAATGGTTCTAAATACAGACTTAAAGGTGATTATTTTCATTCAACAATTGTGATTTATCAATATTTGAATTGATTTTTTGTAGAAGCATTTACTAATAAGAATTTTGTTTCATTTGTAGGAAATAATGATGGACCATGCATTGCGGACAATATCTTATATCGCTGACATTGGTGATCTTTTAGTCTTAATGACGCGACGACGGGTCGTCAATCCTTCAGAAGATTCTAATGACCATAAAATGAAACGTATTCCAAGAATGATATGCCATGTCTTCGAGTCAGAAGAAGCCCAATTTATTGCTCAATCAATTGGACAAGCGTTTCAAGTTGCCTATATGGAATTTCTGAAGGCCAATGGAATTGAAGATAGCAGTTTTGTAAAAGAAATGGATTACCAGGAAGTTTTAAATTCACAAGAAATTTTTGGAAATGAGTTAGAAATGTTTGCAAAAAAAGATAGGCAAAAAGAAGTAGGTTGAGCAAAATAGTGCAACATTACAAATAATAATTAATTTCTGTTTTTCAATATTTTTATCTAATGTTATCTTTAAATTTTCCAATTTAGATTATAATTCCAAAGCAAAAAGGCGAAATTCTAGGTATAGTTATTGTAGAATCTGGTTGGGGATCGATGCTACCTACTGTTGTTATCGCCAATATGACTCCTCAAGGTCCTGCTGCGCGATGTGGACAAATTAATATAGGGGATCAAATAATCGGTAATTAAGTGTGATAACATCTAGTTTTTTAACAATTTAACTTAACATTACTTCTCTCCTTAACCAGCAATCAATGGAATCAGTCTTGTTGGACTGCCTTTGTCAACTTGTCAAAGTTACATTAAAGTAAGTTGAACATTTGTCTTCAATACAATTTGGTCAAAACAAAATTTAATTTAATTTTCTTTTATCTTCACAGAATACCAAAAATCAGACAGCAGTGAAAATGACTCTGGTGCCTTGTGCACCGGTTGTAGAGGTTAAAATAAAAAGACCTGACACAAAATATCAATTAGGTTTTAGTGTTCAAAATGGAGTGGTAAGTTCATATTCTAAATCAATTGAGTTATCTCTTTTTTCTCAAAACATTTTTCTCTTTTATATTTCAGATTTGCAGTCTTTTACGTGGAGGTATTGCGGAAAGAGGAGGTGTTCGTGTAGGTCATCGTATAATTGAAATTAACGGACAAAGTGTCGTTGCTGTACCACATGAACGTATCGTAAATTTATTGGCAACTTCCGTTGGAGAGGTATTTTTGCTTTTCGCTTTTCTGTCTAAATTTGAGTTAAATTATATTCAATTACATTTTTTGTTGTTTCTCTCTTTCACAGATTGCGATGAAAACAATGCCTACTTCAATGTACCGTCTTTTAACTGGCCAGGAATCACCAGCTTACATATAAACAATTTTTTCAACTAACTATGTATCTTAATGTTTACCCAAAAATTATATTCTCGTATAATTGAGGATCTTGTGCCTTTGATCTCTGGCTGATGATGGAAGGTGTTAAACAAATTTATAAATAATTTACCATCAACACATTTCCTCTCTATTGAACTATTCAACTCTTCTTTTACCTGCAATCACTTTGCCATTATTTTCTGGCTAAATTGGTCTGCTATACAGTCAAGATCCTCAGATTTTCAACTATATTTTCATAGTTAATTGGGATTAACTTTCACATAAATTATTTCCAAAAAGCAAACATTTCACGTTTATTTTGGCCTCACCTTTAAATAGACCCGACTTTAATATTAATAATTGTTTTAATAAAAATATCGTCCAAAAAACTCGTGAAATCTTAAAGGCGATTCACCTCTGGATTACTAAATCATTGGTCTTGACTACCTTTCATACTGATCATCATTATCGTTATCAAAAACCATCTTCACATCCATATAAAACACCATCATCATCATCATAATCATCATCAACGTCAATGAAATTTATGTATGTAGAGACGACCATTTTGAATTTGAGTTGTCAAGAACGATACTTTTTAGTCATTTTCATTCCCAATTTTTATTTTAGACATTAATCAAACTTAAATGTATCAAATTAATCTGGATTAGGTAATCATAATTAGTCCTATTGATTGAAACAATTTGTTTACAAGCGAAAGTAACTTTTAAGTTAAACAAAATCAACATGATATCAGAAAGATAACCTTAAAGGTTCAGTTTGCTTTGTTTTGTCTTTGTAAATTGTCAATATATCTCTCATCTTGTAAGTGACCTGCTGATTGTGATTAAAGATGATCTCATTTTTTACTAAACAATTCAATTTTGCATTTCTTCATTGAACAAAAATCCATTCAAATGAATCTCTAGATCAAGAAACAATGAAACAACATTTCATTATAATGGTGATTACATTCACTTGACAATTGTCAAAAATCTTGGCCTTAAATACATTCAGATTTAGTGAAACCAATCAATTTGATTGAGATTTAGTTGACTTTGATTGCTTTTTGATGATAAGAAAAAACAGGAATTGAAAAGACAGTTTTCTGCTTAATTACATGTCTAATAATCAACCTTGACCAAGTGCCTTAATTATTTAAATAATCAACATTGAGATTAAAATTCTCAAATTGATAAACCTTTTGTATTCGTCAAATGAATCATTGAAAATAATCAAAGTCTATGTTAGAATTATTTGTTTCTGCTGATAAATCAGGATTTCAATCGATGATTATGACTGACGTTGAAGTTTTATCATTTTCATGATAAATTATCTTTCAATTCAACGGTTAAATGTTGTCTAAGGAGACAGAATTATCAAATTGTAACCAACTATCAAAGGTTGAAACACTTTGACGACTCAATCCTTGAGGTTATGAATCCTAGATTCAAGTTGAGTTCAGTGTTTGACTTAATTCTTCGACATTTTATTTTGATTTAAATTAATATAATTTCTTTAATGGTAAGGAAACGAATTTCCTGTTGATGAAAACTAATTGTTATCAAATTGAAACTCGGAAGATAATTAGGACGAGTCGTTGAAAATACATTTACCAACGAGTAAACAATTGTCATTGCTTAAGGTTTATAATTGTTGTTCAAGAAATACATCAACATCAGAGGCAAATGATGACGATCATGATTGCCTGTCAAGTCTAAATCAAGATAAGTTTTTAACTAATTAACTTGTGTGCTTTTGATTACCAAAGAGTAGATATTGACAATCTATATTACAATGAGGCAGTTTGGTGATGAGACAAAAAAATAACACTAACAGCGATGAAAGTCAAAGATGAATTGAAGATGAAGTCTATTAATCAAAATGGTGATATTATTGGCAAATGAGCACACACAATTGATTTGTATGAAAGTAATAACCACTTGCCTTGTACGGTGATTTACAAGAATTTATACTCTTCCATTTGTGTATCAACAATTAACTTCCTTTCATCAGACACTTTTCCTTCCATCTTTTTTGCACATTTTCACAATCTCTACAATATTATTGAAAAAAGGCTTCAATTATTTTCTTTTTCTTTCTACCTCCAATATAAGAGACACCAAAGAGTAAATATCATCTTGATCAGTCTTTGTAAATAACATATCTTTTCCTTTACATGATTAAATGTAACTGAACTAAACAGGGAAACAACCAGCCATCACCAATTATCACCAAGGTAAGTATCAAATAATCATTGGGTTGATTCACAAGAAAATCCATTTGAAAAAGACGAGTCCATTTCCAGATTACCTCCAGTTTATGTTGTCTGAAAAATCAAATGTTGAAGATGTTTCAATAACCAGATGTGACCATTCAATAGATCCAAGAAGAGTTCAAACAGCCCTGAAAAATTACTCATTTCAAGATTAAAATTTGAGAATTATGAGATTCTGATGAAGCGCCCCCCTTAGTCTTTTAGGAGTTACAGAGGAAGCTCTGTAGCAAACAAAATAACGCCATCTGAAGTCTAATCCGTAATTTACAGATTTTACGTTGAAAGTGTCAATTTTGCGCTAATCTGGATTGTTAGGGATAAAGATTAAGATTACTTAGAGTAATAAAGCTAATTCCTTAAATGTTGAAGTTTTTAAAGCGACAAAAAAAGTGAAGGAAAAGATCAGCTTCATGAGAAAGTTTCACTTGATTTAATAGATTGAATTGCTCTCTCTTCTTCCTTTACTCTTTGGACAGGGATGACTGTACTTCACTTGTTCCTCACTTTTCTTGTCTCTCTCTTTTTCTCTCTCACTATTTTTTTGTGTGCTGTGCAGTGCTATTCATTCAATTATGATTAAATTAATTTAACTGTGGCTGTTATTGAGTCCATTAAAATTTTTGGATTACATCTTACCCACTCCATTGGAGATCTTGGTTTATTTTATTTGTTATCATTTTAGGTAAATAACAATCTCAATTTTGTTTTCAATATGAATCCTTTTCTGTCTTTTCCTTCTCCTTACGCTTCTCTTAATGTTCATTGCTTCTCTTATTTTTTTTCAATTTCATTCCTCTCTTTATTGCATCTCGCTTTTTTCACTCACACTCAAATCATATCTTTTTTTTCGTCTTCAATGATCATTATTGTTGTTATCACATCATCCTTTTTTTTCAATGTTTGACGATTTTGTTAATAGCTTCATCTTCGTTAATCTTAATAATTGTTTTTCACTTTGTTTTTTTTCCTGTGATCCCCAATCTTAGCAATTTTACATTGTTGTTACTCTGAGAGAATCTTCCTCTTCTTCATCTCTCTTTCTTCCTCTCAAACTACTCTTTACTCCTTGTTGTTATTGTTGGTTAATTTTTTATATTCACCTTTCCTTTCTGGACCAGTGTTCTCTGAAGGACCATATAAATATATCTTCAAAAATCATTTCAACACTCATACTTCAACATGGCCAAAGCTGGACAAGGACAAACTTTGAATGATAGGTTAAATGCAGCCAGATATGCTCTTGCTGGTCAAGGATTAGCTCGAGTTGTGTGTAAAGCGACTACAGAAGAAGTTATCGGACCCAAAAAGAAGCATTTAGACTGTAAGTCAACTCAGCTTTCTTTGGAATCTTCTCATCGGAAATTGAAACATCTCTTTTTATGAAAAAAAACCTGTTCAGTGGTAAACAGTGGATCAAGAAGTATAACAGTTAAAGGCCAAAGGGTTAAAACTCTAGTTGTATTGAACAAATCCTCTTTTATACTCTCTGTGCATGTCAACCTTTGTGGTGCTTGCACAGCAACCTTCCTGTTATTTTTTCACCAATCCTTTAGGTTTCCTACTTGTCAGAATGGGGTTGCTGGATTCTCATAATCCGCTCAGTGGTAGTGTTTGGGTATCTTAATTTCTTAAGCTCTCATTAACATGAGAAAATTTAATCTAATAGTCTTACAGATTCATATTAAAACAATTACATGAGTGTCAATTTGAAGTTAATAGCCTTAATTGTTCTACTATTATTTTGACAAAACAAGCCTGCTTGCTCTGTAACATAATATTTACAGCCAGTATAGCAAAATAGCAAAATTTTTTATGTGAATTAGGTTATTTAGCACCGGTTTCACTGCTGCTGCTGTTTAATAATTATCTTCTTGTGCTACCATTTTTTTATGGTCACCCTTTTATTGAATAAATTTCTTGTATTCTACAATCAATATTAATGAGTTTTATCATTCATTAATTGTTGTATTAATGATCAATGTTACGTTAAATTTGGAGTCAACATCATTCACAGTTTAACCCTCTTAACGCTTCTTACACAGTCTTGTAGTTTTTTCATCTGTTAGTCTTTTGTTTGTGATTACACTCTAATGAATATTTATTTTTTTTACATTACAGATTTACTGCAATGCACCCATGAACCTAATGTATCAATACCACAATTGGCAAATCTTCTTATTGAACGGACAAATCATAGCTCTTGGGTCGTCGTTTTCAAAGCTTTAATCACTGTACATTATCTTATGTGTTATGGAAATGAGGTAACGGTGATATTGTATTTTTAAATTGGTTCAATTTTAGGAATCAGATTAAATACAACGATAAGATATAGCAAAACACCCCTTTACCATAATCTACATGGTAAACTGTTAGTTCTATACAATTTTAAATGTTATTCCTTTGCTTTAATCAGCCAATTTGGCCATGAACTGGCTTTGTTACTTTGATTAGATTATATTTGTTCACGATTATTTGATTTTAAGCAACAGAATTGGGTGTAAATTGCTGGATAGTAACAAACTTTATATTTCTTGACTGATTGAGTTTAACTTTTAAAAATTCATTTTCCATCATCCAACTTCGACGATATTAATTATGATTTTCAATCTTTTCTTTCTCTTTTTTTGCTCACCTCAACATTATGGTTGGTAATGGACAGCGTTTTACTCAGTACTTAGCGTCTAGTAACTGTACCTTCCAGTTAAATAATTTCCTTGACAGAAGTAATCTTAAAGGTTATGATATGTCAACTTATATCAAGAGATATTCCAAGTATATTAACGAGAAAGCTTTATCTTACCGAACTGTTGCATTTGATTTTGCCAAAATCAAGCGAGGAAAAGAAGATGGTTTCCTCAGAACTATGCCTTCGGAGAAGCTTTTGAAAACATTAGTTGTACTGCAAAGTCAAATCGATGCTCTTCTTGAATTTGATTGTCCAGCCAATCATTTAACCAATGGAGTCATAAATGCTGCTTTCATGCTTCTATTTAGAGATCTGATAAGATTATTTGCTTGCTATAATGATGGTATAATCAATTTATTGGAAAAATTTTTCGACATGAACAAAAAACAATGTCGAGATGCTCTAGAGATTTACAAAAAGTTTCTCGTTCGAATGGACCGAGTTGCTGAATTTTTGAAAGTTGCAGAAAATGTGGGCATCGATAAAGGTGAGATTCCAGATTTAACCAAGGCACCTTCATCATTATTGGAAGCCCTTGAACAACATTTATTGGCTTTAGAGGGCAATAAGAAAGGCAACAAGAGGTTAGTATTTTATATGCTTCCCGGCTTATTTAGAATATGATATTTCCAAAGATTGATTCACTGAACTATTAATTTATTTTTCACCTCGTTTCCCCAACTCTTACGAATCCGAGATTTTTTCCGGATGAATACCGCTTAAATAACACTTAAAATACACTCGTATTTTCAATAGAGACAGAAAAATAATTTGGAAAGTTCTAAGAATCACTTTTTTCTCTATCAGTTATTCAAGTTTAATCATTATCGGAACAATAATATCAGTCTAACGGTTACCATACATATTAACTACTCAGCTGTGTTAAATTCATTGTGATTTCCCATTATCTACTCTTCTTTTGTCATTTATACTCCCCATTCTGAAAATTTCAATTGAGAAGTCTTAAGCTTTCACTTTCATCAAATGAAGAACGTTCTGGTTTATTGGTTTGCCACTTTCACTGATCACTTCTATTTTTTAAGTACCTTATACCTCACTAACCCAATTTGATACTCTCTTCCCTTTAACCCACTATCCCTGCCTGCAAGTCTACTTATCAAGAAGCTAATATAACAGGAAGTTTGCATCCATATTTTGCGCTTGAAGCTATTTTGATTGGAATAACATATTCTAAAAGAATTGGATTAATGTCTTTTGATTTGAAAATTTCAATAATAATTTTCACTCTTTTTCTTTTCATGACCCTTGTCTCAAAAATCTTCAACGAATCATTCAGCTCCAAAGATGCTCAGCCAACTTCCCAGGGAGCCAACTCTCCTGTTACTTTGACTGCTGAACCACCAACTGAAGTAGTTAAAGATCAACTGAAAAAGGCTCTTGAAGAAGAAGCACAGCTTCTTAATCAATTAAAAGTTAGTGTAACACGCTATTGTGTTGAAGCACATTTTCAACTCGTTACTGTTTATAAACTAATCCTAAGCTTTTCTAATACAAAACTTAACATACTAACATTTATTTTTTCGCTTTCTTTCTCTCTTTCTCTTTCAATCTCTTTCGCTTGGTTTTATCCCTTTGCAATCCTACAAAATTTGTCCGTGTTTATTTTTTGCTTAATCCTTTTTGTTTCTGACCAATCCTTGTCCTTTTGTGTTTTTTTTTCTTCCCTTTTTTATGTTATCCTTTTATGTGAAAAATATGTTGGCTATTGGTTAACAGACGTCTGTTCAATTCCAGGAGAAACATGTTCAAGATCAGACAAAAAAATCGTATAATCCATTTCTCAGTTCACCCACTGAAGCGAAGTCTGAGAGTACGTCTTCACCATCTAAATTATCAACCGACATCTTGGACATATTTGGAACCAATGAAACTAGCGCAACAACAACGACTGTACCAAGCACTACTACTGTTCCAAGTAGAGCCAGTGATGATCTCCTTATGTAAGATAGAAGAAAATCTATTTTGTTAGAGTATTCATCATTGCATCTCACCAAAATTATTATTATTTTTGGATTCGATAGTGCTTTCACTGGTGAGTCCAATGCTCAACCACCTCCTGGTCATGAGCCATTGGTACCTTGGATGGTTCCTCTTGTACCGGTTCCACAACCAACATCATCACCTTTTGCTGGCATGAATATTCCACAGTTAAATCTCCCATTGGCTTATATTGAAGCAGTCAGGCAACAACAAGCCGTTTCTTCTACCGCTGGAACTGCCACCAACACTGCTGTTAATAAGGATGCAAATAAGAAAAAATCAGCCTTTGAAGATCTCGATTTTGCCATGCGATCGCAAATGCTGAAAGGAAAGGAGGAACAACCAGTTAAAGCAGCATCCCGTGGATTAGCCACTGGAATTGGTAACTTTAGTTAGTCTGTTTGTAATTTAGACAACAAATACAAAATCAACGGTTTAAAGTTTTAATTAGGTACAAATCGCAAACTACTGGAAATTGGACATGCTTTAACTGATATGATTTTCGTTATATTAATTTACAAACACAAAACACAAAGCTAAATTAACATATAATAGACATTGTCAAATAAAAAAAAACAAGTGTTGAAATCAGTTTTTTGATTCAATAAAATTAATCTGCGTACGTTGTTTAATATTAAAAAGTCTAAATTTATTCTAAATTTGTCCATGTCATTACTTTTTCAATCAAGATAATTGTTACATAATTGATCAGAGAGATTGATAACGAAATTTCGTTCAATTAAATCCTTTTAATCTTTAAAATTTGCGCGCTTCTCAAATGAAAACCGTAAGCAAAAATGAGCGAGTTATGAGGAATGAAGTAACTACGGTAACTGGAGCATCTCTGAAAATCAGTTGTTGGTTGTTATTCTCAATATTTTTCTTCATTTGATTTTAGTGAAACAATTGTGTTGTGTTATTAATCTTTATATTTTGTCTTGTTTTTACAGTACTCACTATGGATTCTTCTAGTGACTCATCGGATGAGAAGTTTTTCGATGCACCAACAGCTGATGATTGGGATATTGAAACATCTTCTGGTCTTGCTGAGAGTAATGATAATTGTAGTGATTTACAACAGCAACAGCTTAGTCAGAAGCAAACAAATCAAGATCCAATAGATGAGGAGACTAAGATTCTTGAGCAGATTACTTTGCTTAACAAGGACACGGGTGAATGCCGACCATTAAGTGAGGCTGATGATATCTTGCCTAAATGTATTAATCCTCTTAACCCTCATCTTTCTAAGCTTGCAAATGATTACCAGAGTGATGAAGATGAGCCTCAGCCGCAGACAAGTGAAGGGACTACGACGGAAGAAGGTTATGAATCTTGGTCAACTTTAAAGACAAGTGCATTCAAAAATGGTGTGAAAAAATTAGGTAAATTTGGCCATGGGTTTATAAAAGGTGTCAAAGGCGTTCGAGGAGGCAGTGGATGGAACAGTGGTGATACTGAAGGGAAGGGTTCTGGGACTAGTGGTGATAATAAATATAACAGGGACTCAGTGTCAATCGATCCACGAATTTTGAATCTTGACCCTCATGATCTATTGTATCCAACAATCAAGTTGAAAACTAATAGGAAAAAGGATGCTGCTGATTTTGAAGGTTTAAGATTAATTCAAGAATTGAATGACTGTAGAGGTGCAATCTGGTGTATGAAATGGAGCTCTTGTGGTCAATTATTAGCTGTTGCTGGTCAAGATCAACTTTTAAGAGTTTATTGCAGCCATAAATCGTGGAAATATTTTACTCAAGCTAGAAGCAAAGCCTCAAGTCAACAAATTTCACTTAATTCGACCAAAGAAAGATCTATGAATAACTCAAGAAATAATAGTACAAACAGTAGTAGCTCAGAGAATGTTCAAAATCTTAGCACGCACACCTCTAATGAATCAAAATCAACTACTCGAAACAATTTACCGCAAGAAGACAATAGTTTATCTGAAGAGGAACCTTTACTGTTATTTAGTGCTTATCGTGGTCACACTGCTGATGTTCTCGATATATCTTGGTCGAAAAATAATTTTCTCCTATCCTCATCCATGGATAAAACTGTCAAACTTTGGCATATTACTAGGGTTGAATGTTTGTGTACGTTTTGTCATAAGGACTTCGTCACCACCATCAATTTTCACCCTCGAGACGATCGTTATTTTCTCAGCGGATCACTTGATGGAATACTTCGTCTTTGGAATATCCCAGATAAAAAGTTAACCCTTTTTAACGAAGTTATGGCTCCTACTGCATCGAGTCAAAAATCTAACAAATCAAATCAAGAAACAACACCACCCCACGGCCTAATAACGGCATCAGCTTTTGTTGAGAATGGAAAGTTTGCTGTTATTGGTACATATGATGGTCGAGTAATATTCTATTCAATGGATCAACTAAAGTACTCAACACAGATTCACGTCAGTGGAGGTAAAAATATGTTTAGCGCAGTGGACACATCAGAAAGAAAAAAGAAGCGAAATAGTAACAAAGTAACTGGAATTGAAGGTGTGGCAGAAAGAAAGATTTTAGTAACAACCAACGACTCTCGTATTCGTTTGTACGATTTACGAGATTTGACATTAGAGTGTAAATACAAAGGATGTGTCAATTATTCAAGTCAAATAAGAGCCTCAGTCTCATCAGATAATAAATATATTGTTTGTGGTAGTGAAAATTCTTCCTTCTACATTTGGAGAACCCGTGAGGAGACAACAAGTGGACAACGAAGAGACAGGAATGCTCAATGGGAATGTGTACGAATTTTACCACCAAGTAATCAAGCTCAACAGGTTGGGTTATCATCAAATAGTGCTGGATCTGGTCAACCAACGAAAAATCAACCAGCCATTGTTACATCAGCAACATTCGCTCCAAATCCATCGTATCTTGATGACAAGGCTAAATATGTTATTGCTATTGCCGATTTCAGTGGAAGTATAAAACTGTTTTCTCGATGAAGACAAGCAAGCGTCATAAAACACGTCTAAAAAGACAAATTGACATTTCAAAGACAGGCGAGAAAAACTGAGATGGTTCGACTTGAAGAAATCAATCAAAGAAATCAAGACTTCAAAAATTAATCAGATCAATGATCAAGAGTCACCATTATTAGCACTCTTCCGTCTTTCACACCATGAAATCATGAGAAACGACTCCACCAATTACAGTAACAGAAGGATTTTGTGATTACTTTAAACATTTACCTTCTTTTTATCTTTCCTTCACTAGCCTATTCTTTGTATCACAACAGTCAATCTAATTCTTATTCATTTATCATTCATCTTTATCCATTTATAAAAACATTTTTTAGATTATTCTTAATCAGATGGAAAAGACTAAGAAACAGGAGAAAAAAAAGATTCGAGTAACAATATACATCAGCACTAAATGTTGTTTTCTGACCAATATTTTTTTAGATTCCCAAACCTCCCAACTCAAAGATGAAGATGAGAAAAATTGTTATCATTTGAAACCCTTCCTCTTCAGTTTTTGCAATTCTTTTACCTTTAATACTGTCTTGTTGTAAAACAAAATTTCTTTTCAGAAATGGATCCATCAACACTCATCACCATGAAAACGCAAAGTGAAAGAAGCACCAATCATCAATCAACTCTTTCCATTCACCATTTGACAAGAGATGTTCTCATAAAGACAAAGTGATCTACAAAAAATGTGACGGATTCGCATCAATTGTGTTTAAACATATACACATATTTGTTTCCTTTTGGTCACAGTCAAAATTTGTTTCTTTTAATGAAAACAAAACAATATCTTCCAATGTTAATTTGTCCTCTCAACTCTTGCTCAGGTCTGGTCAACAAGTCAACAATTGTTTTTTGGCTATTTCCAATAATTTTCAATCCATCAAAAAATCACAGCAAAAAATTATCTTCTATTTATATTTGTAGATTATATTATTACTGCAAACCTTTTCTTCATTGTCAGTAATCCTCCAAGATAATCGTTTACACCTAAAAATCATCAAAAATATAAATACTTTATATTAACTAAATGAATCTTATTAATGTTAAACATTGAACAAAAACAACCAAATTAATTGAAAACATCGTCTATCATATCCATTTCATCCAAACCCAATATCAAGCCGATAATCAACTTGATAAATGAAGCATTTTCATAATGAAAAATGGTCTATTTTTATTAATAACAAGGACAGTTAACCTTTTTATTTTCCGTTATAAACGTGTTATAAACCAAATAAACCTTTAATGGTGACAATTGAGTTCATAAGAATTTGTCTCATCTTCAGGGTTTACTCAGAAATACTGAGCTAAGAGATAACATTATCAAGGGCAATTTACTCACCTGATCATTACGAAAGCTTAATGATTTAAGGATTGCTTTTATAAAATCACTTGAAAAACGCTCGCAACTTTTACAATCCTATTTGATTAATTGTAGAATCGATTCATACAATGTTAATAATCCAGAAACAATCAAGTAAACAAGAATCAAAAGAAAACAGTTTTACCAAACAATTTAAGGTTATTTCAATTTAAATGTTGTTGCAATCATCATTGAAATACTGTTGTTGATAATGCTTTTAATGATGCCAGTGCCAGATATAATAAATAACCAAAGGTAATCTAAATAGGGATAAAAATTATGTTCAGGGTTGAATTATTACAAGCGAATCGAGTGAAACATTTGTTCGAAGTTGAAGAATCTCATGTTGAAATTTCTTACCATGAATAAAGCTGGAACCAATCTATTCTTATCATTTATCCAAATAATTACTAAGCTAATCATATGCTCTTCGCATAATTTGTGCCTAGTTAATTGGCTCATAGTTATCAACTTTATTATTAATAGCATGTGTGATATATTTTGCTAAAAGCTTATCATTTGAGATATTTACTTAATAACAATTTGTTTGTTTCTTTGATTTTATTTTCAGGTCAAACTCTTGATATTAATTACGAAGTAGTTTACTGTCAGAATATAACGGTTATGAGAGTTATTCAATATATAAAGGGAATGCAACAAATTTCTGCAGCAAATCGTGGTTAACGGAAAGGTTTCTAAAACGAATTTTTAGACCCGATTGATGGGAATGATTTGAATACAGGGACAAAAATAGGTTGAACCTTCTAGGAATTCAGGTTCATGAGAAAACTATGTTCTAACAGGGTGGAGGTAAACCATTCACCCGTATTATAAAGCAATTTAGAAGGGGAAAAAATTATTTTATTTGTTTGTTGATGTTATGGTCTCTGCTAGATTTAAAACTCTGACTTTCGAGTTGAGAGTTGCGAACTGAAAGACTTTTCGGGACATAAGGGCTGAAATCATTTATGCAATTGAAACATTTCTCTGAACGAAAATTTTAAAAAGATGGAATCAAAAGTTGAAACTTCATCTAATACTTTTGAATAGTCGTTCAGATATTTTGCTCAAGCACATTTTTCGGATGCTACCTTCGATGATCAATCGGAAAGTACTTTATCGATAGATTAAATTTTCTATTGAATGGTTAAATAGAGACTAGTTAAAAGGAGAATAATAAGTTGCACCTTTTTTTAATTCAAATTAATTGCTTTTAATTATCTTTATTATGAAGGATTGAATAAATGAACAATTGATAAATGTTCATCATTACAAGTCTTGCCAACAAGCGTTTGGAGCGATTGATTTGATAACATCCTGGTAGTAAAGGGTTCGAGTGTAAAGACCAGAGGTATCCTTGTCTTGTCCACATTCAGTCCATGAACCTGAGACAACTCCCATCAGATACCATCGTCCATTGTCTCCATGATGCATGAGTGGTCCACCTGAATCACCTGAACAAGCGTCACCTCGAGTCTTCTTGTTGATGGCGCACATGTGAGATTCAGCAACAGGTTCAGTGCGGATTAAGGGCGCCAATTCAATGGGGATATCATTTTGCTTCATAATAATGGTTTTCTTGGCATCATTGCATTCTTCCTCTGATAATAAAAGAAGAGTAAAGTTTATCGATTGATGGATCGACTTTTCTTTCATGTAATTTACTTACTGTCCATGAAGTCAACTTCAACTTCCAAAAGATCATCACTGGATTTAGCATTAGCTGATGTGAGTCCCCAACCAGAGACGGTGAGTTTAGTCAAATCGCTTTCATTGTTTGGTAAACAAACTGGTGCAATTGTTTGGGTGAATTTAACTGGCTTGGAAAGGGTCAAAATGGCGAAATCATTGGATAAGTTGCTTGAATCGTACTTAGGATCAAACCAAACTTTTGAAACTTTATGTGGGTAGGAGAAGTCACTGAAAGCTTTAACTCGTCCAAGGAAGACATCGATGTTTTCTGGTTTGTAACGTTGTCCATCCTTAGTGACAACACAGTGAGCAGCAGTAGCGACGTGGGTTTCATCAATCAATGAACCTCCACATTGACCAAAGGAGTTATCGTCTCGATCAGCGAAGCTCCTGAAATATTGAATATTAAGTCATTGAGGAAAGCTGAACTGGCTTTGAGTCAAAATTACTCACCTGATATGAGCTAACCAAGGATACTTATTGGCTCGAACCTTTGTTCCTTTGTAGATTCGACCGGAGGAACCTTCCATACCACATTCTGAGGAGAGATATGAATTAATATTTTGGATGCGAATAATCATCTTCTAGTACTTACCACATGCAATGGTTACATTGATTGCGGCAACGAGCAAAAGAGTGGTCAACATAAAGAATCTCATTTTCAATGAGTTTTTTGCAAAATTAATACAATCAAGTGTTTATTAACAGATTAATCTTGGATATGATTTAATCTGATCAATTACATCGCCTTTTATACTAAATTAAATTCAAGGTGCAAATGATCGTTTCGACAGTTTCTTCAGTTTCTTTTATTTTCCATCTTATTTTGATGCTCAATACTGACATTTATTGGGGTTAACCTTTTTAATCAAAGTGACGATGATATAATATTCCAGACTAATTTTAGCCTCATTGAGAGCATTTTCATCTAAATCTGAATTTTATTCGAGAAAAACAATGCCTTTTTGCGTCAATAAGTTGGACGATTTGACATTTAATCAACATTGTGGCTAAAGTTGGAAAATTATGTGACAAGAAACTCAACTATATCATAATGAAATTAAGTTAGAATCAACTAATAAAGATAAATCCCAGATGGCAACTTGATGTTAATAATTGAATGATTCATGAATGAAACGATTAAAACAAAATTTTGCAAATCAATTGAAACCTTGAATCGTCTGGTAAAATATGGACAGTTTGACATTTAATGAACAAGTTAACATTATTTTTTGATTGGCAGCTCAGATGCTTACCTTAATCTCAGTACTCATTGTACTCACGCAGTGTTTCTGTACTATAATTAAGTTTGGCTAAACCTGGCCTTTCGAGCGCTTTCATTAGTTAAAGATCTGAAATTTATATTTTTTGGTAATTGAAATGGTTGTTGAACACCAGTAATTGAATACTTTTTTCAATTTATCGACAGTTCTCTTGATTTTGTCCAATAGCCTTAAATATTATGTGCCTACATATTTTGAGAGTAGTAGTCACAATTACCATTCTTATAACCTTATAATGTGTTATAACCTTTAACCTGTTTCTATTTCCACAAATTTCTCATGAGCCTAAATTCCGGGAAAGTTGTGACTATTTTTCGTGGAGAAAGTCCAATCATTGCTTACATGCAGTGTGAATAATATCTTATGATATCTGTTTCGATACTAACCATTCAGCCACAATTTTGACATAAAAATTAGATAATTTGACTCCATACATTGAAATATATTGGTTGGTAACAAGGTGGTAAAAAGAAGCAATTAATACAGTTGCCACATAAATGTAAAATTCTGAAGATATATGAAGATTCTTCTAATAGCACACAAGATTTGTGTTTAGCTTTACAAATCAAGTCTCAAATCTGGCGACATAAGTAATGAAATGCTGTAACTTTTTTAGTCTCTCGAATGATTTAATATTTCAATATATTATAGCCCATAATGGAATCTAATGTTTGGTCAAGAATGATGATTGTAGGTTGTGCCGTTCCCGAAATAATGAGGCTCAAAGTTTTTGGGTCTATCGCTAAAATTTAAAGACCTGTCGATAAATTGAAAAAGTGTTGATGTTCACCAACAATTTTTATCGACGAATAATAGCTTTCAGTTCTCTAACTCGTAAGGTCACAGAATGTTATCGGTTTAACTTAAAAGCGAACTTGATCTGTTTTACAGAAAAAGAAAAATTCTATTTCTCAAAATGAATACATTTCCTGGTTGTTCATCAAAAGATACATCAGATAAATGAGTTTCAAGAAAAAATCTTCTTCAATAATTGCACAAAACGCTTTGCAAGTTTTAACTTCGAACTCGATTTTCTAGAGAACTTACGATCAGATAAATCTTCAAATTGCGCGAATGGACCCAGTTTTTATGTCCCTACATGCTAACATAGTTTAAATTTGAAAGAAATTAATTTTTACCCTTTTTGCCCATTTTTATCGATTTGTGCATTAATATGACAACTGTGTTATTTATTTCTTTTTTAGTAACAACCAAATACAAGTATAATATTTGTTTGGGTTAAATAAAAATTGCTAATTGCAATATTTAGTAAATTCATTCGAGTTTTATTTTAATTATTTTCATTGTGCATGATTGTTTCACTGTTATAATTGACTGATGTATTGCATTATTTAAATATGTCATAGTCATACAGATGTATAGTCATTTAAAAATGTATAGCATGATCTTGATCAGAAATGGCCAATTGATCATCTCTTGCCAAGTGATTTGACCAAATGTATTGAGCGGGTTTCCTTTCCTCCAGACTGAATCGATGAATTGATTTAGGCTTTGCTTTATTTGTTATTGAATAAATGCATATAAACCCATCTTCTTGGATAGTGAATATAACTGGTCGGGCAAATAACCAAATAGTCGAGACAATATTCACATCACAATGAACCACAAATAAGGGTTTCGACTGGAAAACATCCCAAACTCGAAGTTCATTATCTTTACCAGTTGAAATGAAAATGTTTCTCAGATCAACATCATCACAGAAAAATCAACATTAGTAACAAAAGTTTAAAGCAACTATTTCAATTTTAATTTACATTCTAAGTGTCCAATGAACTATTAATCCCTCTGTTTAAAAGCTAACTAGATAAAATTCGCATTCTTCATGAGACTAGATTCATCTTCAGAATGCTACTTTTTGAGCGTTAAAGAATTGCTCTGAACGACAATATTGAAAAATCGAATCGAAAGTTGAAAATTAATCTACTTCATGTATTTTTATATAAGTTGTGGAAATAGATTTTTGGTCCGAGCTAATTTTTCCGATGCTTCCTTCGATGGTCAATCGGAAGGTACTTTATCGATAGATTAAATTTTCTATTGAATGGTTAAATACTAGTTAAAAGGGGAATAATAAGTTGCACCTTTTTTTAATTCAAATTAATTAATTTTAATTATCTTTATTATGAAGGATTGAATAAATGAACAATTGATAAATGTTCATCATTACAAGTCTTGCCAACAAGCGTTTGGAGCGATTGATTTGATAACATCCTTGTAGTAAAGGGTTCGAGTGTAAAGACCAGAGGTATCCTTGTCTTGACCACATTCAGTCCATGAACCAGAAACAACTCCCATCAGATACCATCGTCCATTGTCTCCATGATGCATAATTGGTCCACCTGAATCACCTGAACAAGCATCACCTCGAGTCTTCTTGTTGATGGCGCACATGTGAGATTCAGCAACAGGTTCAGTGCGGATTAAGGGCGCCAATTCAATGGGGATATCATTTTGCTTCATAATAATGGTTTTCTTGGCATCATTGCATTCTTCCTCTGATAATACAAGAAGAATAAAGTTCATCGATTGAATTCACTATCATTATTCACTAATTTACTTACTGTCCATGAAGTCAACTTCAACTTCCAAAAGATCATCACTGGATTTAGCATTAGCTGATGTGAGTCCCCAACCAGAGACGGTGAGTTTAGTCAAATCGCTTTCATTGTTTGGTAAACAAACTGGTGCGATTGTTTGGGTAAATTTAACTGGCTTGGAAAGGGTCAAAATGGCGAAATCATTGGATAAGTTACTTGAATCGTACTTAGGATCAAACCAAACTTTTGAAACTTTATGTGGGTAGGAGAAGTCACTGAAAGCTTTAACTCGTCCAAGGAAGACATCGATGTTTTCTGGTTTGTAACGTTGTCCATCCTTAGTGACAACACAGTGAGCAGCAGTAGCGACGTGGGTTTCATCAATCAATGAACCTCCACATTGACCAAAGGAGTTATCGTCTCGATCAGCGAAGCTCCTGAAATATTGAATAATAAGTCATTGAGGAAAGCTGAACTCACTTTTAGTCAAAACCACTCACCTGATGTGAGCTAACCAAGGATATTTATTTGCTCGAACCTTTGTTCCTTTGTAGATTCGACCGGAGGAACCTTCCATACCACATTCTGAGGAGAGATATGAATTAATATTGTGGATGTGAATAATCATCTTCTAATACTTACCACATGCAAGGGTTACATTGATTGCGGCAACGAGCAAAAGAGTGGTCAACATAAAGAATCTCATTTTCAATGAGTTTTTTTGCAAAATTAATACAATCAAGTGTTTATCAACAGATTAATCTTGGATATGATTTAATCTGATCAATTACATCGCCTTTTATACTAAATTAAATTCAAGATGCAAATGATCGTTTTGACATTTTCTTCAGTTTCTTTTGTTTTTAATCTATTTTTGATGCTCGACATTGACAATGATTAGGGTTAACCTTTTTAATCAAATTGATGAAGATATTTCAGACTAATTTTAGCGCAATTGCGGGTATTCCCATCTAAATATGATTTTATTCGAGAAAAATAATCACGTTTTACGTCAATAAGTTGGAAAATTCTCTGGAATCGTCTGATAAAATATGGACGATTTGACATTTAATTGACATGGTATTGTGGCTAAGTTGGAAAATTATCTGCAAAGAAAGGCAACTATACCAAGATAAAGTTAAAATAAAATCAACTAATACAGATGAATCCAGACGTAATAATAATAACTTAATAATTAAAAGATTTATGAATGAAACCATTGCAACAAAATTTTGCAAATCAATTTTATTCGAGTTTTATTTTGATTGTTTTCAATTCAATTATTTTCATTGTCTCTGATTGTTTCACTGTTTAAATTGACTGAGTAAAGATGAATTGCATTATCTTGATCAGAAATGGCCAATTGATCATCTCTTGCTAAGTAATTTGACCAAATGTATTGAGCGGGTTTCCTTTCCTCCAGACTGAATCGATGAATAGATTTAGGCTTTGCTTTATTTGTTATTGAATAGATGCATATGAAACCATCTTCTTGGATAGTAAATATAACTGGTCGGGCAAATAACCAAATAGTCGAGACAATATTCACATCACAATGAACCACAAATAAGGGTTTAGACTGGAAAACATCCCAAACTCGAAGCTCATTATCTTTACCAGTCGAAATGAAAATGTTTCTCAGATTAGGCGAAAAATCAACATTAGTTACAATGGCTCGATGAGGCACATAAGCCATGACAATTGGATTTTTCAATGGTAACCAATCTGTTGGTCGAAGTGGATCATCAGGTGCTTCTTCCCTCAATTCACCATTGAGTGAACACCTAAAAATGCCACCAGCTTCACAGCCAATAATAAAACCAGAATCACTTTCAGATTCCCATGTGAAAGATGTAATTGGTACACCTTTGAAATGACTACCCAATGTATCTCTTAGGCCCATAGACTTGGGTAAATCGGTTAATATAATGTTGTACAAGTCTAAAGCTATTAACAATTTGGATTTGCTTTCTAATTTCCAACGAATAATCAATCCTTCTGATGAAAAGCTAACCAGATAAGAGTCTTCATTTTCCAACCATTGTCTCTTATTGTCCAATTTAAGCCAGTGCATACCAATAATCGAGTCTTGGTGTAAATCTCCACGATGTGGAGAGCTAGCAAAAACGGGTAAATCAGACAAGTCTGTTGCTGTATCAAGTAAACGAGTATCAATAACCAAAAGGCTACCATTGTAACAGCCAAGAATATAAAATGAACCCCTGTAAGGATGAGCGATTAGACAGGTGACACAATTATCAACCTCACAACAGTACAATGGCTTTGCATAATCGCCTTTATGAGAGTAAAGGTTCCATAGAAGAAGAAACGTTTTATGTGTACACCAGCCTGAGTGAATTTTAGCCTTGTAGACAACAGCTAAGGTGGTTTGTGGAGCATTCCAGGTTATGCCTGAGATATACTGATGATCACCAGATCCCGATTTAGTACCACTGAGCAGACTATCCAAAATTTTTGAAGTCAAGCGCCTTTCACAATGGATTCCTTTCCCACTTGCTCCATTCCAATAGTTTAACCATGAAGACGATAACTGTTCAAATTGGCAGCTTTCTCGTATCTCGTGTTGAATCAATGCAGTTGAACGCTGGAGGAATCTACTCAATCTGGTAAAATCAATTGTAGGCTGTTTAGATTGATTATTAATCGAGGAAATTGGTTTACCATAAATATCATGGAGTGTTTGAGTTGACAAACTCGTACAACAGGGTTGCTGAGTAGACACTTCAATCATCTTTATATCGTCTGTTTGGCATTGGTTATCTTTTCTGGTAATCTGGTCATCTTCATTATACTCCATTGTATTGCACTTAATTTGGTTTTAGATTCAGTTATTATTCAATTACAATTTTTGGATAAAACATTTCATGCACTTGTTTGGACAACAGACGTAAACAAACATTTGGTTGCCATTAGTAGCCATAGACTTTCAATTCTCATGCCTAACAAAATCATCAAAACTCGCCATAATTAATGTCATTTTGTGTTATTCATCATGAAATTTCCTTCTATCAAATCAAGAATTCCTTCTAATTTCATTAGTTGATTGATATGAATAAACATAAATGCACCAACGGGATAAATATTACATTTCTTAGAAATCTATATCAATTGTACTTGGTTTCCACTTCTGTATGTTATCCGATTGCACATCTAATAAACATTGCTATTAATAGCTTAATCACATTAAATAAAAAATAGCTCTTCAATTAGTATCTACCGAAGCATAACAATCAAAAATTAATCATAACGTTTGATTATTCAAGTTTTAAATAAGATACGAACAAAAGCTTTCATTTTTAATTCATTTACTCTAAACAAATGAATAGCCTTTTAACCAAATGATGATAATCAAGAACTGATTTAATTATTACTGACATCCAAATTATTTATAGCAATTTAAGGAATCGCAAATCCTCAGTGAAGCAAACGATAAAGTCAACTGATCAGTCAACTCAATTTGATTTTAAAAAGTAAAACTGAATCAATTTCTTCCAATTCTCTAATAAGTCAACATCTAAATTTTAAAGGTTGAGCTCATTTGGATTTAATGTAACCATTTGATATAAGTTTCTCATTTGCAACTGTTGATATTTTTATTTAATTTGTTTTCCTAAATCATAGATTGTAATGGAAACCAAACAGTTGATCATCTGGAATGGTCTCATTTTCATTCTCTCTGTAATAATACCGGTAGAAAGTTCAATGTTTTCAATTCTTGCGTACGCTGCTCTGGCCAATCTACTCAAACCTAGGCCTAAATACCTACCACCGCCTCCTCCACCACCACCAGCGCCAGCGCCTATTTACTATGATTCATTGAGTCAACCAGCAGCTTCACCCTTTGTTGGTCAATCACCAGTTCATTCACTAGCCTCACAGTTTGTGCCTCAACCATCCAAACGAGGATTTGGGTTTCCTGGAGCCATTTCATTGGATAGCAATCCAGGTAAATATTTAACATAAATTAATCTTTTAGTTTAAACTAATGGACAATTTGATTATGGTTTTAATTTAACTTGTATAGTGACTGATTGGGCTAAAAGTTTGAAATCCCACCCTGAAAGTCAAAAAGTACCAAGCTTTTATGGCTCATACCCAACCAATGGTTACCAGATTTTTAATGGACCTCCACCAAGAACCAATTTACTGATGCCTAAGAAATCGGGAGTCCAACCAGTTTTTAGACTTGCTGGAGTGGCTGATCATTTCAAAAGTGTACCCGATAAAGGCATTTTTCAGTTTTAACCAGAAAAATTAGGTTACTTGGCCTTTTTCATATCTTTTTTTACATAAATATCTTATTTAGTGCCAATTAACATGAAATTTTACAAATTTAACCAGTAACAATTGAAATAAATATACTTTTTCTGCCTTAATCTGACTTGTCCTGACATGCTAATTATTATCAATGTTTTCCAACTCTTACATGTCATAACAGTTTACATCATTTTTCATCTTTTCAACCAAAGGTAGTAATAATTATTTGTAATAAAGATCAAATAATATTTTGAATATTGAAAGATTTATTGATTATAGCTTTGATCGATACTCCAATGAGTCTAAATTAACAATGGACAATTGTATTTACCATCATTAATCCTCTGAATGATTGGCTGGTGAATGTGCAAAACTGACCAACACTCAAATGTAATTACAATGCCAATTTATCGCAAAATTTCAAGTTGGTGAGTTGAGCCTTGGCATCCAGGATTTGATCAGAAAACTATTGAACTCTCAAATTTTAATTAACATCAAAAGATTTGGCAAAAGAGTTGACTTAAAACATCAACAATCAACAAAATGTTTAAACAACGAAATAAACTGTTTGTTAAAAGAGTCCCACCTCAGGCAAAGGATAAGATCAAAAATAATGTACAATGGAAGCCAGTTTCGTATGATTTTTACTCACTTGATTCAATCAAACCAGTTTCCGTTCAAATTCCTATTATAAACGAACCTAAGGTAAGCATTGAATAATTAAACCTTATTCTCATTTAGGTAACTGTCTTTAATCTAATTGTTTATTCCGTGTGTTACCAGGATCCATTGCTAAAATGTCTATGCTTTTTCAAGCTTGTCTTGAAAACATTTATTACCATCATTTGTATATTTTTCTGGTTTTACCAGATCAGCTATTTAGCCAACGAATACTTCAAATATGAAGTTATTGAATCTCGCAGCCATGCATATCCAACATTCCTATCACCACCCGATTTTTCATTCTGTCTCAATCTCATTGGATCCCTCAATGCAACCGAAATGTTTATCCGTCGACCCGATGTAAAAGCTGCTGTCCTTAAAGTCTGTTCAACCAGGAGCAACTGTAGTCTAAGTGATCAACAAGCAGTCTTAGAGGACTTAACCTACGGTCCAAAGATAGTCTACAGTCGAATGACTACTCAAGAGTTATTTCAATTGTTGCCCGGCATATCCTCAATCATGGCTTCATGTTCATTTCTCTCTGCCAACCTGAGTTCAGTTCAGTGTGATGAGTCTTACTTTCGTACCTACATGTACTCTCAAAAGATTTGCTATGAGTTTGTTTGGTATTCATCAAAATCTCCAAATAAAACGACACCAGTTTTTCCGGCAAACCTAATCAATTTACCTGGTTACACCAATATCCGTCTCTTGGCGATTCAATTCAATTTGACTCGATTCAGTAGCGATGCCCTGTTTGATATCATGATTCATCCTCCGTTTGACTTGCCTTGGCATCCAGACAAGTCAACTAAGGAATCTATTATTCCTAACCATCAATTTATTTATCAAAGCCTTTCATACAAGAAAACTGTAACTCAATCTTTGCCTGATCCTTATCAAAGCAATTGCACAGACTATTCGGAGCTTCCATGGAGATCGATCCAAGAATGCATATTAAACTGTTCATTGGATAAATTCATTGAAATTTCAGACTATTATCCAAGATATTATCCGATAGTCAAGTTTGATGATCATTATTTATCCTTTGATTATAATAAAAGGGAAAGCTATCAACCATTGATTCAACAGTTGAGTGAAAAGTGCTTGGATTGGTGTGGTTACACGGAATGTTTCAGTGAAGCTTACGATATAATAAGCTTAAATTCAGGTCGCCATGTTTCTCCAGGAATGAAAATGTACAATTTACAGATTTTTCCTTCTTCTCAACCAACCAAGCTACTCAGAACAACTGCTGTACATTCAGCTGAATATTTTATAGCCAACATTGGAGGTTCGATTGGCGTTTGGTTCGGTTACTCACTTTATTGTTTGGGAAAACGCGTTTATAATTTCATTCCCAGGATTTACCAAAGAATGAAATTAAAATTCATTTTAAAAAGAAATGAAATCATCGAATTCAAACCAACCATAACTAAATTCAAAAGACCCAATAAGAATTGAACATTTCCATTCATCTCATCAGTGAAAGGTTTACATCGCATGAAAATGGGTAAATTGTTTCGTTATTGTTCAAAAAATTACCTCGATTAAAACACTAATTCTTGATTAAACAAAAATTTCAATTTGGATCGCAATACTGATTCTCAACTTTACTGTAAATAGTTTATCCATTCATTGAATAGTGAAATAACAAATTCACATTAATTTGTTAATTAGTTTGGAGGAAACTTAAGGGTTGATGCTAACAAAGGTTGGAAGTGTAATGAATTTCATTCAATTTCAACTTGAAAGATCTACAACTCTTACTATTCAAATGTTCAATGGTTACCTATGCCAATCAATTTGTTGTCAGTTGTACGCTGAACACTTGAGCAAACAATGAATTGATAATTGATCAAAAGTGACAGATTAAATGGCTTTTCCATGAAGAAAAACAGGTGAATTAAAAATAAACACCGCCCTCGGGTGGGCTCGAACCACCAACCTTTTGGTTAACAGCCAAACGCGCTATCCGATTGCGCCACAAGGGCTTATATCATCAAGTGGAAAAAAGTTTTAAAAAATTGAAAAGAGCGTCAACTTGACACCGATGTTTCCATAGCCAATTGGTGAATGGCAATGTATCAATTCAACTTGAATTTATTGAAATTTTGGGTAAAATTAAAGATTACTAGCAGCAAGTTACTGTAAGTTGCAGGTCAATGAATAAATGCCTAAGGTTCAAACCTTTTTTTGCGTTAAACTTTTGACGAGCTTTTCATTTAACCAGTTTTTAAGATTCTACCCTTTTAAGCTTTCTACGGCGTCTATCTTTGCTCATCGATTAAATTTGTTTTTTAGCTTAGATTTTTGTTTAAAATATTTCATGATTCATTTATGGGTGCGTACTTTTGTAGCTTACCGTTAGAGTCCAGTAAATACTCTCATTTAGTCCAGCTAGATTCGGGTAGTTTGATCGAGGCTGTCCAGTTAGACACACAAAAGCATAACTATTATAATAATTTCAGAGGTAACAAATCTCAAAAATATCTGTCTCAATTCATCTTTTAATGCATCTCTGACTTTATTGTCGTAAATCATCTTCAGTTGTCAGATCAAAATGATTTCATCAAAATCTTTATTTTCTTTCACTTCATTTTAACCTTTTTCACATTGAATAATCTCTGACGAAAATTGATAATTTAAATCCTTTTGCGTCTAGTTTTCGTTGAAACAAAATGCTCGTTATTTTCACTTTAATTGTATATCTTAAAACCTAAAATTGTTAAGGTTGTCATCCATACAAAATCGATGCAAATTCCAGGCCATATTTTAGGATGAAGCAAGTTCCAACCACGGTAAATCATACTGCGATAAGCATGAATAGATCCTGTTCCTGGTATGCAGTAAAAAATCCATCTAAATGAGGATGAAATTGATTGTAGAGGCCAAATTGCGCCGGTAGAAAATGTTAGAATGACAAATATTCCAGAGACAGCATAAAGTGAAGCGACAACCTCTCTTGATAAACCAGACAATACAATACCGCAAACAATGCCAATCGCTGTTTGAATGATGAACAAAAAGATAGCCCAAATAATTTTATCAGGATAATCAACACCAATCAAAGTACATTGTAAGCAAATGATGAATAAAATCAAGGGAATTTGAAGGGCCAAACGAGTGACAAAGTGAACAGTTAACATTGTTTCCTTAGAAACACCGGCAACAAGCAACCTTTCAAATGTTTTACTTGTCCGTAAATTAATCAACCCAATTGAACTGATAGCCATGGCCAGTGTAAGAGTACAAATAATAACAAAACCTGGAAACATTGTACGGCGAAAATCATTGTAATCTCTTGAAATTTTAGAACCATAAATTGGTTCAGCAATTTGAATTGGAAATGACGCCAATTTTTCATCCAAGCCGATCATTTTCATTGTTGAAAGCATAAAAGACATAAAAGCATTGAAAAGACCTCTTAAACCCATTCCAGCCACTATTCTGTTTCCCATATCAACAGATATTTTCATTTGTCCTGATCTTACTTTTTCAATTGTTGTATTAAGTGACGATTTATCCAACATGAGTGTTTCTGTGAAATCTTCTGGAATCCAAAGTACACCCCAAAATGGTGCTTTACGTGCATCAGCCATTGCCACATCAAAAGAATCATAGGATTGTTTAATAAACATTGAACCATTGATACTGTCTATAAACGCAGATCCCATATCGATGAAGGATGAACCATTATTCACAATGGCCAGTTTAAGACCTGTTGGAGGATTGCCGATACAAAAGTAAAACAGCAAGATGGTCCAACACGAGACAGAATATTGTAAACTCAAAACCAAAGGATCTCTGAATTCATTGAAAATATTGTTTAGGGTTAAACTGGACCAAAGTGAAAGCCATTGTTTTATTGAAGCTGAAACGGTTGAAGGTTTGATTTCGGTTGGAAACCAGCTTTTCGATGGATATTGACCAAGGGCAATGTTTTTACCAGCTCTGGCCATTCTTTGTTGAAATATCTTCAAATCTCTTGGATTACAGATTGTACTTTTTCGTCTTACAGAGCATAATTTGAAAAAAACTTGATCAAGCGAGGTGGTCGAGTGGATATTCATTAGTCTTCCAGGTTCATCTTCAACAATTATTTTACCTTTCCTCATAAAGCCAATTCTGTTTGCTTTGCGTGCCTCTTCAATGTAATGTGTGGACACAATAATGGTACAGTTTTGTAACTCGGCCAATTTAGCCAAATAATTCCAACATGTTTCCCGCAAGACAGGATCAACTCCTACTGTTGGTTCATCGAGAATGATTAAAGGAGATTCATTGAGCAAAGCAACCAGCAATGATAACCGTCGTGCTTGACCACCAGATAATGTTCGCACACATTGCGATTTGAATGGCTCTAAATGAAATTTCTCAATGAGATCATTACACCGTTTGGTTAAATCACCAAATGGAATTTGGTACACAATTCCAAAATACATGAGATTCTCGTAAACCGTTAAATTGGAATGAAGAGCAATTTCTTGAGGCATGTAACCAACATTTGGTCCAGGAATACCCAATTCACTCTCATATGGACGACGGCCAAAGATGAACAGGTCACCAACTTGAGGAATAATTGAGCCAATAAAACAGCGAAGTAATGTCGTCTTGCCACATCCACTTGGTCCCAATAGACCATAAATTTGTCCTCGAGGAAGATTTAGATCAACATTATTCAAAATATCAACCGATTTAATGGCGTAACACAAATTTCGAGCCACCAAACCTTCTTGTAAAATCTTTTCATCGACATAGCACGGATCAATGTTATTTGAATTATTGTCACAATCAACTTTCAATGTAGATTGATTATTCGATGAAAACGATTGTACCATTTTGTGTACTATGATCTGATTAAAGATTTTAACTTCTAACCACGGACTTTTGATTACAATCACGGCTAGCAAATATTAAATGATATCTTTGAATGTAAATTTATTCAATTCATGGTTATGAAAATTGTTTATTTAGCTGGCATTGTTAGTCAAATAGCGATTCATTGAGACTACAGTCATTACCAGTTATATTGATACAGTCAAATAATTCAAAGTCAAGATGAAAATTAAATAAATCAACTAACTCATGATAAATTATTTTCGGCTTTACTCATTGTCAATATATCGAACTAGACAAATGATTTTCGAGGTTAAATCCTTTTCCATTTTGTGATTGCCTCGGTTGAAAGGAAAAATAATGATAAATTAGTAATTTTTGGAAAAAATCAGGTATATGTTTAATTTAATTTATTAATCAATATATGTTCATAAGAAATAGTTTTAATTAGGCAACGATATTTTTATTTTAAGCGTACTTCATCAAGAATCAGTATTTTGTTTCAATTTGAGTACCTCTCCATCAACCAGAGCTTTTAAATTACTTGGTAATTGAAACTCATCATCATCATTCTCTGCAATCTTTTCGGAATCCACATTGAACTCTTTATAGCTTGTATCAGTTTCATTATTATCGTGGAAATTATTATTATTATCTGCACTTGGATTAGGTGAGGGCAGTGATGATGAAAATCTTGATTCATCTCGCGGGCGATGCACAATTATGTCATCTAAATCTTCTGGATTATAAAGTTCAGTATTAACATTATCCTTCATCAGGAAAAAAACCTTTTCTCGGGCTTTTAATTGTTTAATTTTCTCTTCCAATTCTTCTAATCGTTCACCTAAAAGTCGATTGTTTTTCCTTTGAAGTGCAAGAGCAGATGATTTATCCGTCAATGATTCAAATAAAGCAACAACAAGACTTTTCAAATGCACCAGAGTAGCCTGAGATAATTGAAGATTGTTTAAATTATTGGAAGCAATGAAAGCTTGGACTTGTTTAGAAGAGATTACATTAGACAAGGCTTGATGGTCAGCCAATAATTTGGATCGAGAATCGGACGAGGAAGATTTTAAAGAGGAAAACATTGAACTCGATGATGAAGGTGTCGATTTTTCTAAAATATTACGATATTTTGTACACAAGGCTTTAAGGCGTTTCTTTTCTTCTTCAAGTTGAGATATTTTTTCCCGAAGAAAATTATTTTCATTTATCAAACTATCAATATCGATTGGTTTGGTGTCATTCTTTTCATTTGTTGGATCGCCTGATTGTTCCCTTAATAAATTGTTCAGGCGACCGTTAAGCCTTTCCACCTTAGCCTTGTACGCATCTCTTATCATGATTAACTCTTCCTTCTCATCTAATAAGGATTGCATATCTTTCTCTAATAAACAGTTGCGTTGTTTAATCATTTCCAGTTGAGTTACCAAAGTATGTTTTTCGCTCCTTTCCTTATTTGATAATACATTTGATGATATTGGAACAGTAATGGCTGCTGCTGATGATTTTAAATTTTGTACATTTGATCCTTCATCAGGTGACTGCAGTATATCTTTATCCTCTTTCTCACTTAATTCAAATTTTTGGCTTGATCCCTTTGTGGTGCTGGATGTGCTACAACTGCTGTTGCTACTGTTACTGCTGATGCTATTGGAGTGTAATCCGGTTAACCCTGGTCGTCTTTTCATTGAGTTTATTTGGCCACGCAACAGCCTAACATCGCCTTCAGCATCAATCAATTTCGTCTTCACTTCTTCCAGCTCATAGAGAAGCATCTTATTTTGTTTATTTAGTTGACACAAAATTTGAGCGAAGCTTGCACTGGTTAAATTGTTTGGATCTTCATTGATTCCCATGAAATTTGCTCCTAAGCCTTCGATTCGCCTTTTCAGTGCATTATACCTTTCCTTGATTTGATCATACATCAATTTATACTCATCACGTTCCCGTTTACATTCTAGCAAATCTTGGCTCAAAATCACCGATGCACGAGACTTGGAGTCCAGTTTACAGCGTAAATTACTGATCTGTAATACAAGAATAAACAGAAAAGATTAAGATTATGATTATAAATACATGTATTGAAACAGATATACAATAGGCATTGTATGTCAATAGGCTATGCTCAATGTCTAACATGAAGCCAATGAGATATAAGTTCGAAGGGATTAGCAGGTAGATTAGCTTCGAATAAGGTTAAATAGTCTACTTTGATATCTGAATTTCATCGAGTTGACAAACAATGCCATTTGTTACACGCTAATTGAACCAGATTCAAATTGTTATATATTCAGTTCTATTCAGTTGATAGGTTCTAGATTACGAATGAAAACATTTCAATACTTACTTCATTGAAAGCTTCCTGTAATTGTTTACTTTGGTTATCTACAGTGATATTGGACATTTTAAAATATTCACAATCGAAAAGAAAACTCTTAAAAATTAAAATTAAACAATATAACACAGAATGATATGAATAATCCAAATATAGCCCAAATTACTAGACCATATGGTATTAAAAAAAATTCACGAAAAGACAGATAGCTGTTGATGTAAATAAATATAGACTTGTTGGTTATATCATTGATTGGGCGGTAGTTTCAAGGTAGAATAGAAGTAATCGTTTGCATTTCAATTAAATTGAATTTAAATTAGAGAGAAATTATTAAATTTAGCTAGAAAATTAATTTAATTGTATCAAATAGTCATAAATAGTCACTATTCAGAGCTTTGATTTCTTAAACTCAAGATTATAATGGCTTGAAAACAGTCGATCGGCCATTTAATAGCTAATGATTATTCTTCTCTTTTCCATGTCTCTTGTAGATTTGTCCAGGTTTTCAAAACTAATTGTAACCTTGATTTCAACTCATTTGCATTTGAATAAACCGGCAGCTTCAATTATATTACATCTGTATATCTGATTACAAATACTTCTGTATTTTTTATGAGGGTTTTGCATATTAAAAGATTGACTTGGCATTTCCCATGTGTGGGTGATTAATTGTCACTGATTAACGTACATTTCTTACGTAAATTTATTGCCAAAAGCTAAAAATCCTGGATTTAACAACACTAATCATTTATTGAACTCTTTGCCTAAGATTCATATTTTAACTCAAAAGGCTCAAAAGTATTTTTTAATCATCGGGCACATGGAATACATGAAATAATTATTCTTATAATGTATTATGTATTAGAATTTTATTAAAGTTTACCTCAATTATGTTATCCAATGCAGATCCATTCCTTGAACACACCAAGCTGGATGTGCTACAACAATTTTAATCAGTTTAAAAAATTGATAATTATTGGGAATCACAAAGAGAAAAAGAAAGTCTCTTACTACTAGCACCACAAGTGCAGTTATCCGGCAACAAATCTGGATTTTTTATTAATCGCAGGCTCTTCTCCTTCTTAACCCTTTACTAGTGTTGCATGATACCCGAAAAAAGTATTTATTGAAAGAACAATATTTTTTTCAATGAGTATCGATACTATTGAAAATACTAATATTATAAAATATTGTGAAAAGTATTGTAATATCAATGAGATTTGGAAATTATCATCTTGCTTGGTAGAGATGAGGACATAAAAGACAAAAAGTCCAATTGTTTAGATACCTCGTTTTAGCCTTTTTTTATGATTTCACTAGTGATTGAAAAGATTTTTTCGCTTTAGAAAGAAGTTATTAGGCTATTCTACTGTGAATGAAACCAAATTTTGCGAGTTTGATGCTTTCGCAGCGTAAAAAGACACTAAAATGTCAGACATATCAACGAAAAAAATATATCGAAAGGAACAATACTATTGGAGAAAGTATCGATAAGTATTGTTGAGCTTGGTATCGATAATATTACTCAAAAATATAATATTGCTGCAACACTACCCTTTACTAACAATGTGAGCTTATATGGATGTAGCTGATAATCAGCTGAATAAACCTGGAGTAATCAATTTGTTTAAGAGATTTTTTCGGTTTGAAAGTTTGGTTATTCAGTTATTTTTTTGTCATCGAGCCAATATACATTGTAATAATTTGATTGTTAATTGTAACTTCAACATTTCGACCAGCTTTAAGAATATGGGTTTTGGAGCATTTGCAGGCAATCACAATAAAGGTATGTATCTTTTTGGATGTTTTTTTATTAATTTACCAGTTCTCCTGTTTTAATTTTTGTCCATTTTCTTAGAAAGTAAGATACATCCTGAAGTAGATATGTCCAAGTTGACTATTTATGGAAACATAATATGTCCATTCGTCAGGCGAGTTCTTCTTGTTTTGGCTCAAAAAAATATCCAGTGAGTATTGAAGCATTTAGATTAATTACACTAATTACGTATCATAATACTAATCTATGTTTATACCTTAAAGATACAATTTCATCGGAATTGATTTGTTCAATAAACCTGATTGGTTTCTTGAAATGTTTCCAAATGGTAAGGTTCCTGTCCTTAAAGACGGAGATAAAGTGATTCCAGAATCTTTGATTATCGTGAACTATCTTGATGATGTATATCCACCATCAGTTCATCCATCTGATCCTTATGAAAAGGCAAAAGGGTCCTTAATTGTTGATGAAATCGGCACTCCTCTGTTTACACCTTGTTTGTATAAGTGCTTGAAAGACAAAAGTCTTTCTCTTGAGGATAAACTTAAGGGAATAAATGAAATGTTTATAAAAATTGAATCATTACTTGAAAAAAAGAAGACCAAATACTTTCAGAGTAAGTAACAAATTCATGTTACAAGGTAGCTCGGCTCAAAGATATCATTTTCTTCATATTTTCATTTTATCGCTAGCTGATGATAAGCCTGTATACTCGGACTATATGGTGTGGCCTTTTTTAGAAACTACCATTTCAGTATCTAGATGGTTGAACCACCCAACAATCAATAGTGTCGAATCTGTGAAAGCCCTGTATCCATCAGTCGGGAAATACATGCAACTCATGTACGAAGATCCAGCTGTTAAAAAAGTTTCTCCAGATTATGACACTTTCGAGACCTATTACAACGGACTTGTTGGCAAAAACTAGAAATCTTCGATTTAACAACACTAACCAGCTGCTTAAACTAAGATTCTTATTTTAACTCAAAAGGCTAAATTTTGTACTTTTTAATCATCGGGTAAATGGAATACCTGGAATAACTATTCTTATAACAAATTATGTATCAGAATTTTATTAAAATTAGTTTACCTCAATTATGTTATCCAATGGAGATCTATTCCTTGAACACACCAATTTCAGTTTCTGTACATTTTAAATAAACCGGCAAATTTGTTAGGTTGCCAGGAAAATTGAATCTTATTCATAAGGCAAAATAACTAAATCATGGATTCAATTGAAGAATTATTTATTGATATTTGGTGCACAAGATTAGTTAAATATTGTATGTATGAAACTAATTGTTCATTTGTATCGGCTTGGCAACAGAAGCAAAGAAATAGTAATTGATGTATGGAAGTGTATATAAAACAATATTCACATGAGAGTTCAATTTTCAGAAGATTCAGCATCTGACTCTTCTTCTGATGAAGGTTGGGATGATCCTGATGATCCAGATGAATCAGAGTCGGAATCACTGCTACAATCGTCATTTCTACGATTTGGGTTGAAGAATAAAGCATCCTCGTTTTCAGTTTCATCAGCCACTTGTTTATCTTCAAATCTCACAGGCCTGAAATGATAAAAAGATAATAAAGATTAGCAAAGGACCAAGCCAAATATAAAATAACATCAATCAGCAAAATTAAAATTTTACTTACCATTTGCCTTCTGATTTAATGTATTTGATTTGGTCCTTTAACAGAATTTGGATAATTTCAGCCTTCACTTTATCTCCTTCTTTTATCGGCTCAACGACAACAAAATCACCTGAAACAAGAGTAAATTATTAATAACACACATAATAATCTTTACAAAATTATAGCTATAGCAATAAAATCTTACCTCTTTTGATCCAAACATTTTTTCTGAATTTGGTTGGCATGCTAGCAAGATACTTTTCGCCATCAGGTGATTCTACCTCGTGTAAGTTGTTTCCTCGACCAGCAATGACCTAGTTAATTTTGATAAAGAATCAATCATGTGATTATTTGAAGAAACTGATAAAGAAATAAATAGATGCTTACCTTAACAATATAAGCTGGTTCCTCTGGAATAAAGTAGTTCTCAAGAACCTCTTTGGTTACATATTTACGTTTAGTAGCCTTAGACATCCTTCTCCATTCAAATGAATTACAAAGAAAATAACTGAAATAATGGATGAGTGGAGCAGATTTTCAACAATTAATGAAACAGGAGTCACGAAGATCAGCAATTGATGGTAACAATTAAATAAATTCACGGTTTTAAAGAGTAAAGTAGAACTAGACAAATTACAAATATAGTGAGTAAATATAGCTTGACTTGAGCCTAAAGATGTGTGGAATGGTAAACAATATCAGAAAGGCATGCAACTTGAATTTATATTGAAAAAATATAAATCCCTTTAACCCGCCCTGATACTTGAAATTGTTAATCTCTTTTTTTAACAAGGTCTAGAACAACAATTTAATGAGTTTAATTTAGGACAAACGGGTTTAGCTTAAATGTTTAAATTCACAATTAAGAAAAAAGGATAAGCTGATTAAATTTGAATTTAGCGGATTTTCAAGCTTTAGTGTATTCATGCTCTAAAACAGATTTCTTTCTGAATATTTTAACAAGCATAATTTATTTTAAATAACTTTTTGATTATGATTTAAAATAATATTTAGTTTATTACACAGGAATATAAACATAAAAATTAATTTTTATTTTCATTTTTTAAAACAATTTCAACTTTTTAATATGATATGATCATCAATGAATGCAATATTGTATAAATAAATTTTAAATCCTTTTTCGAAATTTTCAATCTCACTTTTTTCAGGTAATTCACATGATTCCAAATCTGGATTAGACCAAATTGTTGCTACCGAGTCAACCAGCTGGACAAATTTACGAACCATTGTGCGAACAACTTTGGAATTGCTGTCACTCCTTTGCATAGTGATGAGCTCAATTCGCCTGATGAACTTTACAAATGAATTTTTTAAATCTTGATAGTCACAAGCAGTGTCTAAGCTTTTATACAAAAGAATAACCTGTTGATGAACATTGTTCATGATGAAATTGTACAAATTATTTGCTGTAAGCAGTAAACGATGGCGAATGAGATATAACTTGTGAGCATAACATAAAGTACGTTGTTTTATATTCCTAGGAAGCCTGAGATTGTCTAAAATCCAGCGACAATAAGTTAATAACAGCAAAAATTGGAAAGCTTTGTCATAAATCATTTTTGAATTGTTGTTGATGATAGCTCGAGAAGTCCAATCCATTTCTTCATAAATGAGATGAATGTTTTCTATTATTGTAAGATTTTTAACTTTTTTTCCATTAAGACGTTGTTGGGAAAGAAATGCTGTCACATCATGTTCAGTGAATGTATAATAATGCCAATTGAGGGCACTTTCAGGTTTGGTGCAGCCTTCGGTAATATCTGAAAACAAGGCCTCGAAATAAAGTCTCATCTCAGGATTGGATCGTTGAAGCAGATAATAGTCATTGAAAATATTCAAATGAAGTTGATAGGAATTATGAGAGTGTTCAATTAACCATTGACTGATAGGATCGATGAACGTTTTCAAGGTTGCTGTTAAACTTTTTTGCAAAGCAATTTCAAATGGAATACCATGACGGGTATAATCACTAGGAAGAAAAGATTCGGTTGCCATATTCTCGATAGAACTGAAGTTTAGATCTTCAACATCGCTTTCCAATTTATCATCAATAGTTAAGAATTCATAATTTAATGGAAATAATTCTTCATACATATCCAAGCGTAATTTTAAGTGGTTCTTTTTCTTGGTGGATTTGATGTGATTGATGTTATCGTTAGATACTATATGGTATATTTGCTTCAAGTGACGTAAAAAGTGTTCAAATAAACAGCCTCTTGGATAGTCGATTTTGATTGTACGATTTCTTTGTTCAAAAATGTTGATTAATAATCTGGATTTTATTCCCATGCAAAGATATTCCCAAGAAGAATTAAAAATGACAGGAACTGGATTTGTATCGTCAAATTGCAAAACATCAGACCAGAAATGATCAGGATCACAGTCACAATTGGTTTGGAAAAAAAATTCACCTCGACAGTCTTTTACAATGCCGTTCGTCAAAAGAGATTCGATATAATCCAAACAGGGCCGAATGGAAGAGATCAACAGCTGTGATACAATATTGAATTCGTGAATTCGATCCAAGTAAATAAAATCCATTAGAATATTTAATATTTTACTCGAACAGTCAGAACCATCACTTAAAGCCATGCCAATTTCATAGAGAGTATTCAGCTTTACCGCCAGAAAACCACTTTTCTTGCCGTTTAAATAATCTGAGAAGTAGTTGACAGGCATAGTTAGTTGTTGCGAGTCCAATAACAGTTTTTCAAAGCATTGATTGAGAATATCTCTAAGCGTTAACGAGTATGAAATCCTCGTTAGCACATTGTCATCTTCGTTTATGAGGCATTTATTAATCGAGTCAAGAAGAAAATACACTCGGCTTGCAAGTTGTGAATAGTTGGACAAAACAGATTTTGAGCATATTTCAGTTTCATTTTTTAAACTTATCCCATCTTCAGGATAAATAAAACCATCGATATTTTTAAAGAGTTGAGATTCAGTTCCTGTTAAAATTCTGAATAAAAAGGTTGAATTAATAAAGCATCACCTTAATAAATTAATAAATTAATAAATTAAATAAAATCACAAGTCGATACTCACCCAACAAGATGTAAATTCAGTAACTTATGGTCAATTTCCTGTGTAGGATGCAATATTGACATCAATTCCTTAAGACTTAGAGGATCTTCAGGCCTTAAATGAAACAACCGATTAAGATCCATCACAGATAATCGTGGGTAGTAATTAACAAATCACAATAACAGCTTCATGTCAAGAAAAAAACAATAACATTTTCAAACCGTGATTTCAAACGCGGGAACAAAAATTTCATTGGTCAATACCTAACGACATCTGGTGTAATTTAACTTAACGTGACATTATTTGTTGCAATTTTCAAAGATTAAATTAATCTTTTCTTTGATCAGTTTTTAATCCATTATTCAGTTTAATCAACATATGCTTAAAATAAGTATTATTCGAGTATTATTTTATTACAAATGAAACAAGCCGATGGTTGTGATCCTAAATATATAACCCATTAATCTGATTCACCAAATTAAATGCAGATGAAAACGTACACAGCATTGTTAATAAAATTTAATTTGATAAAAAATAGCAACAAAATGTCAATCTGATGTAAAATAATCAACAATTTAATTTAAATTTGGATAACAAACAGATACAGATTTCTCGCATGCCCTCAGCTGAATATAACGAGTGAACAAATTGATTACTGCTGGGTAAAGTAAAACTATTTCATGGTGATGATTTCATGTTTTCAAATTAAATTCCGATGATAGCTAATCGTTATGTAATTTTTCAACACAAGTAAACAATTTTCATTGAGATTATATGTTATTTACATTGAATTAAATGATGAATTTATAAAATGGAATGTGATTCAATTTGCTATTTGGTGACTATGGTGAAAGATTTTGATTACGATTTTGATTTGGCCATGATTCGGAGAGAGTGCGACGAAGTTTAAAGTAATTAAATCTGGAAATACCTTTTGGTGAGCTTTTTAACTGATTAACTTTCAAGTTTTTACATTGAGTGTTAGCATTGAAAGGAATAGATTTACTCTTGGGCCTATTTTCATTTAAATTACTTCCATCATCTAATACACCAATTATGGCCTCGTCGTTGAATTTATCATTGTCCAGTTGATTAGCTTCTTTTTTGGGATTGATATTTTCAGCTTCTTCAAAAAGCGTTTGTCTCAGTGGTTCAATAATCTCATAAATATCATCTTCACCATCGTCCAATAGTTCGTCCCTTTCTTCCCTTGCTTTCATGCCTCTTATCTCTTCATAAATATGGTCATCTTGTAATATTTCAACGGCTGTCGGTAGTGAAGTAGCCAAATTTATTGGTGAATAAGAGTTGTAATCTAATTCAGCGGACATCCATTGTTTACTATTCAGTGAGCAATCAAGAACAGAAGAGGGAAGATCCGGAATCGTATTTAGAATAGATTGTTGATTTGTTGGTTTGATTATTGAAGCATAACCATTGTTTGACGATTGATTAATTGCAACTGGATTGGTTGGACGAGGGACATCATAGATGCCAATATCACTCGATTCAAGCCAAGCTGAAGACCTATTGGTTGACAGAGAGCTGGAAAGGCTGTAAGATGTCGACTGATTGTAGCTATATCTTGTCGAGGAAACTGGAGTAAACGAAGAGCGATCCGAGATTGATTGGGATGGTGATTTACTGGAGCCATTGAGTTCCCACAAATCATCAAATCGCGCAGTTAAATCAAATTCATTTAGAGATAGACTGAAATTTTGAAATAGCTCATCACTGTAAGTTGTTTCAATGATATTACCAGATGAGCGAACCCGATTAGCTTGAATAATCAGTTCGGAGGCTTCCTCACAATAGATTAATATGTTTCCAATTCCAGTGCTACTGTTTTCATTTGTTTTCATGTTGACTACTTTATTGTTGTCCTTTAGGTTCAATTGAGGTACCAGCCTGAATGATACAGCAGACATTGACCATTCTTGGATAACATGACCAGTCTGTGGACAAGTTAGGGAAACCTTTTCCGATGTAATTGTTAGATATCCGCAAACACCAAGTAAACCAGCTCGATACGAAATTTCATTGTCAATAATTGACACCTCAAAGAAGCTACCCAAAGCTGAATAAAAGAGACAAGAAATTAATAATAGTTCATTATCAGTGATCAAGATCAAGCAAAATCATTATCAAGAAGTGAAAGTTAATTTCTCACTGAATTACCCAATTAAAAGCATCGACATTGAAATTTGAATGATTTGATAGGTAATCGCAATTTTGTTTTTCATTAATTTTTATTTAATAATAATAATTAACCTGCTAAGTTGCGAAACAGTTGACAAATCAAACATTTTCAGTTTGATGATATTTCTAATGAATTTGGAAGTTTCATTATATTATCAACCAGATCATTATTTTCAATCCTTCATATCTGTTAACATACAATCTAAAACTGTTATCTGGTTAGCTTTGAGTTAAAATACCCTTCACAATAATTAAAGACCCTGATTTGGGTTACCGTTACATTAAAAACATTAAAGATTCCACTAATCAAATGACAATTCACTATTTATATCTATTTTATTACATTTGTCAATTTGATAAAACCTTTCACTATTTTACCTTCAAACTGAATATCATATGATGTATGGTCTAGAAACAGGTCGTTGCTATAAAATCACAAGATGTATCAATTAAGGTAGTTTTTTGCCATAAACTTACTCCTTTCATGGTCCAAAGGGAGTTTCAATTTGATAATAATAAAACTTGAAAATAAACCTTTAATCTTTCAATGGTAGCAGTTTCATAAACACAAGGCTTTTGCTTTTTTTCATGATAAAAACCTGATCAAAATGTGTACCAATATTCAATGTATCATGCAAATATTACACTCATGTTATGTCATATTACAAAAATAGCTAATCAAAAGTCCAAAATCAATGTAAACCAATGAACAGAACCAGATTGATGAAGAGTTCAAAAATTAAAATTAGGCAGAAGAGTTATCTACTTATTCTGATAAATTGATAATAGCAGTAATTATATGAATCAATAAAGAATGACAAACATTAATACAAAAATCACAAGCAATCAAGAGATAGTTGGGATTGGTTGACCTTTTTCCCTGCTACAGATTACATAAAATCCTATGTATTACCAGCTATATTGAGATTTTTCAGTACGTGTTGTTCAATAAATCGTTGTACGATCTGAATTATGAAGATGATAACATGCGATAGAAAATATTAACTGTTACTTACTTTTAGATAATGATAAAATAGGGTTTGGAGGCCAAAGCAAATTACGAATTGATTTAATCAAAAGCTGACTCTCTGTTTCAGAGTCACCAGAAATATGAACCATAGGTTTACCATCGCCGTAGATTGTGAACGCATGTGGCTTTTTACGAGATCTTTTGAATGTAATTAAATACAATTAGCATAAAATAATTTATAATAATCAAGGATGGGTTTAGTGATTAAGCAATATACAAACAATAATAAAGTGATACTTACTTGCAGCGAAAGATGATGGTTCTAGAAGGATTTAATATTTCTTGAATGACAAACCCTTGAGAAGTGTCTTTCATTTTTGAGCTTTTAAATATTGTTAAAATTAACTTATTGTTAGACCGACTAGCATGGCGACCATTTATTTCACTGGTCTGAGGCTTAATCACGAGTAGTTTAGGTGACCATACTTTCCAGGCTCCAGTTGACCTTACATTGGGTGGCAGTTTAACACAAAAAACACCTTTAACGGCAACATCAGCTAAGTCATGCTGATCAAAGGCATAAGACATATTTTGACTCTTTGAATCGACAAAAAATTGTCAACAGATGACACTAGATATAACAATTAAACACACTGAATGTACAGTTTTTGGACAATTTATAGATTGTTGATACAATTCTGTCTTTATTTCATTTTCCAATAATTTAATGCTAATAAAGCTTCTCATGAACCAGTGGAGTTGCTTTTGAGTCTTACATGTTCAAATCTCTTGCTATTTATCAAATACCTTTTTATTTTATATTATTTGCTGTTTATGCCTTTTATCAAAAAGATGATTAGAATTGAACTTTTGCCCAATAAAACGGTAATCGTTAGGTAATATTAAGATAATGGTTAGTAATGAATGACAATGTGTTAAGCTCAATCTTTGATCTTACCAATGATTCGTAGTATCACACCCTTGAAAATAACGATTTCAAGTTATATTTTATATTAATGTTAAGAAAGCAAAGATAATTTTTCAATCAGTTGAGCTGAAATGATGAAAAACATTTAAATTATTTGACAATTTGAAAAAAAGGACAAAATGTTCATATGATTTTGATGTGTTTATGGATAATATGTTCATTAATGACTAAATTGAAATGATGTTAGATAATTGATAAATCACAATCGAGCATTAACAATGGAAGATAAGTCGAAAATTAAACTCGTGAACTATTTAATTAAAAATTAAAAAAAGTAAAACTGTTAAAGTTAACTAAAAAAGCAAAGCAAATATACAATACAATTAATAGAGAGAGATTTAAAATAAATTACAATGTGTGGTTCGTTTCTTAATAAAGGGAAGATTTAAAGGATTTTAAAATTTGACCAAACAAATGCCAGTTGACAATTAAGATGTGTAGTATTGAGATTAATAATTAGGAAATTTGAATGGCCAAAAAGGTTAATTGTTAAATTTGTCATTAGTATTTAGGTTAAAAATTTTCCAGTGATGAGACAAATCGATGAAAAATCAGGTTTGCGTGAAAGTTGTCTTCTAAATTTTTGTCCATCAGGAGGTGAATGGAGGGTCGGAGAAATTAGTTTTTATCTTTAACTATGAAATATATTTACTCGTCATTTGACAGTAATTAATATTAATTATTACCAAATAGGTGAGTCTATTTATTTTGAACCTCATTAACTTGGTGGGAAATACGTCCAATGAGGTAAAGAGCGAGATGGATTCAGTATTAACTGGGCAATGCTCACTCGTCAACCATTTAATTAATTGTTAATTTTGATTTGCTTTAGTTTTGTTTAGTCAATTAGATAACGTTTTAGTAATTCAAAGACAGAAATCGTCAATATTTAGGGGAATAGAGAGAAGGGTTCAAATGATTTACTGAAAAGATCAATTTACTATGAAAAGTAAATATTAGGACGAAATTTAAGACTGTAAATAGGCATCGATTACCACTAACTGAAATCAATACATGGAAAATTAAGCAAGTTGCAATTCTTATTGAAATGATTTAGTTCAGATTTATTTAACTTCAATGATTTTCCTGTTTCAAAAGACTTTTCTGTGTCAAAGACTTCAACTTAATCAGAGATCATAGTTATTAAATAGGAAACAAATCTATCATTTAAATGATATTATTTGTCCTCAATTACTAAATAATTATGCCGATTTGAAACATAATGAACTTTCCATTAGCTGTATTGATTTTATTAATATTGTTAATATAGTAATAAATGCCTATTTACAGACATGTAAAAATCTTTTCTTATCTATTAATAATCGAATGCTATTCGAAATTACAAATGAAAGAATAGGAAACTAATTAGAATTAAATTAAAAGTGATTAAATTCAATCATAGCAAACTGAATGTTTGGAATGAAGAAAATCGACTGAATTACTGTCTATTTACTGTTATTTTGAACTTTTAAAGTTGCTGATTATCTTTCTAAATTAACTTTTGATTCGTCTTTTAGTACTCTTAGAACGCAATTCATATTTGCACAGATCAAGATCAATTAATCCTAAGCCTGTTAATTCGCGAGTAAGAAGACTTGATCTAGCAGGGATCATTTTTTTGGAGAAAGGACGTGTTTTCTTGAGAGTTTTTTTTCGAATCACACGGAAAGGTTGACGAGTAAGCTGCCCGGATTGTCATCTTCGTCTTCCTGCGGTTTTCGTCTTGTCATGACATGAAGAGGTGATGATAACTGTCTGCTGGGATGATTGATTACATCTGAAAGAGAGAAAAAGAAACAAATTAATATTCAATAGTAAAAAAACCGAAACAATGAAAGTTTCGCAAATCATGCCCAAAATTTCTTAAAAAAATATTCATGAATAACCAAGCAAAAATATAAATAATTTGACAAACATCAATAGAAAAGTAAAATGCATGAAAATACTAGCGAACAAAAGTAAAAATAAAATTGAAAAAATATCAAAATTCATTGAACAGAGTAAGAATCAACCAAAATTAAGACAAGAGTGCTTGGGAAAAAGCTGTAGCAATGCTAGGAATATGGCAAAAGTTCCCTTTTTGGCAATTTTTCAACTCTCTTTAGATAGAATCATGAGTTGACAAAGAAAATGAAAATATGATTTTGAAACTAAAAACAAAAATAAATGAAAGCAATTAAACGAAGTAAAAATAAGCTCAAGATGAAACAGCGTTTAAAAGGTTTGCCTCTTACGGGGACATTTTTGAGAAAATTGAATCTGAATGGTCGACTGGTAGACTTGCTATACGTGCTGCAGGACCAACACGAGAGTGGCGCATAGGTGAATAGGATCGACCTCGAGATCGAAGCATTTTAGCTGCTGGTTTAATTAATCTATTGTTGATAAGATTAACTGGATTAGTTGTTTTAGCTGTTGGTGATGGAGGGTCAAAGATTACTTCATGAACGGGAACAGCTTGTCGCCATAGATCAAGACTGATGAGTTGTTAAAAAGTTTGAAATAAGATGGACACAGGGAAGATTAATTATACATTAGTTAGTGTTAGTAATAAGAGTTTCAGAATATAAAGAAGCTTAGAAAGTGAGAAGAAAGAAGGAGAGAAAGCTATTAAGTTAAATTGAAAATTAAGTTGGACAGTTGAGAGGATAACATAATTAATGGTAGGTTAGTTAATACTTATTAGAGGGTTAGGTTATGTTTTGGCCTTGGTTTAAACTATTAAATGTGTTGGGCTATCAATTGAATTGAAAGAAAAGTTACTTTTCTAATTCTGTGCTATTTTCACTTCATAGGATTCATGACGGGCATCTTTCATGGCTAGAATTTTTATGTACATTTGTAAGGATGGATGATTAGATACTCTAAGATGATTAAGTAGTCTAGGAATAGCAAAACAGATTCTGAAACCTGTTAAACGATAAAACATGATTCGAGGTAATTCTTTTTTTCTCTTGACTTTTTTTCAGAGTAAGTGGGAAGTGATAATTCTTTGAAAATGGTTGAATTAGCAAAGGTGGGAAGTAAGTAAATTGTTGCTCTTGAACAATACAGAATGTTGACTGTTAATACAATTTTCTGTTCATAGAGAGTTCAGAAAATCGCTGATTTTTTCTCTCCTTGAGGCTATTATGTCTCAAGGTTTATAATATCTAGTAATTAACCTAAAGAAAGAACCACGAAACAGACTTTCCTGGCTCCCAATTATCTATTTTTTGCATCATGATTGTTAAAATTATTAAATAATTTTACTTTTGTGAAATGAAATAATAAAAGATTGCTAATTTGTTTGCTTCTAAAAGCTTACCCTTTAGAATTACGAGTTGATTTACGAACAGCAGGTGATTCTGATGTTGTAATCTTTGAACATCCATGTGCTCGACCACAAGAACGAGTATTGTAATGATGGCCAGAGATACTCGTATTGGAATATGGAAATGGAATCGTAATGGAATTATTGTTGTTGTTATTAACATTTTTATTGTTAATGCTATTGTTGTTTATGGTTTTGTTATTAGAGTTGTTTTTTATAGTTGGTTCCCTTGATTCAATTTTGATTGGAATTATTCTTTCATTGGGTTGGGAAGCTGATCGATTTAACTTTAGTCTATTCAACCGGTCTCCTTGTCGCTCAGTTTCAGTAACGGATCCTGTTGTTATTGTAGATGATGATGATGAAGATGATGAATTGGTCTTTCGATTACATCTACTTGATGTTCTGGTAATCTGATTTTCCAACTTATTATTTTGGACCAATTTTTCATTCTCAGCTTTAACTTGATTCAAACCATCACGTAGCTCAATGCGCTTGAATTCACATGTAATTTTAGATAGACTATCATTTCCATTTGATTTAGGGGTTTCCTTTGTTGATGAATTTTTTTCATTTGTGATGATATCTTTACTGGTACTGAGATTACTTTTTTTGTTAGATTTTTCACGTTTAGCATCATGCAAAGCGTTACCAGCAAGCCATAGACAATTTTGCATCCTGCAAAGAGAAAATTGTTTTTTATTAAAATGAAAACACAAGGAGAAGATAATTGAAAAGAGAGAGAGAGAGTCATGAAACTACCATCATTAGTCATAAAGTTTTCCAGTCACCCACAAGAAAAGTAAATGAACAATTTCATGGATAAATGTAAAATGGCAATGATACTAAAGTACCACTGTAGCAATGATGCAAACGCTAATGTCGAGAGGTTTTTCTTTTCATGTGGGTTGGAAATAGCAGTGAAATATTTTCCGGGAGATTAAACGACATCTTAAAAGACCTGATGAAATCAACTCTCAAGCTTTACAATGGTAATTTTGTGAAATCAATTTTAAATACAAAAACTTACTTGACCAGCCATTGTTGCTGAGGGCCAATTATTGAGCCTGGTCGACAGATTCTGATCCATGCTATTGCTTCAGCTGCTGTGAATCTGTAATGTTTCATTAAATAACATGCAATGAGAGTTCCTGTTCGACCAAGGCCAGCTATTCAGGAAAACATAAAGACAAGAAAAATATAAATATTTGAAGAATAAGAACAGAAGGGAAACGTGAAATTTAACAATGTTTACATCATTGTTGCCATTATTAAAAATAGAAAACTAATACAATACCTTTACAATGAACGGCAACAACTCCAGGAGTACCTTCACAAATATCAAGAAATTTCTGAACAATTGATAAATCAGGGGTAGATCCATCATCAAAGTACAAATCGAAATGATTGATGCCAGCATCGGAGAAAATTTTTCCCTGGTAGACTGGACTATTGAGACGAACGACTGTGGTTACACCATTTTTATTAAAATAATCAAAATAATATTCTGGTGGAAGTTTACTGTAAGCATTAGGATGCAGAATAGAGGCATTTTCTGTGGGCCCACAGAAGGCAATCAATTTACCAGGAACAATCCAATTTAAATCACCATTTCTAACCTCTTCGTAGAAGAGATATTCAGCTAAATCAAACTTGGAGTATTCAAAGATTTTCGTCTTAATAGCTTTTTGTACGGCTTTAAGACAATCATGAATAGGCAAACCGTAATCACAAGATGAATAAGAGGCATCACGATAGGTAACATAACGAGCTGGACTGTTTTTACGTAGTTTCATCATTATCGTGTTGGCATCCATGCCTAGCTTTATGATGGCATAACAGCCCATCAAGAATGCTGAATTGACTCGACTTTCTTCATAATTGCTTGAAAAATGTATAACTGGTTTACTTGGCTGTGAATCCATTACTTTTGCTAATTTTTCACAGAATAGGTAAACACAAGCTAGATTTAAAGGGCCAAAATCTTTATCGAATCCTCTATAATGAAATTCTTCATTTCCAACAGGTATGTATGGCAAATTGTCTGACGCAAATGGTTGATAAATAACGTTGACCGTGGCAAAATATAGACGATCTGTAAAGTATAAGTAAATATTTAGACCGATTAAATTGTTCAATAAAACAATAGTGGACAAATTGTTTTGAAATAAAGTAAGGTTAAACTTGCTTAGTTCAAGCAACTAATTTGTTCAGAACGATGAATTGAAGAATAAAAATAGATCGTGTGAGGGAGATGAAAGTTGAGGACATCTTAAAAAGATATCAAAGAAGTAGTCAGTTTAAATATGCTATATTTACCTGGGATAATAGAAGTCAATTGTACTAGACCGCCGGCAATCATTTTATCACGATCAAGATCTTTATAATGAGCGAAATCATTAACGATATTCTCCAAATAACAAGTCATGGTGCTATATGTAAGTGAGTTTACTCAATAGATTATGGTAAATCTATTTATCAATAACTTGAACTTTCTTGTTTACTTCACAAACCAACTAATAAAAATGGTTGATTTTGTTAGCCTCATCAGGTGAGTAGAACAACAACACCACAGAATGATAAACACAGCCGTAACTCATGTGAAAACCGGTATTAAAGTTGTAGAGTTGCAAGTTAGTTCCACTTGATAATTTAAACAGTATGTTAACACAATAACGATCGCATAAGTTGAAGAAAGGATATATCGTTCTGAATTGAGATAAACAAATTAACTCCAAATTATGATGAGAGATGAATCAATTGATTTCCTTGTACTGAAAAAGGACTTTGAACACAATTGTTTTTTGATAAGATATCTCGGTCAACAGCTGAGAAGATAGGTCACCTAAAAAATCACACGAAAGAGTTAGTCAGGTAGATGGAAAAAAGTAAGAAAATTCGAGAGAGAGAGAGAAAGAAAGAAAAGAAGACAGGACAGACAGAGTGATAAGAAAAATAAGGAGATATCAAGTTTTAAGTCACGATGTATCAATGTGAAGCTAGTGATTGATGGGAATAAATGGAAATTTGATCATCGAGACAAAAAGACATAAAATATTAACGTTTTATACATAACTAGAATAATACTTCCAAGATAAAACGAAACAGAAAGGAAAGTAGAGTCTGATCAAAGCTGACCCATGAACAGAATCGTAAGAGATAATGGCTTATTCAAGAATGGCGTAAAACATTCATTCTCAGCTTAAAAGCTCAAATAAGTATTTGTAACAGCAAACTATCTTAACTGTAGAAAATATTATGTTGATGGAAAAGAAAATAATAGAAGTTGTTAGACATCATCAGCACTATTTTAATCATGCTACTTGTAAAACGAAAATTGGAAAGTTGCTGGACGAGGGTGAAGTTGAAGGTAAAAATAGAAGCAAAAGATGCATAAATAGAGATTAGTTTGATAATTTAGGAGTAGAATAGACTGTAAATATAACAAAAATGAAACAAAATAAACTAATTTACCAAACAATAAGAAAAAAGAGAATAGGTTTGAAAACACTTACTTAGCAGGTTTTGTTAAGATGAAATCAGTTGATGTTAAAACAGCAAAAGAAAAATTCAGGTAAAATTGATGAAATTTGCGAAAGATGACCAACTGAAGATGCTCTAATAGCCACCATCAAGTTGGTGATAATAAAGTTGGTAGCGGTGATGCAGATCAAAAAAACAAGATGAATATTTGAAGTGAAAAAAAGATTTGTTTATCAAGATGGTTTTTTTTTCAAATTTCAACCGTTTATCTGTTTTCGGTTAGGCGGTTGGAAAGGTGACTCCCGAATCCGCTCTATTTCTATCAGCTTGATACAGATGGCAGCACAAAAAACGGCAATACAACATTTTCCCGGTTTATTTTGGGACTTCAAATTGAACTCATTTGTTTACTTTCATGATGAAAGTTTCATCTATGCGACTTTAACTCATTACTGATTGTGTAGTCATTTATTTGACCATGGAGAAAACAAAATCAAATTCTCATATAGTTTTGAACTGTTCCTCAAATTTTCAATCTCTCCGAATTGAAGACCCCAAAAAATGTAAGATTTTCTTTTTTCATCTTTTTTTCTTCTCATAGTTTATAATTTTTAACCTTTATCTCTCTTGTCACTTTTAGCATCTCCTGAATGTGAAAATAACCAATTCCCTCAATATTTCCTAAGATCTATTCCGGATTTGAAGAGACATTTTAGTCTCCAGGAGAAAATTGGGGAAGGTACTTTCAGCAAGGTGTTCAAGTCAAAATTATTGAAGAATCCAACAAAAAGCTTTGCTTTGAAATGTATCGTACCAACTATGAAATGGGATCGAGTGGCAAATGAAATTCGTTATTTAAGAGATCTTGGTGGGAACTCGAATATCATTGGTGTCAGAACCTGTTTCTTTGGTAGTGGACTATGCGTCATTGTGATGCCATATTTTCCAAACACTAAATTCGTTGATTTTCTTAAAGATGCCAATGGTTTTGAAATACAAAGCTACATGAAAAATCTTTTCATAGCTTTAGAGGCAGTTCATAAACATGGCATCATTCACCGTGATATTAAACCCAGCAATTTTCTATTCAACCGAAAATCGATGACATTTGGACTCATTGACTTTGGTCTCGCCGAAGACGAGGTAGTTCTCCGTAAACACGCCTTAAGTGCTCGAGAAAATATCCAGTTTGCTTCTCCAGCCCTTTCATCTAAATCAGCTATTAAAGAGCTTGTTGCAACCAAATCAAACTTTGCTCTTCATGATAGAGAGGGTATTAAAAATCCAGTTTTAATAAAAAAGCGTACCTATGATGACATGGCCACGACTCCTTCTAATACTACTTCATCAAAAAAAGTTAAATGCAATGAAAATTTCAGTACTCCAGTAAAACGTAAAAATCCAGCAGTAATTCCAGAAACTCCACCAAAAAATAATGTAGATAAGAAAGAAGCTGAAGTTAAACCACGAAAATTCATATTAAAACCTTCATCTATTTCTAATCCTTGTGCTTGCTATGGAAAAGAGCAAATCTGTAATAATTGTTTGCGGCGTTTTGATCTTGCTGCACCCAGAGCTGGAACTAGAGGTTTTCGAGCTCCAGAAGTTTTATTAAGACATTTGCAGCAGACAACTGCCATTGATGTCTGGTCTGCTGGTGTTATTATGGCCTGTTTATTGTCCAGGAGGTATCCATTTTTCAGCACTTTTGCTGATGATTTGACTTCTCTTAGTCAAATGATGACCGTTTTAGGAAGTAAAAGATTCATCAAAGCGGCAAAAGAATTGAACCAATCAATTATTATGAACCCAAAGACAATACCTCCACTCGATTTGAAAAAGCTATGTGAAAATCTTAGAGGCAATAATTCACTCGAAATAGACGACAGTGCCTACGATTTACTGGATCATCTTCTTGAGCCCAATCCAAGAAAGCGGTTAACAGCTAGTGAAGCTCTCATGCATCCATTTATTTCTCAGAAGACGTAATTAACGGGTTTAGTCTTACATAAAAAATTCAGACAATGTAAAAATTAATAAAGTTACTGTTTTATAGTTTTATTAAATTAACGCAAAAATAAAGTTAATACGTTATTGCTTACTGTAAATTACTGCAGTGTTGAGCAAATTTAGTTGAACAAGACAAAATAAGAGGAGTAAGTACAGTTATTATTGAACAGACATGATTTTTTGAGCATTAATCTTCGATTTTCCTTCATCAATGTCTATCGACAATTTCTTCGATAGTACGGATATTTAATAAAATAAGCACAATTTAAACTCTTTTCAAAATTTTCAAAACATGTAATTCATACCAAAACAAGAATCATTTTATCAGCTAATATCTTCATAGCTTGGAATAAGCTAAAGCATTTTTTTTGTTTATTAAAGTAAGTTTTCAATTGTCGAATTGTGGATGAAATAGCAATTAATTTATAATCATATATCACCAGCTTTGATATAAAAGTATCAAGATCAGCTGGTTACGAAAAGAGATGACTTCAAAAACAGTTTTACAAGCAAAAGGTGAGGTAAAGAGTCTACAATCAAGTTTTCGATTTTGAATTCGTCAAAATCTTTAAATATTAATATGATCAAGATTGTGAAAATGAATGTGTAAGTTATGATGAGACTCAATGGTTTTCTGATTTGATTTGTATTCCCAGAGCTTTCCTGATAGCTCTAGTCATTATCATTTGCAAATGATATTAGACTTTGTGTATAATGTAGGCCAATTTCATCTTCTCCATAAGTTGATGTCAACAATTGAGTTTCTTCTTTACTGACAAAGGTGACAGTGGCAAAGGTAGAATCCATTGAGGGTAAGAATGATGAGAAGGGTGTTATATTGACAGAATCGATCATTTTAACTCGATTTGCTTCAGGTTCTTTGTAGGGTGGTAAACATGAAATACCATCGGATAGTTGACCAACTAAACTTCCTAATGTTACTTTCTTCTCTTTTCCTTGACTTCCAATAATACCCAATGTTGTGGTTCCATCATTCATCTGCCGTAGGAAACTTAAATGTGACCCGTCCCGTCTTTCCAACGTTAATCGATCAGCAGCTATTTTTGCTGATTTTTTTACATACGCTAAAATCTGTTCTGCAGTCAGCTCTTCGTCATCAATGAGTTCAATTTCACTGAAATCATTCATTTCTTTATCATGAAGTTTTACCGGGTCCGTACAGCTGTCTTGTTGTGAGTTTTCAATACCTGGCACTGTTTGAATTGAAGAGTCAATCTCCATTATTGGACTTTCTTCCATATCATAGCCAAGTTGACCTGGACTTGAATCAGGATAAGGTTTGGCTAACTCAGGAATAATGTTTTTATTGAAAATTTTGCATCTAGCATAATGCCATAATTTTCGCGCTGCCTTATAAGATGGTGAAGCTCTCCATCTATTGCTCAGAAGACATAATTAACTGGTTTAGTCTTACATAAAAATAAACATCGCACTATTGGACTAAACTTGGTCTCAATTGATTTGTACATGAATAACAATTATAATCAAATACCAGATCAATTTGAAAGCCAATTTTATTGTATTTGTGAAAATATTGACAAGTGAGTAAAGATGACTAATACATGTAATTCATACCAAAACAAGAATCTCACCAAAAGAAAGTCTGAGATGAAGAGTGATCGATGTGCACCTACTTGAAGCTTGTTTCTTAATAATCATGAATATCGACTTTAAGGCCAACAGTGAGTTTTCGAAGATAAAAGAGTTGAAGATGTTGAAACGTTCATTGTAAGTCATTATCAAGCCATTAAAATTTTTCGGTGTTACCTTTTACTACTTGATTAAATCAGGGTAACAATCCTGATTGAGTTACATGTGACCAATCATGCATTTAAATGATAGTCTCAATATTTCCACAGTATCTTAAGTGTTACAATACAAATTACATTGAATTGTTAGTGCAATTAATTACTGAGATAAACAATGTTTTATGGCAAGAAAAAGTTTCGCAAAAATGTTCAGTTTAGTTTATTCAGTAATAAATGAAATTAGTTTAATCTAAATGTTACATGTTAATCGGTATTCAAGCAATTTACTCAATGAACAATTGTTAATAAGTTGCAAAATTTGAACCTTTCAACAGTAATTAAAAACAACTGTAAAAAAGTAACTAAACAGTAAACCTTGAATTTTGTGTTGATAGATTCAGCTGATGATCATTGATCAGACAGTGATAGTGATTTAGTTTTATCAAAAAGGATTTCAACAAGATAGCAATTAAATGAGCGGAAAATAGATTAATATAGAAAAATGGTGTTTACAAGATAAGCTGATAGTCAATTGTGATAATAGCTCATAGACTTTTGAATCGAGTGTAGCTTTTTTTATATTCAAGTTCATGAGCACTTAAATCCGAATTGGAATGTTCATTTTTTTACAATTTAAGTTCAAATGGATAAGGAACAATTTAAGGTTGAAAATTGAAAATCAAGGCAAGATTATCTGTAGACTTATCAGAATCACAGAGCAACCGTAACTTTCAATTTATATTACACTGTGAATAATTAACAGTAAAAGTAATGACTGACTTTATTTATTTAGCTAATTAAAACAAAAGCTGCTCATGTCAATTCAATTGTTGAATGAAAAAACAGAAAATTTCTATCACCAGTTGTGTTCATCTGAAAAACTGGTTAAGAGCAATGAATTTTGGGATAACCAGTAAACTTGATTTTTCACCTTTTTTCAGCAATTGAATAACAACCCCTCAACTTACCTAAACCAGTGGATTACCAATAGTTGTTTAACCCTGTGTAATAATGGGAAAAGTTACATTTTATGATGATTTTGTTGCTTCTGTTTGATATATTTAATATTATATTGAAGATGTTGATGACAATACCGATAATCTTGATTAAATTTGATCTATATAAGCTTCAAGTAGATGAATATCAACTTGAAGCATGTTTAAGTTGAGTGTAGAATTTTAATGATGATCAATATTTTTAGTTAAATTATAAACACTTTCTGTATTTATTCCTTTCCCTTTACCCATTCACTTTCATTAATGTAATTGTGCCACAACAACCAGTATACTGTTAAAAGTCATTTATAATTGTGATCCCCCATTCATCTAATCATCTATTTATTGTATAATTGTTAAATAACTCAATCCATTCAAATATGGATTTAAAATTGAAAAATTTGAAAACTTATGGTACACAAGAAGAGGTAAGTTATACTTTTTTCTTTATCTTCTGATCACTTCTGAATCTTATGTTATTTGATCATATGTAAGGTTATTATCGTAGACAAAAGTTGTTATTATAAGTTTGTCTAGTTGACAACATTCAGTAACTGAAAGTTTCTTGATTTGACAAGCTACATGTATTTTTACCTAGAATCTGACTCTTTTAAAACAAGTTTTACTTCATTTCAATGAACTTGATTTCTTGCAGGATAAGTCAAACTTGAAAAAATCAAACAGCGGTTTTGTAACAAATTTTTGCACAAATGGAATTGATAATACAATTAGACGAGGAATGTCAGTGTTGACCACAGTTTTATTTGTGGCTGGTGAAAATGCTGGAGCTGGACTGTTAACATTACCACATACTCTTAACAAGACAGGATGGATTGGAGTACCATTGATGTTAATTATGTGTTTTGATGCTGCGATAGCTGGTTCACTAATCGGTAAATGTTGGCTTATCCTAGAGGAAAGATGGCCTGAATTTCAAGCATCTTGTCGTGATCCATATCCAGCGATTGGTCAAATGGCTTATGGATCCAAGATGAAGTAATAACCTATTAATAGAAATTAGTACATTCCATGTTATTTACTGATTTGAAACGCTATTTCTGTTTATAAAACTAATCTTTCATTTATTTTTATTTATTTTCAGATCTGTGATCACACTCTTTATTCAGCTTAGCTCGATTGGCTCAAGCTGTGTTTGTCTTATGGTTTGTGCTCAATTAACATCTGATCTTATCGATCCTGATAGAGTTTTATCATATGGAGTTTGGATATTAATAGTTTGCGCTGCCATTTGTCCTCTCATGTGGCTCGGCACACCCGTTGAATTTTGGCTTGCTGCGGCTGTTGCTTTGGGTACATCTACAATAGCAGTGGCAATATTACTGTTCAATATCGTTAAAGTTTTTATTTCACTTGAATCATTACCGACACCTTCACCAACCAATGCTTCAACTATTTCTTTGGCATTCGGAGCTTTTGTCTTTGCCTTTGGAGGGACCGGACCATTTCCAACCTTCCAAAATGACATGAGGAAGAAGAATAGATTTACTAGAGCAGTTACCTTTGGATTTATAAGTATGTTACCGATCAATGTGAAAAATTGTTTCAAAAAATAAGCTAAATCCATTTCTTATTTAGTTTTATTGATTCTCTTCCTGCCTTTGGCTGTAATGGGATATCTAACTTATGGCTCATCTGTTAGTACCAATATTATAAACTCAATCCCAAATGGAACTCATCGTATTGTTGTGTCCATCTTAATGACTGGACATCTATTTTTTGCTTCACTGTTAATGATTAATCCTGCACTTCAACAAATTGAAGATAAATTTTCGATTCCTCACAGTAAGTACGGAAACTTTAAGAATACTTGATAATCATTTTAATAAATTTTTATTATAATTGCAGCATTCAATTGGAAGAGAGTCGCTATCAGAGTAACAATGCTGTGTATTATATTATTTCTTGGTGAATCTGTTCCAAGATTTGGCAAACTATTAGATCTAGTTGGTGGATCAACAGCTACTGGCTTGGCATTTGTATTCCCACCATTATTTTATATTAAATTGTGTTCAATGAAAAATTCATCTTGGCCTGATAGGTAATTATTCATATTGAAAGCAAAATAATTTGCATTCTATCTAATCTATTATTTCTTATTTTACAGACGAATATCATTGCTAAATAAATTGTATTATTACAAGATTATTTTATTAGGAATCGTTGGCGGAGTCTGTGCAACTATTGCAGCTGTTATAACAATTTTAGGTCCAAACACATTTGTATTACCTTGTTATATTGATTTTAACTGTACTTATGAATGATTGTGTTTATAAGTTTTTATTAGATAGTTTAAGGGTCAGTTGCATTGAGAACGGAGCTTGGTTGATTTAATCAACTTTCATTTTTATTTGAATTGTAAAAATATATAAATTGTAAAACTATTTTAAAAATGCGATATGGTTTTCGAGCTTAAGAAATTTTATTAAAACATTTGCAATAGACTATTGCCATTGATATCTGGTCTGCTTTTGTTATTATCACATGTTTATTGTCTAAAAGGTATGGAGAGACTTTCAATAAACACTTAAAGTGATGCATTTGAAGGTATTACTGATGACCGATGACTCAACAATCAGTCAAAGTCTTAACGCGGCCATTGATCAAGGTAACAGTTAACTTTTTTGCTCATATTTTTGATCCGGTCTCTAAATTATAATCTGCTAAAACTAAGTACAATAAATCTCGTTTGTTTGAGACAATGAGAGCGGATAAAGCAGTAAAACTGGGTGAAATTTGAACTCTTATCCGATCAGAAACGGATTTATTGTAAATGAATGATTTGAAAAAAAAGTTCAATTTCAATAACAATTTCCTAGCACTCTGTATATTTTGAGATAATCTCATTTTGGGATCTCATTTTTTTAGATAAGATGTAGATGGATAACCTGGAAAATCATGTCAGTAACTGGCCATGCAAAAAAGTCATGCATATCCCGCTTTTGTAGCAATTTCAAAAGATGTCCCAAAAACTGGATGGATTGAGATTTGCTGCCTGTTTTCCACCAGTGGAAACAAGCCTTGAGGTTGGAGGTGATTTAGAGGGTAAAACTTCATTAATTTCAGTAGGAATTGGATGAGTTTTGATTGAAAGTGGTGTTACATATGGTTGCTCACCGCTAGTATGATGTTGTGATGATGATGATTTTGAATGATGGCTACATGGTCAATATCTTACATTAGATGCTTCTGGATTATCAGTTGGGTCTGTCCGGATGGTCTAATGGGTAACTCGGAAGTTGGACACTTGAATATCGGTGCTGGTCGAGTTATGTACCAAGACATTGTTCGAATCAACATGGATGTTAAAAATAAAAAAATTAAGGATAATCCTACTTTCGTAGCAGCTTGTGATCGAGCTAAAACTGTTAGCGGTGGACGTCTACATTTGCTCGGCTTGATCAGTGATTACTTTGTATGGTAAAATTTTCATTGCATATAAATTTACAGACGATTACATATATTAATTATCAAATGAACCTAGGAAAGTGTGTAAATATGTATAAACTCTTAAAAATGATGGACCATTAGAAACGTAAGTAAATAATAAAAAACAGTTTTTACAGAGAAACTTTGATAGTCTAAATCATGATAATCATCATAATTAATGTTCACACCTGAATATGAAATAATCAATTTCAATCAATTGGACTGATTGCGATGGAAAAACAAAACAACGCAAAATCTTAAAACTTTTCTCTCTCCTTTTCCTTTTGCAAATCCTTCAACTTATGCATCGTTTTACCATGCTGACCATGAGTTAGAACTTCAAGTAACGATACAATCATATTCATAACATAGTCATTATCATTCGCAAATGATATTAGACTTTGTGTATAATGTAGGCCAATTTCATCTTCTCCATAAGTTGATGTCAACAATTGAGTTTCTTCTTTACTGACAAAGGTGACAGTGGCAAAGGTCGAATCCAAAGAGGGTAAGAATGATGAGAAGGGTGTTATAGTGACAGAATCGATCATTTTAACTTGATTTGCTTCAGGTTCTTTGTAAGGTGGTAAACATGAAATACCATCGGATAGTTGACCAACTAAACTTCCTAATGTTACTTTCTTCTCTTTTCCTTGACTTCCAATAATACCCAATGTTGTGGTTCCATCATTCTTCTGCCGTAGGAAACTTAAATGTGACCCTTCTGGTCTTTCCAACATTAATCGGTCAGCAGCTATTTTTGCTGATTTTTTTTACATGGACTAAAATGTGTTTTGCAGTCAGCTCTTCGTCATCAATAAGTTCAATTTCGCTGAAATCATTCATTTCATTGTCAGGAAGTTTTAGCGGGTGATGTCGTGATGATGATGATGATTTTGAATGATGGCTACATGAGCTTCTTCTATGATGCCTATGATGATGGTGAGAATGATGAGAACGATGATGTCCGTGTTTATGTTTTCTAGACCTTTTCTTTTTCTTTGCAGTGGCTAGATTATTTGACGATGAACCAACTTTAAGAACAAGTTTCAACGGTCTCTGCTCAAATGGACTATCTTCACAGCCAGATTTATGATGATCCTTGTGTTTCTTATGTTTCTTTGACTTCATTATTATAGATAAAAACAACAGAAAAACAATAAACTTTACACAGTACAATTAAATGAAAGTATCACAAGATTATCATACTAAACTTGGTAGATTAAATTAGCGAAAACTAACAATTTTTAGTTAATTCAACTTGAGATTTAGATAATTCATCAGCTTTTTAAATTTGGTGTAAAGATTGATATTAAATATTTTATGTTATAATAACATTGTTATTTATCAACGGTCCCTGTTGTCCTTTAACAGAGTTGGTTAAAGTCAGAGTTTGGCTTACTTCTTTGACTGGTTTCATTGATTAAATTGTTTTTATTTAAATTATTTCATCTAATTATCAAATTAATCAATGGCTGAATCATCTAAGAATCCAGTGGTAACTTGGTGGCGAACATTTAATTGTTATCCACCCGAATACAACCGTGCTATTCATGGACCTTATGATCCACGGATTAATTATGCTTGCAAAGATAAAGGTATCTTGGATGTCAAGTTGAATGAATTACCTTCATGGTTGATGCGACGACGATTCACCCCTAGTGCTATAGCTGGTGTTATGTCTCGACATTTCTATCGATCTTGTCATCATCATTTTATTGCTGTCCGAAGTAGATCAAACATGTTCTTTACTGTACTCTTGATTACAGCTGCTATGGGTTATGTTTTCCAGTTGCATAACATGAGTAAGTTGCTTAATTGCTTAACCATACTTGCAATATTATTAATGCATTTCTCTTTTGTATACAGGTCATCACAGACGTTATAAGTACCATTGGTAAACAATATTTACGATTCATCATTACAATTCCGATGGAAATTTGTCGAGAAGAATCCAAGTCAAGTGTCTACCATCTTAAAACTTTAGCTTCTTCTCTCCATAGAAAATCTATTATTATTGATGTAGTAATGTGTTTACACTGTTAGCAATTAAAATTTCTGAATTGTAAAATTTAATTTTACGAGTTGCAAAATATCTTTTATTCTTGATAATCTTTGTTACAAATGATAAATTCAAGATAAATAGTCTCTTCGGTGATACAATTCACTCAGTAATCTGTATACATAAGACGGTGTATAACATCCCCAATTAGTAACAAAACCATTTACTAATTCAGGAGGGACATAATCAAAAACTGGATTAACCACTTCCGTTTCAGTAGAGAAAGGAGACTCGTGGAACGGCAAAATTTGGTGCGGTGACACGAATTTGTTAAAAGCTACTTGATCATGGGAAATTAAATAATTTGGAGTTATTTTAAATATAGGAGTACAAACAGTTAAAGGAACCGAATGATTTTTGGCAGCATAAGCTAAAGCATAAGATCCACTGACAGCTTTTAAGCCTCCATTGGCCATTACAGAATGAGTTCCAATAATAACCTTATTAACTCTAGGCATGATTGCAAATATTGCAGAGTCCGGAATCAAGATTGTGTTGATACCAGCTTCAGCCAATTTCATAGCTAATTCCGTGCCATTACCAGAGGGTTCAGATTCAGCTACAAATACTTGGAAAGTCATGTATTTAGCTGCGTATTTGAGAAAGGCCTCGACAGATTTTGATTTTCCAGCAGTCAGTATAACCTGGCCAGATGATATTTGTTCAAGTGATTTTGACGCAATATTTTCAACTGATGCTTCCAATTCACTATCCAACTCGCTAAGATAATCTATAATATTTTCCTTCAGATCTTTGAATGGCTGGGCATAATCATGGGTAGCTAAATCGTCGCTAATCATCATTTTAGGTAACGATTCCTCAGTATCAAATCCAATAGATTTATCACCTGGATTTTTACTTGAAGCTGTTACATACTCATCTCTGATACCTTTCAATACCCGCAAGACGATATTAGTGGGTACAGTTTCGATGGGGTCAGCTTTAGAAAGAAGATCACCAATACAGGTAAAGATTGAAATCAAATCTTGGGCAGAATTCCAGGCACAACCTTTTACCCCTTTTTCCAGTAAATCCATAGTCCGAAATGCTTTAAGATAACATCCATTGACTTTACCCAATTTTAAATCTTCAACCAATTTGTCAACCTGGGTAACTGAACGGATTTCAGCTATTTTATCTTCACTTAATTTATCCATTATCTAGAAATAGAAACAATTAAATAACAAAAACACTTGGATTTCAAAAAACAACACTTATTGATCAGGTTTGTTTAGTAGTGAAAATAGTCTTTTTGTCTATTTCAACAGATGAGAGAGTAGGAAAATCAAAGGGAGAACTTGAATGTCATTTTAATGTTCAGGAATCAATGACATTGTAATTTTTTCATTTATTGTGATCGCTTTACTATATTTTTGTTTGTGTCATTAATAAATCATCATGTCTGGACACAAGGTTTGTCTTATTGTTATCGATGGTTGGGGCATTTCAGATGAAGTTAAGGGAAATGCTATCCTAGCTGCTGATACTCCAATAATGGATGGATTGGCTAAAAATGATGGTCAATATCTTACATTAGATGCTTCTGGATTATCTGTTGGGTTACCGGATGGTCTAATGGGTAACTCGGAAGTTGGACACCTGAATATCGGTGCTGGTCGAGTTATGTACCAAGACATTGTTCGAATCAACATGGATGTTAAAAATAAAAAAATTAAGGATAATCCTACTTTCGTAGCAGCTTGTGATCGAGCTAAAACTGTTAGCGGTGGACGTCTACATTTGCTCGGCTTGATCAGTGATGGTGGGGTACACGCTCACATTGAACATCTTTTTGCACTTCTCGAGGGGGCAAAAGCGCACAAGGTTGATAAAGTTTTTATCCACTTTTTCTCAGACGGACGGGATACTAGTCCTACCTCTGGAGTCAATTATATCCAACAAGTCTTGGATAAGATTAAAGAATTAAATTATGGCTCTCTTACCTCACTTATGGGTCGATATTATGCTATGGATCGAGATAAGCGTTGGGAACGTATAAAAATTGCCTTCGACGGTTTGGTCCAAGGTATTGGTGACAAATGTTCTGCTGACAAGATTATTGATTTCGTCAAGCAAAAGTACGATGAAAAAATTACTGATGAGTTTATCAAGCCGGTCATTATAAATGAAGAAGGTTTGATAAAAGACAAAGATACTCTGGTATTCATCAATTATCGATCTGATCGAATGAGGGAAATAACTGAAAGCTTTGGTGTCAGGCTTAATTTTGAGACTGATAAATCTCCTCAAGACATTAAACTGTTCACAATGACTAAATACAAGGATGAATTTCCATTTGATGTACTTTATCCTCCGGTTGTCCCTAAAAATGTCCTCTCTGAAGTCGTAGCCAGTGCTGGTTATAAACAATTTCATTGTGCTGAAACAGAGAAATACGCACACGTTACTTTCTTTTTCAATGGAGGACAAGAGAAAGCTTTCGATAAAGAAGAGCGATGTATGGTTCCATCTCCAAAAGTTGCCACTTACGATCTTCAGCCTACAATGAATGCTGCTGGAGTGGGAGAGAAAATGGTTGAAGCCATTGCTAGTGGTGAGTATAACTTTGTCATGTGTAACTTTGCACCACCTGATATGGTTGGCCATACCGGCAAATACGAACCAGCGGTAATTGCATGTACTACTACGGATAAGGCTATTGGTGCAATCAAAGAAGCCTGTGAAAAGCATGGATACATTTTATTAATTACTGCTGATCATGGTAATGCAGAGAGAATGATTGATGAAAAAGGTGGACCAGTAACTTCACATACCACTTATCGAGTACCATTTTGTATGACTGGACCTTACAAATTCAAGAAGATAACACACAATGCCGCTTTATGTGATGTTGCTCCTACCGTTTTAGCGCTCATGGACGTCCCTATACCATCCGATATGACTGGTCAATCTTTAGTTGAAAAATAATTAGCAGATTAGAAATGTATCAATTAGTCAATATTTATTGTTTGAAGTGATCAGCAATTTGAGTTTGAATGTTATTTTTTTCTCAAATCCTCATTATTTTTAGTCTATTCAATTATAATTAACTTAATATTTTGCTTTTAAATAAACAGAGTTGAAATTTAATATATCATAGTCTATCAATTCGTTCAACTAATATCTAGATTATATGGTGAATTACGAACAGTTTAGACTTACCATGAAATTTATTGTGCTGATATCTAATGAACGTTTATAACTTCATCGAATGGCTAATTAATAGTCTGATTATCTTAATCGACAATTTCACGCGAATCTCGTTCAGGAAACAAAAGCTTACAAGCTTAATAATTTCTCATAATCTAGATATATCTAATATTTTATTCACTTTTTGATAATTTGCTTTTGTTTTAGATGAGATATCAACTCATGTTAAGCTTTTTGAAAAAATACGAATTTTGAATCAAATCATAAGTCAAATTTAATTTAAATAATTTATGTATACATGAACATTATCAAAAATAAAGTGAATTTACGAAAAATTGTTTGTTTTGTCATTTTATTTGTAGACTTTTGAATCGATGTAATTTATTTGCAATTTTATGACATCAGCTGTAGTTAATAATTTCAATGAAATAATGATTTGTTAAATTTTGATAAAAACCGCGATCAGACTGTCAAATGTATGAATTACATTATAAAAATACAGAGCACTTGTAAATGGTTGAAGAGATAAATTACAAATCATCTTCACTAGTTTGATCGGACAAAATTTTTTTCGATAAATGAAGTATTTCTCTTGCTTCATGGCTGGAAATCCGTTGGGATGCGGATCGTTGTCTATTATCATTGGCACCACAGTGAGTTGGTACATCAACATAAGGAAAAATTGCAGAGGAATACCGATGAGAATGATGATGAAGAGATGAGTGATGATGCGATGAGTGATGTTTCCTATGAGAATTATGATGAGCTCGCTTTGATTCAACAATACAACAAATAAGATCATTAGTTCGCCCAAAGATAATGTAAACAATTAAAATTAAAATAACAAAACAAAGGATAACGAAAATAACAGTAATAGTTGAGTACCATCGCTCCAACGTAATCAACTGATTAACCAATGTTGAAGGATGACAATAGCCTTTATAATTAAGCTTTGCATCAGGGAAACAAGAGGTACAATTGGAATCACTTGGTCCATCACACGTTTTACAAGAGTAATGACATCGTGAACATCTCACTGTTTCCGAACCAATTTTGATTAAAAGCTTTGGTCGATGGTATCCTTCAGGACAATTGTCAATACAAATGCCATTAATCAAGACCATGTTATCACTACATTCTGTTGAATAAGATAAAAAGAATTAGTCCGATGACAATAAACGTTGAACAAAAAAGGATTCTTTCTTTTGATGAAAGTTGCCATGAAATGATTATTAAATGAGAAATTACACCAACATACGATTAATTAATAGCAAGCGATGACAAACGAGACAATTAGTTAACATAAAAAGCATTAAAAGTTAATCAAATTGAACAACTTACCGCGTAATTTGTAGACTAGAGACTGTTAGGTTTACAATGTAAACATGGATGATTCAAGAAGCAAAGCTTAAGCGGGCGATTTGAACAAGTTAATGTAAAGTAAAATAGAGTTTAAAATTGATTAATAATTTGTATTTAACCATTTTAACAAAAAAGTGAATATAATTTATACAATAATTTGATTTTTTAAAATCAAGACAGTTTCAGGACATAGATGAAACTGTTTTAAGTTTGATTGCCATAGGTTTCAATTTGTTTTATATTATTGATAATTTACTTTGTATGGTAAAATTTTCATTGCATATAAATTTACAGACGATTACATATATTAATTATCAAATGAACCTAGGAAAGTGTGTAAATATGTATAAACTCATAAAAATGATGGACCATTAGAAACGTAAGTAAATAATAAAAAACAGTTTTTACAGAGAAACTTTGATAGTCTAAATCATGATAATCATCATAATTAATGTTCACACCTGAATATGAAATAATCAATTTCAATCAATTGGACTGATTGCTTCGGAAGAAACAAAACAAAGCAAAACCTTAAAACTCAACCTTCCTATTGATTTTACCACAAATTATATTGGCAAATGACGTCTATACTAATTGGTCCCTTGATTTAAACTGCTCTGATTTACAATGAAACAAAAATCGATATTAAATGACTATCAATTAAATTGTCGTCAGAACAGTTAATAAAAGTAAATAGGTCAACTAACAATGAATAAATAGTCGAAAAATGAAGCTTTCGATTGAGACTAACATTGTAAGTTGAAACAAAATGAGTATTAAGGCTATTCAATATTAACCAAAGGCGATCTGAGAATAGTACGAAAATGATTTCGCTATTTCAATGATCTATCATAAACAGCTCGTTTCACAAGCTCATTTGTTGTAAATAGTTTTGTACAAAAGTCCAGTAAATGGCGATATAAAAAATAAACAACTTTAACTTGGAGTCAATCACACAAGTTGTAGATTTTTAAAAGCTTCTGATCACTATTTCAAATCAAAGTCGATAGAGAATCAAAAAACAATCTAACGTCAGGCTTAACCATTCATAAAATGTCTAACATTAATTGCATTTAAAGGACAGATATCAATATAATGTTAGAAACAGAAAAATCCATCAACATGAAAAAAGGAAGAAAAGCATTACAAAAGTTCATCTTTTTCACAGATAACTTTGATTATCAATCCACTTTGAAATGCTAAGGAAGACAATAATGATCTCTTATATTGGCATCACAAGCTGATAACACAAAACAGTCTAACGGCTTCTATGGGTTTAAACACCCAATCTGTTGAATTATGAAGGATCTTGCAACTATGAGAACCAAATCAAGGGGAAATTTAAGTACATTGACAGTGAAATTAGCAAATGAAAGCGCTAAATATGATAGAAGGTAATGTTTAACGAAATCGATGCAACAATTGATGGTAAAAGGTGAACATAGGAAGGCTGAGCTATTACCATTGATGGGTAAAAAAAGGTTCGTAATTGTTTAGTTTTTGAAAATTTCTTTTGAAAATGATTATTAGTAAAGATGAAGACAGATTTTAGCACAGATATAGCAGACATGTAATAGCGTGTGTAGGCAGCATTGGCGTAGTGAGTGCTTTTGTTTACAGATCAGGTTTGCGTGAGTGAAAGTTAAAAGGATTGCATTTGATAAAAGATGGTGTAAATGATCATTGTTATTAACTTTGAGTGTTTAAATGATTATGAGCTGAGCTGGAACTAGTAAAGCCAGTAAGAGGCACAAACCTAGGCACTGAGAGCTCAAATCTTGAAGTATACAGCCTCGGTTCAATGATTTCCCAAGGATGAAAGATTCACTTTCATCAGATGATTTGTCTTCTCTGGTTCCATGAATTACACCGAGAACTGAAATCGATTGAAAAAAAAGAAGAGAGAGAAAAAAAACAAATTATAAATCAAGAAATACAAAATTGAAAAGGAAGGGTGAAAAAGTGCCTAAAATAGCAAAAGCAATTTCAAATTGATAACAATTATCTAACATGAAATTAATCATAAACTGATCACCAATCAATGAACAAAACTAAATGCTGTTCAAGATGAAATAACAGTTTTAGGATAATTTTTGATTCAACTTTGCCTGCTTTACCGCGATAATGATTAACCTTATTTTTCAATCAACTATAAAACCTTTAGAGACAATGGTCATTGTTACATCAGGTAAAGGTAACCATTGGCCAGAAAAAGAAGGTTATTATTGAAAGAAAATTGCTATTGGGATAAAGTGGAGATGATAATGGGTGAGGGTTGGCGACTTGTAAGGGAATCCGTACCAGAATTGTGTTGAGTATTCTGATTGATTGGTGACAATAGGTTGATATCATTGTTATCCATTGGCTGTACTTTTATCTTCTTCAATCCTTTATCATTTCCCAGTGATCCTGATTGTTTAATTGGATACCTTCCACTGAACCATCCAGATTGTGGATAAGGTTTACGAGTTGAACTGTTTCCATTAATATCACTGTTCATCGTTCTACTTGGATTACTGTTTGTATCATCGTACGATTTTTCCAAATCATTACCCAACTTATCATTGTAATAGGGTTTAGTTGATTCTGGTGAGGCAGTCTCAGATGATGGAGATGAAGATGATTTAATTGTTCGCCGATCTGGATTCTCTGTTGTACCATACATGATCAATGTCCACTCCTTAAGATAAGCTCGACCTGTCAAAGAAAAAGAGTAAAAATTAATAATCAATACTAATAAGGTAAAGATGATGAATATAAAGAAACAAGGGAAAATAACGATAAATAACAAACTGTGGACAATAAAGAGTCTATCAATTGTCCATCTCATCTAATTTGATAACAAGATGCTTAATTGTTTTCAAGTAATTTAACCTTCTTACCTAATAAACTTGGATAATTTCCAGTACCTTTGTAAGCATAGATTGAAAATTTGGGTAAAAATTGTCATTACTTAAAAACTCATTTCAAAATCTACTTTTTTGGTTTTACTCTCAATTACATTAAAAGTGTAATGTTTACTTACTATAAATATATCGACCTTCATTGTGAACTTCAAGTTTCCAAAGGCCATTTGGGTTTTCACCCCAAGTGTGGACACTCATGAAGGGCCAATTTTGAAAGCCAGAACGCGAATTGTCCATTGGACGTTGAGCAAGTAAATTGGATTTAGTACCTGAAGGTGAGGTCAGGTAAATATGAATATCACCTCGTCTGGTTGCTGTTAAAGTAACCTTTGCTTGAACATGTTCAAGAAAATTAACCTCTCCATCACATGATACTTGAAGATATAATTCAACATGGCTCTTGGATGGAATCAATCTGATGAGAAAATAAAGATTAGAAGAAAAAATGATTTAATAAAAGTTGAAAACAATCTTTTAAGTTGAATGACATAAACAGTTTTATTGGGAAAACAGATATAAAGTTATTATTAAGAAGCAATATTGAAAGAAATGGTTTCATTTAATAATGATAACTAATAATCATTTGATGAATCCAAATCAAATACATTCAATCAGTTTAGTCAATATTGATGTGGTCAACTGTGCAAACACAAAACTCTAATGACAATTAGATTGCAATTGGATGCAAAAATTGGTATAAATGTTAAACAAATGATCGATTTGATTCAACTTTTTCAATTCATTTTTGAGTATAATTGATAGCAAGTTTGACAGGCAAATCAGATGAAAAATGTTTCAATTTGAAAGTGAAACTGATAACAAAGGAAGAAGAAGAAATGTTTTCAAACAAAATTTGAATGTGATTCAATGTTCGTAATCATTTGGAAAAGATCACAAATGATGTTAAAAGTGAAAAGAAAGGGTGAAGCATTTCATGAGAAAAGGATGAAAATCGAATAAGAAAATATGAAAATGATGATGATTATGATGAAGATGGGAATGAAACTGTTCGGATGTTGCAAATCCGATATCGATTTTCACCAGAAACAAATTGTCATTTTTTCCCCTTGAAACCTTTATCATTAAAATTAATATCATTATTGTTATCATCATCAAAAATCATCATTATTTTGCTCAATAATAATCCTTATTACATGAATGTTTTGTTAAACTGTTTGTTAGACTTTTCAAGAGATTCAGTAATTTCTATTTTCCCTGATAATCTTGACAAAAAAGGCAAAATAACAAAATCTCGAGGCAATCTTAATGATATCAAATGCTTTCAGAACTATTGGGATTTTATTACAATTTTGTTTAACTGTAAACTTTGACTGAGGAAACTCGAGTTTACTGTTATTAATATTTTATGTTCAATGTTGAGTTTCTCGTTTCTTTGAGGTTGACATTGGGTGAAATGGTTCAGTTAACCTTAAAGAGATGAGAAAAGATGAAGATAATTGTGAAAAGAGGAAAAATGATACAAAACAAAATGATAAACTTTGACTTTAAATCAATTCATTTCTATTTACACTTGAATAACAAAACAAAAACTAACTTAATCAACATGAGAACAATTTTTATGAACAAAGTGATTGTGTCAAGGAAACAATCAAATTTTACTGTTCACACAAAATCGGAAATAATTCAAATTGGAAATTTACCAATTGATTAATTTTCCAACAAATTCTTAGCTAATTTACAAGAAGATTGCTGATCAATCGCAAACAATTTTATTGCTTTTAATTATTCAAACATTCAATTTTCTCATTTAGAAGTTAAATTCTTGATTAAATTGTGCCGGCAATCATTGAACGATTGCGATGAAAATTGATCTTCATTTGATTCTGTTTGGAGTCGAAGAAATGGTCAAAATTGCCATTTTCAGGGTAAACCTTTACAAGTTCAATTAGATGATTCAAAGTTCAATAGGCATCGGGTTATTTTGCTCTATCACAATTCAAGGAAAATGATAAGAACTAATAAAACAACTGATCATAACCTTGATGAACAATATTGATTTGATCCTAATAAACATTTCGTATTGATTAAGATGAAGTAAAAAATGAAGTTTTTCCCAGTATTGAGTCCTATCAAGTCACATCAAGTATTTAGTAAGAATTGAAATTCTGAAGATTTTACATTTTTTAAGATTGTACAATTTTGCATCATTAGAATGAATTGATGAAACATAAAGCAATCTCGTTATTATGTTAATCTGATGAAATCATCATTAACTATTTACGTTAGTCTACAACAGAAATACACTTAAAACATACAATTTCAATGACTATTTACCTAGCTGCATTGTTGGACTTTACAAGAGTCTTTTTATCGATTTGTGTCGTGAATGACCGTGAATATGGAATGAAATTTTTTGGTCTCAAAGCTGTTTACAAAATGCATTTTAAATGAATCAAATTATTCAACACTTAAGTGTTTCAGTTATCACAAGATTCAGGATTTTTTTCCTTACATTTTCATTCAGATTGATTGAAAGGCAAAGAGTTTATTGATTGACATGAGAGAGATGTTATTGAATCCAATGATTGTTTGCCAAAAAGTTTTATCAATCATTCGAGTCACATCATCTTTTACATAACCATTTTGTTAATCATCTCTGGTTATTGATCAATTAAGCAAACTTGCTTGTTCAATATCGGTATAAAGATTTACAATAATTTCCCTCAATTAGTAAATTGTCATGTTGATAGTAAATACAATAAAGAGGAATCGAGATTACAGATTGAATGCAATCATTCAAGGTTAGCAAGTTGATATCAACACGAATCAATTACATTAATACAACAATTTGATTTACAGGTGACAATAAAAGACGAAAATTTGATCAAATCAAGAATATAAATTGTTGCATTTGAATGTGAAAACAAAGAGCGAAACAAAACAAAAATAATCAACAAGATGTTCAATTTGATGGAAAATTATTCAATGTTTTCATCATTAGATAAGTTGATTAGTTGATCATCAGAGCACCAAACTTAGCAGTCTGACAAAGCTGTCAATCAAAAGTAAAAGTTCCGTCTGATAATGAAAAGTGGAAATTTCATGATAGAGTTGATAAAAGGAATGATTTGGAATGGAAAAGTGTAAGAAAAATTAACCACAAATTAATGATTCTTCAAAACAAAAGTCTCTTCTGATAAATGAAAGATTGTTAGCAAGATATTCATCAGTAAAATGGTCAGAAATATTAAAATTAAGATGAATCTTTGATGATAGTTTCTTTTCATGCTAATTTTGTCGAGAAGAAAAGATGAGAAGAAAAATGAATCGGAAAAATAACCAATACAAACACGATTCAATGTAAAATCAATGGAAATGTGATGTGATATCGTGCATTGAATATCAACCAATGGTAAATAGTGAGGGACGAAAAAAGGAGGAACAAGAAACAAAAGATGTTGCGATGTTGAGATGAATGATGATGAAAAATACCTTTAATCTTCTTCATCATGATTTTTGTTGGTTTGTGGATAAGTATGTGTTTTGGTACAAAAAAGGTAGATCCAATGATTGAGAAAGAAAAAGTGCTTCAAGACAAACTTTGATTGATAAAAGTAGACTCTTCATGAGTTGACTTTTCGGTTGAAAGTTTATTGCAATGAATAAGAATCAATGAGAAGGGAAAAAACTATGAAAAGGTTAACTTTCAAGATGTACTCAATTCTGTGAATAAACTGGGTTTAGGTGATTTTGGGTAAAATATTGTTACAAACTTTCAGAGTATTTTGTGAAGAGTAAAAAGTGGAAACTTTGTGATTAAGAAATGATTGACACTGAAAATTTTGAGAAAAACTAGAATGAACATTTCAAGATATTATCGTTTCCAATGTGAAACTGATTATCTTGAAATGATTAATTTAAGTTTTGGTCTGACAGCTCGAGAATCTTGACGATTCTGATTTCTATGATCATTCTCATGCTTTTGAAATATTGAGAAATCAAATTGCAAGTCATAACAATTAAACTGATGAATCGAGAACAGAAAATTTTAGAACTGAATGCGATTTGATTTTGAAGGCTACGAATTTTCAAGATGAAAAGTTGAAATTAACGTGAAATGACAATAACAATGAAGTGAAGATTAGCAGTGATAATGAACTATCTAAACTATTGAATTTCATTTCAAGAATGCAATTTTAAAAGGTTGACTTGAAACATTTGAGTTGAAAACTAAAATTCAATGGAAATTCATTGCAATTCATGTGTTTTCATAGTCCAAATATTAAGGTAACAATCATTGTATAATTCAAGGTAAACGAAGAGTTTAAATATGAACTTTTAGCTAAACAAGAATGAATTGCACAGTTTTGAGTTTTGAATTGTCATAACTTTTAGTTGATAACAATCAGATGGATAAATAGGAAAAGTAATGGTTAAATCAACGAAACGTTTTCTTGGTGTAAAGAAAGTATTGACAACCAGGAAGAAGGTGACTGAAAAGGAAACTTACAATTTACAGAATCATTATTTGATTGACTGATCTATTTTGCGGTTCATTCAACTAAATAAGATTTACAAAAGGTTTTCACTTGAGTCAACAAATTTTTACATTAACACTGTTTTTGCATTGTAAACTTGAATAGCAAATGAGATCAACAGAAAGACCAAGAAATATAAAAAAACCCATTGTTTGGTGCACCAAATCATTTATAAATCAACTAAAGTCTTTGGAGCAAAGAAAAGGATACAAGAAAAAATGATGCAAAATTCACTCTTTTTGGTGTAAAAAAGCTGAAAATCAGTTGTCCATCGATAAACGGCAAACATAAAACTCCATAAAATGAACTTATTGAGTTGAGTTTGAGTAAAGCTAAAGATGAGATAAAAGTTTGAATAAATCGATTGAAACAGCCGATGATAAAGGTTGATCAACTTATCGAGAAGATAATTTCATGTTGATTAGTTCTGATTTTTAACGATTGCCAGACAAATTTGAATTGAATAATAAAAGTCTGTCATTTGTTTGGTCATTGTTGTCCATCATTGTTATCAGGAATGAAAGGTTGAACATTAGAATGAAAATTGATGAAACATTTTGTCAACAATTTTTCGATTCATTGAGATATCAAATATGATCTACTGCAATTAACTTTACTGTTAAATTGGACAGAACTTTTGAAAAGAACATTTAAATTGTGTAATTTGAAGTTAAGAAATGCTTTTCAACAAATGAAATCAAGCTAACAATTGAGATTTGAATCATTTGAAAGTGAACAATAAGTTTACAGATAAAGTTAAACATTTGAAGCAATTTTGTACAATTTTGTCTGACCAACCAAACAAATTACAACAAACAGTTTGACCTAATTATTGAAACATTTTTTTTTCTTCCTCATTTTACTTTTCCTTTTTTTCCCTTCAGTCAACAATTTTGATCTAATGGACAACAAGATGATAAAGAGTCTTATTTTTGTTTGATTATTACTTCTGATCAATATGGTGAGAGAGTTTAATTTAGGAATGATTATCAGTCCATGATGAGAATCAAGCAAGTGTGCAATCGTCTTAGCTTAGTCAAGTTGAAAATTTCAAACTGAAAAGCCCTTTTTTGCTTTGTATCCTGCTTGGGTTTCAACCAGTCATCCAATATGATGTCAATATAATGATGATATCGATTGAAACTGTTAACTGAAACTTTTGTGCCAAGGTAAATGTTGCAATGAAAATCATAAACAGAGAAAGTATTAATACATCAAGAGATTCCTGTCAATCTAAAAGCATAAGTTCATCTATGGACACGAAATAGCTTAATGGTTACAACTTTGAACAACCAAAACTCGAACTTTTACCTTTTCAAATCTTCCAATTCAGAGTTGAAATAATATTGATGAAAAAAATTAACCTTGATTGTAAATCAAAACGAAAATCAAAATTAGAAAAATCAATTTTTAAAAAGCAATCAATGAATTAGTTTGCAACCAACATTGAGTAGACTAACTTCAATTGCTAACTGAATACAAGATGAAACAATTATCATGGTTAAGGTTGATCTTCAATTTCATGAAGAAACTTTTTTATCCATTTTACACGAATCTAGTTCAATGAAACTTTTTTTGTCATCAATTGGTTTTCAGAACGAAATGTCTGATCTGTTTCAGGCTAATTAGATGACTTTTTTAATCAAGAGATCCAGAAAAGGCATCATTCAGGTTGATCTTTTTATTGTATTAACTTTCTTTAACCCTTTTCTGTTTCATTTATCATTGAAATTATCAGTTGAAAATTTTCGTCTAGACGTTGGTTAACACAAAAAAGTGTCAATTTTAACGTTTCAATTTAACTGAAGAGTCGTGAAATCGCTGCATTATTTGTATCCTTTCCGCTTCAAACTAATCATTAAAGTTATGAATTAAACTTTTCAGTCGCAATTTAAGTTGATTTACATTTTTTACAGGCTTTAACTCAATTGATGATTGATGTTGGTTTAAGGGTTAAAAATAGCTCACAAATGTTGTCATTAGATTGATATGGGAAAATAGATTGTACTTGAAATAATCATTGCAAATTGGAAATGAAATTACGCCGACCGGACTGAATCTAATTCAATTTAAATTGTAGTGCGTTTAAACATTTAAATATCAATAGCTCGTCATAAGGAAACTAGTAATTTATGAATGATACGAATACTTGAGAATGATCATGTTGTTCAATGTCAAAGTTAATTACAAGGATAAAACAATTGCCTTTCAGCGACAAAAAAAGTAAATTAAGGTAAATCGATCAAACTGAAATGAAATGAAACTAGAAAAATGAAAGTCACAAAGATTGAAAATCTGTTATTCACATAAATTCATGATCACAATCATAAGAATATAAAATTAATTTTGAGACTTGCAAGTAAAATTTAAAGTAGAGTTGAGTTCAATTTTAATGAGCTCGTTATAGCAATGGTTTACTTGTGAAGACAACCTTTTCTCAGATGAACATTATCATCATCGATTGGTCAAGTATTGATCTAAAGATGACCATTGGAAGAAATATTTACCCACAATTTGCTTTTGCAGGTTTTGTTGTTGACGCTGATCTCCTCTTCAATCTTACAGTAAACAGAGAGGAGAGAGAAGATGAAATAATAATGAAAAGTGTAATACACATTTGAACGTTTAGTTAAACCCGCAAGTGTATTAATACATGGGAACTGACAATATGAACCTTCAAGAGATTAACATTGGTAAGGATAAATAGCGATTCTTACACAGATTTTTATTCAACTCTCATGACTTTTCTTCCTTTCATTCGTGATTTCCAACCTTTTCTGTTTCCATCTTTCTTCCAAGTGGTTCCTATTTACCTTGGAAATGATCACTGATTTATCTCACGATAAAAATGAACATCAGATTTATAAAGAAATATTATTATTATTGTATTGATGGGGGGAGGAAGAAATGAGTTGGTTTACTTGAATGAGATACTTTTATAAGATGATCATTATGATGCTTAAAAAGGAAGATCAAGAAATAGACAAAAAGAGATGATCATCATGGAAATGCTCTCATTTATCCTACTGAGGATACTTTTTTGCTCATAAAATCTTCTCTTCAATCTGTTCAGTTTTTGGCTCAATTAAAGGTAACATAGGGTCAAAATCATGTCTTTCATTCAGATGACAATAACCAGGAAAATATTGATATGCAATGGAAACCACGATAATTACAATATTGAAACAATCGAAAAATTGTCTCCAAAAATGTCCAAATTCATAGAAACCTTTTTCCAATTCAGATTCAAATGACACTGGATCCAAATGGACACTCTCTAAGAAATCTTACTTATTGAGCTTGAATAAAATTCAGTAGCCATTGAAAAGATATTTGCTTTTCAATTGAATCAAATTTTCTGGTTAAAATAACACGAAATAAATAAACCCATTTTTTGTATTAGGTTTGGTCGTCAATTGGTTAGTTATTAGAGTAATTTTGATTTCGATCTGAACATTAATTGAGTAAATAATTCAACAGTTCAGCAATTTATAAATGGGAAATCTTAAGCAGAAAATTAGAAAACGGAAAAATGTTCAGTTTTTATGGGAATCTAAAATCGGAAAATCGCAAAAATGAAGTCGAAGATGATGAATGGAAATGCTGAGCAAAAATAGCTCATTTTTCCATGTACAATTGATGCTATTTCAATTCAGTTAGAGTCAATGATAAAAACAATAATTCATGGATTAATTTTAATTAGCAAATTTCCAGTCTAAGAGTTGAAGTGTTTTAAGTAAAAAAATGTTGATATTAATTGAAAGTGACTCTGTTTTGATGACTATTTGATGATCCTAGTAAATGGTTAACCAATTTGCTGTTTTGTGTATTTCTTGATTGTTTCATCGTTTCTCAATTAGATGATTAAATGTGATGCGGTAAAATGGATCATCTTATAGAGCATAAAGGATTCTCAATTAAAAACCAATCAAGCTATGATTAATCAATTAAAGTAGGCTAAAGTAGCTTTCACATTCTCATCATGTAAAGACAAAACAGTAAACCCTTTTATTTTTGGATTACCATTGAAATTTGATTTGATTGTAATTACTAATTAGATCAACGGACAAAGCTGAAAACTCATTTAATCCTGAAAATAATGAAACAATGTAAATGATAGCAATTCAGAAGGTTGGTGAGCTCTTGGGTTTCATTAGGAGTTGAACAACGTGAGACTTTTCATTTAATTTGCTTTTTTCTTAAAATTAATCAACAAATAAGTCAACCAGAATCAAACCCAATGTTGACCAAATTAAAGATCAACATGAAAAGTGCACAAAAGTCAACATTTCAATTTAAATAGAAAATGAAATTAAAAATTAACATTCATAATTAAAGTTTCAATTTCGATGAATTTGTTGGTAACAAGTTGAAAGAGTTAATTCAAAGAGTTGATATTTTGCACAAAATATAATCACATTAAATTGAATTTGTGAATGCAATTTCAATTGTAATCAAGCTTCCGTAGTAAAATGAACGGAAAGTGAGTTATTGTTACAACTAATTGTTGATATAAATTGAATTAGCTCTTCCGATCTTCCTTCAATTTAACATCTTCATCAAATCATCATGTAAATCCATGTAAACAATAAGAGAGTTTGATTAAGAAGAATTGTCTTCTTGATTCATCTTCACTTTTCAGTTTCATTCATTTCTCTGATTCTTTGTCTCAAGCCAACAATTAAGCTTCTCAAGTTGACATACATTCGGATAAATGCGTCCACAATTTATATCACCATTTTAATCGCCATTATTATCATCAATAAAAGTTCAGCTAGGCGTAAATGTAATGAGATACTCGGATGGGAAACAATTATCATTAGATGAAATCGAATCAAAGAATTGTTTTTTGATGAAACAACTGCAATGAAATATTTGACTGCAATATTATGGCAACTATTGAGTTTATTTGATTCATATTTTTCATCATTTTCCGATTCAATCATTTTTATCGCTTTTATAAGTTCATCGACAGAGATGATTATTTACTGAGCAAATAATAGTAAATAAAATTGAAACAAAATCCATGTTGACTGGCAATACGTTCATGGTGAAAATGAAATAATCACCGAATTAAGTAATTTAGCAATTTAGTTTGTTTAAGCAGTGAAAACAAATAGACAAATAGTCATGATTTGGAACAATCTGTTAAATATTGAATGAAACTTTGAACATAAACTCAAACATTGTCTAAATAAGACTCTTAAAGTGGGTTAATATTGAAACCTATGAGATTGACCGTAATTGATAGATTTAACTAAACATTAGACATCGATTAGCGCGTTATTCAATCGTTCAGTAATTTCAAGGATAATTAACATTAATTAATCAGGTCAATAACCAATGTCAAGAGCAAGATAATTATGAATGATTACTGATAACCAGAACTATTACGAGAGACTAAATAATCTTTAGCCTAATGTACTGTTCATAATGGATAATGAATATTGAAACATTGGATTGTCACTAAAGAATCAATAATTTTGAGAAAAATGTTAATTTTTTGTGGTTTTTTTGTTAACTTGTTAACTGGATTCAATTGAAATTATGAAGAAGAGGAAGAGAACGAAAAAGAGGGAAAAAAGTAGTTTAACTTATTTACTTGTCTACTGGAGGAGAACGGACGGAACATATTTTCTGTTCTGGAACGGTCACCCATTCCTTGGCCACTTTGACCATTGCTTCAGCATCCATCAGACCATATCCAAAAGAATGGCTAACATTTCGTCCTACTCCGTTGGTTTTCCAATCTTTAGCATGTAAATTGGCTGGACGTGAGGTTAACACGACGATATGTTGCATGTCTCGCCATGTCAATAGTGGACTGTTAATGGATTAAAGAAGGATAAAAGTAGAAAATGGATTAAAATGGAAACAAAAACAATGAGAAATCCTTTTTTCTTGTGTGAAAAAAAGCGGATTCAATAATAGTTAAGTGTTGAAAAAGGTTAAAGGAAATGAATGAATGAGTTGAATTGGATTGATTCATTCAAGTTCAAGTTTTCCATCAATGAATGATACATTAATTAAAGTCAATTGTTTCAAGTGAAATTAAGTCAAATATGGGTAACATTAATTATATCAACAATATGTGATGAAAAAAATGATTATTGGGACAATTTTTTGCAATAAACAATTGATTAACAACTGAAACTGATCAGAACGTAATTTGCCAAATCAGTTGGCAATTAAAGTGATTCAAACAACTTGCTAACCTTGAAAGTTTTTTCTAATTCATTTTGTTCTTCTGATTAATCAATGAATTTATCATGGAAAAGTAAAGACACGAAAAAGTTATTTACATTTGAAAAACAATGTTTACTTGGTAAAAGCACATGAATTTACTTTAATGATTTTAAATGTAATTGTGTTGGTAAAAATGAAAATTCAAATATTGAAAGTTTTTAGTTTTACTCTTTACTTTCAAATGTTAAAGTTTCGCCTTTAATGTTATTTTTGATAAAAGCTGACTAACTGTTCATCTGCATGGTTACATGATTCAACGGATGTTTCAGTTTTATGGTGTAAACACATCGAACACCTTGTCTTGTCTTGATTGGGCTTATGTTAGCGTATCAGTTATGCTTGTGAAGTTTTATCACTTACATTTATAAATATCATTAAATTTTTGCGCTTGCTAAACTTGGGTCAAGATAAATGTACTTTGAGCAAAATTACAGTTAAAGCGTAAAGTTTATGTGAGTTGTAGTTGAGATAATATTGAAATGGATTATTAAATTGCACATTGATTGACATTAAGGCGTCTTGAATTGTTTCATTATAAAGTCGAGCTCATCTTTAATCCTAGGAGATAATGTATATTGAATGCGAGATATTTCAATATGATTTAATCACAATTTACTCAACTTAATCCTTTTAGCTTTCACAATATTTTTACATGACATTTATGAAGACAATTTTTCATAACTCTAAGTGTTACCCTTGAAATTGACTCGTTAGTTTAGATTTTGATTGTCACTCAAAAAGAGTCAACTCTTGAAAAAATCAAGACAAGTGAATGTATTGATTAACAAATCGATAGACAAAAAAAAAATGAAATAAACGATGAAAATAATTGAGAGTAAATTGAAAGTTGAATCTAAAGCAATGGCAAAAAACTGGTCAAGGTATTAAAGTTATGCTTACTTGGCTTCAAGAGCTAAAGCTGAAATACCGGCAGCAAGAGGGGCCGAAGCTGAGGTTCCAGTGTGAGTTGTGGTACAACTGTGATGTAAGTCTGTTGTGACAATTTGCCGTTCACCGTTGGATCCACTTGAATAGGTTGTGGCTAGAGTTGATGAACAGGCTTCACTGTACCAAGGAACCAGACCATTTTCAGTGGCACTTGAAATGGACAGAGTCCAAATTGAATTGGTATAACCATCACAGTTACAATTGTCATGTTCACGACCACCATTACCCGAAGCCCAGATAAAGATTGATCCCAATCCTCGTCGACCCTTCTGTACACCATCAATAAAGGCTTTAGTAGCCAACTCTCCTGGACCATCAACAGTTTTACCATCATCATCGGGTCCCCAAGAGGCACTATAAATGTCTATGTGATCACGGTTAAATGAGAGGGAACGAGCTTCTACGGCATCGGTAACATCTCCATCCAACATTCTCAGTCCTCCAACTCGAGCGTTAAAGGCAACACCAACAGCACAGTTACTGTTGTTTGCCATGGCAGCAACTTCCCCAGCACATCGGGTTCCATGGCGATTGGAGTCAATAATGTCGTACCGAGGAGAAGGATCGTTATCTGAATTGTTAACATCATAACTGGCTGCTGGATCGTAATTGGCAACTAAATCTGGATGATCATTTTCCAGTCCATCGTCTAAAATGGTTACCACTACTCCACGACCGGTAATGTTCATGGCCCATACTTTTTGCACATTCATATCTAATCCTTGGCCTCTATTCAAGTACCACATTTGAGTCCATTTAGGGTCATCGAAAAAATTGAGTCGACTTCTTGTTCGACCTCCTCCACCAAGTGGTCTCTCATAGGAATGAAGGCGTAAAAGATCACGTTTAGTTCGCGAATTAAGTTTCAATTGTTTAACAGAGGTAACAAGTGGTTCAGAAATGATAGTGTCAACAAGCGAAGTATTGGTTGATGGTCCAATTGAACGTTTAACAAGGCGTTTATGTTGAAAATGGTAAGCATTATCAATAATGTGATCAAGATACGTGAAACCATGTTTCTCCGCAATGGATTCAGCCATCTCGGGTGAACCATCAATATGGGCGACAAATTGATCCGTGTAAATGGATCCATCACAATTTGAAAATCTAATTAGATTAATAAATAGAAAGTAAACTAGAAAAATTGTCCAACTGTCAAATAGATGTAAATGATGGCGAGAATGAGAGTAATCACGATGATGAGAGTAATAATGATGTTGGTGTTCATGTTGAGGGTCACTTGTTTTACGTCGCTTGAAATCCAATTGTCTGGGATCACAGAAAAAACGATTCACTGTGGCATTTTCATTTGCTTTGGTTTTTCCAGTCAACTTGAAACTTTTGCTAATTGTTGACTTGCTTTTATCCAAATTTCCATTGCTTTTACCATGGCTGTGAATACTATTGAATGTTGGAAAAAAGACACTCGAACTCAGCATAATTTCTTCTAATACAGTAAACATGATAGAAACATTTCTCTCACTCTCTCTCACAACATCTTCTGCCTCACGCACGACACTCTTTTCACACTCGCGTATTCATTCTTGAAACTCACTAACTTACTCACTCCTCTCCTGAATAGTGTGAGCAATATCTCACTATCAACCTATAGACTCACTCTCTCTCTACTTTTCTCTAGCTACTATCTTTGTAACTCCTTCGTCCTTTTAAATTAAGGATCCTTTCAACTGCTTCCAAGTCTTAAGTTTTTTTATCCAGTTCAGAGTCTTTCATCCAAACAATAACATAATAGCTTATAACCTTCAACCTGCTTTGAAGGTAAGGTTTAAGGTTTTAACTTATGAAACTCAAGCTGGTGGCACTTGTTTCAAGCTGATAGATTGACCATGTTTGAGTAAAATGAAAAGGAAATGATTATCAATTGATTCCGGGATTGGCCAATGTTTTCCAACGATAATGGTAATTCTGGTGATGATGTTAATAATGATGATTGATGGTAAATGAGACTTTGATCATATTCATGTGAATGGTTTTACATGTAAACTGGATTTACAAAGATGGCCAAAATGTTGATACTTTGTATTGAAAAGTTATCCCAGAAACAATCTATTTAAATGATTGTGGTTATGTTTGAAGGGGGAAGACGGCAAGGAGGAGAACCACCAAAATAGATGTAGCTGTTGATTGATGATTGTTTAGAGCTGGTCATGCAATCGTCCAAAAAAAAATAAGATTTGTAATGGTAAAACGAATGATTGTTCAATTGTTGCAAGTCGATGAAACTTTGTGCAAGGTTGAAAGTGATAAGACATGAAACAACAACACCTAAAAGATGAAGATGATGATATGAATCCAAGAGAAACCAAATAGAGGAAAGTTGAAAAGCAATGTTGATTTTTTGGTTCAATTGTTTTGACTGTGTGACACAGAGTGACAAATTGTTGGTGGAATCAAATTTTGAAACCACAAAAAAATTCAATTTTTATCCAACAAATTCATGACTTTTGTACTGTCCTTCCAATCAATCAAAGTGTCCAATCTGGGATTTTTAGTTCTTTTATACTTTTGACTTTCTTTTGGGGCTTACAAATTGATTGTCTGTCAAAAAAATGTTTGATATTTTGTTTTATTGCTACTGCTCCTTGTGTGTGTTCAAATGTTTGCCATCAGTGGAACCGTAGTTTGTATAAAGATTTAAGATGCAACAATGTCAACATTATCTTTGAATACGATGAAATGTAAATCTTGTCAAGATGAACTGGGTCACAATAACAAGTAAGTTAATTTGCCGACCAAACCCCTTTGAATGGTTCTTCGTTTTCCTCTCGTTTCTTGTTGACTTCAATTTTCTTTCAACACTTGAGACCAATTATTTCCTGTTGTCTTGTAATTCTTTCAGGACGATCAACTTGTTTAAAACAGGTATTGAGTACTATTCATCTTTATTACTGTCCATTATTGTTTACTCAGCTTATATTTTAACCTTAATTGAAAATCACTTTCAAGAAGCTCAACACACGAAAACAAATCTTTTGTCTCGTTATCAGCTGGAGTGGTCGATGTCGTCTGAAAAGGTGCACAATCTTGAAATTTGGTCCAAGTTTCCTTAAAGTTGTCAATCGTCCAGCTTATCGATATACGTTTAATGTCACCGTGTGTCTACCAGCGAAAGTCTATCGATCCAACTAATTGAAATGATGAAAAAACACAGATGCAAGATATTTAGAAAATTAGATAAGAGTAAAATGTTTTATCATCAAGAAAAGGATATGGAAAGGGTGTAAATCATGTAATCAGAATGAAGCTCTTTTTTCTTGGCAACACAAGATTTACATAAGCTGGTTATGACAGCTTATGAAATACACGGAAAAAGCACAAAGGTAGTCAAAACATAAGATGAAAAATAATGAAACTGATTTTTACTTTTTCTCATTCTTTATAATAATGTTGACATCAGCACAATCATCACCAACAGATACTGTAATCACACATGGGTAAAAAAATCAGTTATATCTTAATTGGCACTTATATCACAATGGCAACTGATTAAATTGAGAGAGTGAGAGAAAAAAAACACAAAGAGAAAGCATGATGAAAACAGAAGATCAAGATGATTGGAGAAACACAAGGTAAAAATAACAAGAGTCAAGTTTTTAAGATGAGATTAACGGTAAACTTGTCGAACGGCAAGTCATTGATTAGCAAATTAATTAGAAACCAATGGGTTGACGACAAAATTTCCAACAATTCAGGCTGACGGTTCCTAAAAACATTGCCAAACAGGAAAATACAAACATGGAAGCAAGAAAAGGTAAAATCTTTACCTCACTTTAATAACTTGTTTCAATCTTGTTAAAATCTTGTAGCCTAAGAAAAATATAGCTTTGAATCACAGTTATCTTTCTTTAGTAAATAGTTATGGTTAACTTGACACAATAAATTAATCGATAAACGAACGGATAAAAATATTAAATTCTTTAATTAAAGCACAATAATTACAATAAAATTAATTAAACCAAGTTTTCACTTTTTCTTAACATTTTCAACGAAAAATGAAATTGAATAACGTGAATAAAGCGCCCTCTGTTGTTATTAAAATTCACTAAAAACAGATGATTTTGTTTTCTTATCCAATTGACTCAATTGAATTTGAATTATTGGTTGATTTGATGCGATTAGTTTTACTATTTTTCGGATTTGATTTTCAATTTTGTTGTGAAATGAAATGAAATCAATTATTCAGTCAAAAAAAGTTATTTTATTTATTTTCTAATGTGAATCGTTTTGTTTGTCTAAACAGTATGATCATTGTTTTGTTTTCATATCCTTCATGTTGGTTGTGTTTTATGATAAATCTGGTGGAATTGTTATTGAGAAAAAATTAATAAGTAAAAATTATCATGGTTCGTACATTACATAGTTAATTAAAAGACTGTTTTTTTGTTGCATAAACTTTTACAAAAGACGAAAAATGTAGTTATTTTGATGAAGATAAATGATGAGGATTGGCAAAAAAACAATGCATAGACCACTGAGTTTACATGATCAAAAGAAAGATTGGAATTGGTGAAAAGTGCCGATTGACAAAAATTAAAATGAGAGATAAAAGTGAAATACAGAGGATGATGAAAATCAAGGAAGACAAGAGTTGGATATTATGGTTAAAATTTGACTTAGATTGTTGTAGAAAGGTTTAGTCAAACAATTTAAGGATTGATATTCATTATTCTTTCACTTGGTCTCTTGTTTAGTGTAACGATTAATTGAACAGAGTTTCCTCTGGTTTCACATTCTATACATCAATAATTGACTTGACTTGATTAATTGGTAGGAAATTTGTTCCCTTGATTTTGTCCAATTTTCCATGAATATGCTTATGAGGCCATATTTGTCAATAAAACGTTGACCATTCCAAAAGAAGGAAGAAAAAATGCTAATGTTGATGATGCCAGCAATGATAATGATAACTTGAGCTGGAAGTGTTGTATAAAAAGCTTTTTAACCATAAAGAAGCGATCTTCAGTTTTGGCATTTGCAGTGTATATTTAACAGGAGATTGGTCAGTAAATTTATAGAAGCAATTCATCAGGCTTTTCAGTTCTTTCATGTCTTATCCTATGTTTTTTCTCTAGATGACGATTCTTTTCCAAATGGTGTTTGTGCCTCCTCTCGGCATCTCGGTGTCTCCTTTTATTCAATTCATCCAAAGAAAAATGTCCATCTGATTGGATTCTCATAGAATCAGATTGCTGCAAAGAAAGACAAGAAAAAAATATTAGTGTCTATTGTTTTCACATTATGAGTTTGTTGTTGAAAGATACATGGAAAATCGTTTTCAAAATATTGAATTACCTAGAAAAAAGTGGTTAATTAGCGTTTAAATTTGTTAGTATGGCAGGTTTATGTAGTTAATGTTAATATTATATAACCGATGGCGGAGCAACAGGCATTTTTGGAGTCTATCGGAATACAATAGAGATTAATCAAGAGATTAGAATGTGGATTGATAGATGAACAAAGTGTATTAGAAATACTTAATAAATGAGAAAAGAACAGGATGAGGAAGATAAAAAGTGAAAATAAATCAACAACTAATATAAAATCAACAAAAAATTGAAAAGAATGATAAACAACAACACAAACGAAAGCAAGAGAAACAAAAAAATCAAAATGACTGATGATTGTTGATACGAGAATCCTTCTCACCCCATCTAATGGCCTCCGATCACAACCTGGTAAAGGTAATCCATCAGGTCCTAATGGACAGACTTGTTCATCCTAATTTAATGATGAAATAGGACAAGAACGATGATTTAAAAATCATAACAAGAAAATTGTTATCAATATAATATTTTGATTTAGGCGCTTCTCTGTCATCACTATCTGTTATGTTAGTCTCAATATGGCGTTCTTGTTGGTTCTTTCTCGTTCTTAACCGCCAAAAATCATTCAAGTCTGAATTGTTGAATTTGAGTTTCTGTTAATCAAGACTCTACTGTTTCTCTGTCACTGACTTTAATATTGTTTGAAATCATCTATATAAATTGTTTATTTCATTTAAGACAAATGTAAAGGCTCTCGGATGGAAATATTGTTTTTGATTCGCAAGTTCATCAAATATTGAGTTGAACTTATAATCATGTGCATTTAATTGGATTCTAAGAAGCTTTGGTTGACCAATAAATAAACAGATGATCAAACCTGGATGATTCTTTTGTCTCGTAATCCTCGTTTTCCTCTCGGACTCTGTAAACAATGAATACATACACAGGTTGGTCATTCCCATTTTATCTTATTCAAAGTTGGGACAGGAATGTATTGAGTTTAAACTAAACTAGAGGCGGAAGCGATCACGAATGATCGCGAATCTATTTCCACTGAGTAATTAAATCTACCTTTAAAAGACTAAAATTCTTGAGAAACCATCTTCAATTAGAAAAAAATTCGGAGTAAAATCTGGTCCTACACAAAACGAAATCCAAGTTTGGTACTTTGAAAGTGATTTCATAATATCAAAAACCTTCGAACAGATAAGTTTTTATTCACCCAAATGTATGTTGTTATGTATGGATTCATACAAAGTGCACTAATTCAAATTTATTATAGTTTTCAGCTGCATAATGAAGATTCAAGACTGTGACTATATCAAATAAATAAGCAAATTGGAGCTGCTAAATTAATTTATAGAGTAAAAACTAATAAAATCTCTTGATTTAACAGGCTGGTGATTCAACGTAAAACATCGAGCTATTACTAGAATACAAAGGATCAAAGGAAATGCTTCAAATTATTCTGCTAAGTCAAACTGTTGATGTCTAAGGTACAGGAACTCACCGATGGTGCCGGATCGCCCTTTTCCCCTTTGGGGCCCTATTTACAAGAGAAGAGATCGGAAGATGATTCATGAAAGAGTTTGAATCAAATGATTGAGAAGGTAAGAAACTATAATAGCTGAAAAGGCTAATGAAAAAAAACTAAAAAATCTAATGAAAATGATTTAAATCATTCATTTTATAGCAGTGAAACTAAGCATTATGGATGAATGTGGTCGAAAGAATTATTTCTTCAAATTATGTCGAATCAGAATTTTTACAGTTCATTACCGATAAGCCAGGAATTCCATCGGTTCCCTTTATTGATTGAATCAATCCGTCAATGATTCACAATTTTCAACGAATGGAAGCAAAGGATATAAGAAACAAATAATAACATGAAAACATTAAGTGCTTCTTATGGCTCTACATTGTTTTTAACCGTCCACTTTTTGTGGTTCAAACTACATACCGGTAATCCATGATCACCCTTTTCACCTTTAGGTCCCATCTCACCACGCTCACCCTGATTTATTGGTTGCAATGGAAAAACAAGAATCATCGAAGTTAATCATGAGGTTAAATTATGTTAAAAGAGTAAATAATCACCTTCATTCCATCAAGACCAGGTGGACCCTGATTTTTGACCACAATATCATACATAATGGATGTTTTAATGTATACAAGGGATATTATTAATAATTAGCATAAAATTTAAGTCAAATTTTTTGGATAGACACAATTATATTCATGCAAAAGGTTTCATGCAAAGTTAGTGATGTAAAAAAGCATTGAATTTTGTAAAAATTTTAGTTAACCGTCAATAATTTGAAAAGATTTCACATTACCATCAAGTGAGTGTATCATTGAGAGATAGTTTAACATGTTTGAAAATATAATATCAAATGTAAAAATTTAATTTACGAATTTATATGTTACTCTTCGCTCATTTATACTTATCTGATTTCACATGATATATTATTTTCTATTTCATACCATTAATCCAGATCTACCCGGAATACCAGGAAAACCAGGCTCTCCTTTGATACCAGCAGGACCAGGTAATCCCATTGGTCCTTGGTCGCCTTTTTCACCTCTTTCTCCCTGTTGCAAGATTAAAGTAACAATAAGAAGCAACACAATCAATATTATCCATTATTAGGAGACAAAGATATTTGACAAGTGAACAAGTTGATGTATCTTTACCTGAGAACCTTTAGCTCCATCGTTACCAGGTTCACCTTTCATGCCTGGAGGACCTCGAACTCCTGGTTCACCCTGAATCCAAGTAAAATCAAGTTGAGAAAATTTACGTTAAAAATGAACTCCAAAAAGGGTCCAATAAAACATTGGTAACATTATTAGATGAAAGCTCACCTGTGGTCCAGGAGGACCTGGTGGTCCAGATAATGATTCAATCCTATCTCCAAAAGCCTCGTAATCTTTCATGTAACGCATTGCTTGAGGCTAAAGAAACAAATACAAAAGTTATTATTGAAAGCTGAATCGATCAAAAGTCAGTATTGAAGACAAACAGAAATTCAGAAATCATGAAAGCTGACTATTAACGTAATTGTGACACTTAATTGCTATGCTTATTTCAATTCTATTCATCTCAATAGCAATAGTCTAAAATACATAATAAATTGTGCTCTTAAAAATGCTAAAACCCTAACAAAACAAGAAATATAAATCAATTAGAAAGATGAAATTATGTCAGAAAAGTGTCAAAAAATTAATGAATGCGATGAAAACATTAATAGATAACATGAAAGATATATTTTCTCATGGTTTTGACAAGCAATTAATTTAAATGTTTTCAAGCATTTACGAACATTTCCATTGAAATAAGTGTCATACTGAGACGATTGTAAATACTGATTAACTGCTTAATTAAAGTTTAAATCAATTTCAACTAAACAGAAACTTGACATTAAAGAAGGAAATAAGTTTGAAGACTGCACAAGAGATGGCAGCATCAACAGAAGCATTACATAAAAATGAGTCAAAATGTTAACATACCACAAGATCACCTTTATCACCTTTATCACCTTTAGACCCTGTTGTTCCTGGTGGTCCCGGCAAACCAGGTGGACCCATCATACCTGGTGGACCAATGTCACCCTTAAAGGTTAAAAAGCAGTCGAGAGATGAAAAGATTTGAAGGAAATGGAAACCAAAAAAGGTAAGAAAATCAATCTTAAAAGTAAACTGAACCCGAAATGGTTACAAAAAACTGGACATCAACCATTAATGGATAATTGATGGATAATTTTGACTTTATTTGTTTACCAACAGATAAACATAACAAACCTGATGACCTTTATCGCCCTTTTCACCCGGAGGTCCTGGAGGTCCTTGAGCCCCTGCTGACCCATCTAATCCGTCGCGACCAATAAGACCTTGTTCACCCTGCAATTGGCGAGACAAGACGAGATGAAATAATGTCAAACACAACTGAACCTTTGATCCAGGATAAGAGTAACAATTTTACTCTTTGATGCAACTTGTTAGAGACAATGAGTTGAATCAATTTTCAAATATAATTGAAAGGTAAGCTTAAAATAATGGACATTAATAATAATCATATAGCGGACAATATCCCATTGAATTAACTAAATTTAGTTAAACTAATAATTAAATAAATACTACGTCCAAGCACTAGTTCCAGTCATTTTCATGTTACCACATTGGAGTCATAATTTCAACTCCTCTCAATAATCCTTTAGTTAAAATAAAGAGTTAATTTTGCCCTTCTGACCATTGTTAAGAATAAGAAATAAGACAGGAAAATAGACAGAATAAAGAAAGAGGAGAATAATTTTGACCATTTCTCTTTCTTAATTTAAACATTCAATATTTGAATGTTACATCCCCCCACTTTAGGTCAGTGGCACCGTCGTTTCCACGATTAGTGGACGAATAATTTAAATGTAACAATCTGTCAAGTTGATTTATTGAGCATTGCTTCCAGCTGAGTTGTTTGTTCAAAAGAAAATCAATTTTTTGATAAAATTTTATTTTTTCTTCTCTTTTAGTTTCCTCCTCGTTTCTCTTGGATATTGATTGATGCCAAAATTGAAAGGCATTTTGAAAAGCTCTTAAGACAATAAATAGACCAACCTGAGGTCCAGGTAATCCAATGTCACCCTTCTCGCCTTTACTGCCTGTTAAGCCAATGTCACCTTTTGGTCCAACATCTCCAGGAGGACCCGCTTTACCGGCTTTACCCTACAAAACCCAATTAGAGTCAATTATTTGTCTTTAACTTGAAACCAATAAAGGCAATAAATTGACAAATGGTCAATTTAAATAGACCAATTTGTTTTACTTACAACCAAAAACCAGATTTGGATTGTTATTGGTTTGATTGTAAAAAAGGTTACATAAAAACTTGATCGCAATGGTTAGTTGAGTTAGCAATAGTTAGTAAATGTTAATTGTAAAGTTTGATTGAAAAGACATTTCAATTCAATTATTATTGACAGTTAATAGGCTTATTGATGCCTTTGATTTCAATGCTTTTTTCACTTCACTTGAAGTGTGTAAAAAAGAGGGAAAAGGTGAAATTGAATCAACAAAATTATTTAATTTGATTAATCAGAAGGTTTTCAAAATTTTCTGATAATTAATTGAGAAAACGTATTTTCTTTATTTGCTCATTTCTAGTTGATCTTTCATTGAATCTAATTTTACAGACTAAAAGTGATGATTGATGTACTTAGCTTTGATTCAAAGGCCAAGTTTTAACTACAAATTTATGATTTTAAACTATCAATAATCAAGATAAATTGCTATAAATTAATAACTTGCTAAATTAACAGACAAAATGAGACCATTAAGGCTGAAATTAGAAGTAAATCTTTATGGTTTTGATGGAAAATTTGGAAGAGAAAAATTTTGACCTTTTCTTAACTATTTGTGCTCACAAGCAATTCAATATTTTCAGCCAAATAATCATGAAACCAACTAACGATTACTTCAAGTAAACATTTTTATGACTAATGACTTGAAATTGAATGACCAGAAAAGATTGAAAACGCTCTGATTTAACGCAATCAGGATTAAATCAACTAATAAATTGGAGGTTAAAATGGTTCTAAAATAACGAGTTTTGATAAAATTGAAAATAACAATGAGAAATGCAGGCAAATAAAGATTTTGGGAAAAGGTTAATTGTGCCAGTTAATGTAAATTAACCCATACCCGTTTGCCTCTTCGTCCCCTTTCACCTCTATCACCTTTCTCTCCGTGTTCACCTTTAGGCCCTATTTGACCGGTATCACCCTTGATTCGTGATGATTAAGGTTTAATTAATTTGAAGTTAGTCGATGTTAGTTGGTTAGTAAACAATTGAAAAGAAAGAGATTAAATGGTTCAGTTTGGTTAGTTTGGGACTGCGATCAACTAGAAAAGTGAAAGGTTAAGTAAGCGTTAAAACAAAGGTTACCTTGCGACCCGGTGGTCCAGCTGGTCCAGGAGGTCCTGGAGGTCCAGCAGGTCCTTCAATGAATCCAGTTGGGAAAGCATTGCCATCCAATGTTGTCGTTAACCCACGATCGCCCTTGTCTCCTTTATCACCCTAAAAGAGTGACAACAAAAAAAGGAATCAAAATTTTAATTCAAAGTTGACATTTAATTGTCTTCTCAACACTTATTATTGAAAATGTCAATTCTAACAATTTACAGAGAAAATGATTAAAATTCAAATTTCAATTTCAACAAATTTAATGCTTTGATGAAACCCGAATCTTTTCACATTTCAATTTTGTCCTTTTTTAGACGTTCACTCATCAAGCCATTTGAAAGCATTGGACATTGAAAGATGAAAAAGTATTGAAACAATGTTTTACCTTTGGTCCAGGCAAACCATCCTTACCAATAGGGCCTAGAGGACCTGTAGGCCCAGGAGGTCCAGCTTCACCTCTTGGACCCTAAAAAGTGAAATAACAAGATAAATAAAGTTGAAGAGCGTGAAAATGAAATGGCGAAAAAGATGAAAACAAATTTTCCAAATGTTGATGACAAGCGTGTAAATTGTTGATTATAAAGGTAGCAATTGGTAATGATTCAGCAAGGAATCGTTTGATAAATCATTTGAATGAAACAACAACTTGATCCTCACTTTGACTAACCATCAATCAAATGATCACTTAAACGTTAATCTTTCAACCTTAAAGGTTAACATGAACAATGATAATATTATTAATACACAATGAGACTTACCGGTTCACCAGGAGATCCTTTAGATGATTCAATGGAAATGAAAAGAGAGAAAAAAGAATGTGAAAAATGGTGAAAAGGTAATTTGATTAGTTGATTATGGTAATGATATGTGCAAGTTTAGGTAAAATGTGTAAAGGATTTAACCAAAAAATTACCAATTCTTCCATCGAAACCTGGTAATCCAGTTAGTCCTGGTGGACCAGGAGGTCCAGGTGGTCCAGGGTTTCCAGGTTCACCCTTTAACAATGAATAAACATTTTGATTAGTAATCAAGAGAAAACAGTTTTTTTAAAAAATTTACTGAAATGAAAAGATTGTGTAAAATAAAAGGTAAAAGCATCCAAAAAAGCAAAAGAAAAATGAAAAAAGAAAATGTAAATTAAAAGGTTTCAACTGAAAATAAACGATAATCATGATTGACTTGTAATTTCATTGACTTACTTTGAGTAATAACAAGTCACCAGGAGATAGAGTAACTCCTAAACTTGCAAGACCCTAAAAGGATGATTAGTTTGAGATGATTGAGACAGTTAACCAGAATCAATTGGAATCAATTGGAATCAAGTCTAAGTTCAAACTTATTTTCCTAGAGAAGAGTAACTTTCAAAGGTTTCAACAATTTAACCTAAAAACAGTTCAACATTAAAATATCAACCTTGCAACATTTTCTGACAAAGAAAGTCTAAAATCCATTTGGTTGATTGTTCATAAGTTAATCAAATCTTGCATCTAATCATGTTACTCGGCATTTCCTAGTCATTCATCTATCCATTTATCACTCCCTTAAACCATTAACCGGCAACATTTGCAATTTAACATTTCAATTGAATGAGAATTATAAGAAAAGAAGAGAAAAACTGATTCAAGATTCAAATTGATCAGTCTTCAGTCAATCTACTTTCATCTCAATGTTTCTGGTGCTTTTTGCGAATAATTAACATTTCTTTCGTTGAAAGGATTCAATTTGCGAAAATAACAAATGCAAAAAAGGTGACTTTCATTCAAGATATTTCAATTCATTGTTCAGCTTTTTTCTCCGCAAAATTGACTTAAACTGAAACGTTTTGATCAAGACATTAGCCACTGATGTAAGCCAAAAACGTTGAAAATTGAATTGAAGCTGTTGACTTACTCAATGTAACTCAACTGTTAGAGTCACAAAATTAGATTAGATGAAAGTGGGAAAACAATTAACCCTGTCAAGATTAGAATCACTTTTGCCTTTGTTAGTAAATTGTTGGTAAATTGTTTTGTCGATGGATCAACATTTAACTCAAAGAATTGTCACTTTGGGTGTTCTCATCGTTCATCACAAAACAGCGTAGGTATGAGTCTTTACAATCATTTGTAATGTCGCCTTAAATTGACCGTTTTGATTGAAAAGTAAAGAGAAGCTGATTGATGATGAACGACGAGATTAGTGATTTACTTGGCCAAGGAAGAAAAGCGATCAAGAAGAAGAAGAAGAAGAAGCAGAAGATGAAGATGAAGAGGCGTTCAGCAAACAATTCACAGGATGACATGAAGTGCTCAACTTGAACGGAAATGAATGCTTTTAGAAGATGCTTTAACAAGATTATGGCGAAACGATAGCTTCCATTAAAGTTGCAGTTAATTTACAGAGATTAGTTTAAAAGATAGTCGCCTGTAATGATCGGGTAAATCATGAAATGGACTTGAATTTTGTACTCAAACAATTGACAAGCTTTGAGGTTTGTACAACATTTGACTCCGTGAAGAGTAACTCAATAAAAATAGATTTCAAGATATCGAGTTTAAAGTTGCACACTTTTCAAGTAATGAAGATAATATCATGTAAATTAATCTGCAATTTAATGATGAACCCAATGAGCCTTATCTTTCAATCAGATATCAACCAACCTTGAGAGCAATTACTTCAGCATACCCAAGCGGTCCTCCTTGTAATTGGGTAACTGACCGTTTAACGCCACCCTAAAATGGTAATTGATAGAGTTGTTAATTGTTGTTGAATACAATTGGAAAGCAATCGATCAGAAATGTTATTGAAAAGTTACTTTTTGTTATCAATGTTTAGGACATTAAATGATTAACTGTTGAATATGGATTGGTTAAATGAGTTTGATGTTAAACTTGATTCAATGTTATACATTATTCAGGGAGTTTTGTTGTGTATTTGTTAGTTATTTAGATTGAAAGATATCAAGTTTACTGCTTACCTTTGTCGTTGTGAATAAATCAAATCCACTTTCACCCTGTCATGAGATAAAAATGGAAACAAGATCAATATTTCAAAGTCAGTTGAGATGCTGAAGAAGATGGAAAAGGGATAAAAAATGTCTCTAATCTAATGGTAAATGATATGAGCAAGGTAATGACGATTATAATGGGAAAAGTGGAAAATGATAAATGAATGGAAACTTACTTTATCTCCTTTATCACCCTTCTCTCCCTGTAGAGACACAAATCAATTCAATTTAAATTAAAATATCAATCAGTTCTGTTCTTCTTTTATCATAACATGGACATTCGTCCAGTTCAAGAAAAGATTTCATAAAAATGTTAAAACAATTCAAAATGGCAAAGAATTGAAAAAACGACTAAAGGATTGTGAGTTCCGTAGCGATTGATTTGTTTTTTGGCCAATCTTAAGAAGACGATTTCTTTGGTTCTTAGGAACTTTGATAAGAATTTTTAACTTTTCTTCTTATCGCGATCAAATAGTCGCCTAACATGTACTACTTACCGGATCACCTTTTGGACCATCAATGCCGATCGCGCCCTTTTAGATGAAAATAGAAGAGTTAAGATAAGAATAAGAATTGTCTTAAATTTTGAATAATGACTTACAGGGAAACCAGGTTTACCAGGAGGTCCGACAGGTCCCTGAGTAAAGAGATGAAAATTAAGTAAGGAATTGTAATCATGAACGATCTTGTAATTGATCAACGATTAAACAGTTTTGTATTAAAGGTATTTTGGAAAATATGAATAATTCTTTCAGATGATTTTCTCAGATTTAGGTGAGAAGAATAGAAATACGAAAATTGTTAAATGAATAGCTGCAAACATTTTGTGTCAATTTTTCCGAATGACAAAAGATAAGGATTTGATAAATTGACTTCCAGAAATATTGAAATAGATAACGGTATTCATTGGGAAATCTAATTTCTCATCTGATTCAATGATTGAATAAAATTGAGAAGCAAGAACGGAAGTAAAGATATAAAACTGCTTTGACTTGAGCAAGTTGATTGAATGTTACAGACAAAGTCGATATTTATTGGATGAAAATGAAGAGATGAAAAAAAACAATTTAAATAAACTAACAGAATTTTCGATTCTTAAAAATATATTGCAATAATTATATTAGAATTAAAGAAAATGAGATTTGCAAAATATAATATGAAATGTTACAATTTTATTGCCATCTCTAGGTAAAGATGAGTTGAAAATGCAATAACTAAACATTATCACAATAAGCTTAAACATTGACAGTAGATGATAACAATATCAGTCAATGGTAAATTCAATTGAACCTCCAATATTTCAAATTAGATTTTCTCGATTTCTTTCTCATTTTAAGCCAATAGACTGTCATAAATGGACACAAATAGCGATCAGATTATGAGAAAACTGTTTCATTCTGGAGAGAAAATAAGTTTTCTATTCATAAAAATCCGATGAACAATTTGCTTTAATTCAAGCATGTTAATCAATCCAGGCTGAGCTTAGAGACTCGACAAATGTTTTATTTATTTCGATTTTAGCTAAAATGATTTACTTGAAAAGGGTTGAAGTGATTCTTTCCTTCAATTTATTTTTCTATTACCTTTCAATCAACTAAACTTGATTTGAAATTTATCACTGAATCTGAATAATTAGATGATTATCTAATACTTACCGGAGATCCAAGTGTTCCTGGTTCACCTTTTTTACCGCGTTTTCCTCTTTTTCCAGGAGGACCTGAAATGAAACAAAAAGAACGGAAAAGGTAAGAAAAAATTGCAGAAAAAGTTAACAATCGTTTTATCAATTTATCCAATCATTGAACTCAAAAAAGACTGAAAATCAGAATGAATAACAATTGACAAAAAGCAAATTCACTTCGTGCAGCATCCAACAGGATCTTTATTGTTACAACATTTAGCATCATTTGCATTACAAGATAATTGATAATTCCTTTGATTAACTGGGAATAAAGCGAGTGAATTATCAATTATCATTGAGAAGGCAAATAAAATCAATTTGAGACACTTTTCCTCACTACAAGTAGATGGAAAAGCTCTTGAAAAAGATTGAATAAAGAGTTTGATTACTTTTTTAGGAACCTTTTGTTGAAAGTTTATCCACAAAATTTATTGCTTTTTTCACTCCAAGATTAAGTGTGAAAAAAGTGCCATTGGACTAGTTTTTGGAGTAATTATTTCATTCTGTTTATGCAAACTAATGGAAAGCAAAAAATTGGTAAAAAGATTGGATAAAATGGATTTCAACATGTAAAGCTTGTAAGCTTCTGGGATTATCCTCTGTTTGCTTTTGTTGCCGTTGTTGTTGAACAAGGTAAAGGTGGAAAAAGAAAAGTTTTGTAAAGAAAAAACAAACTGAAAGCTGTTCAGGATAATTGAGATATATTTTTGCTCTACACTTCAAGTTATTGTTAATATTGGAATAATAATGTTTTCAAGTTTTTTCAAGATACAACAACATCGACTCTTTACAATCACTTCATTTGAATTCATTGAAAATCATATTTGGGTTAACCTTTCAATGTAAGTGATAATGTTGTGATTGGTTTATGAATTTTAATTGAAATTTTTTTTCTCCAAAAACGAGAAAATCTTTTCTAAAGCATGAAAATCTGTGTCAGATTATTGGACAAAATTGACATTAGATGACAATTTTAATGTAATAAGGAAGGAATGAAAGTGGAACAGTTTGAGTCTTGATTCCGGAACATTTTATAGTCGCTTTTTGGTCTATTTTTAAAGCTACAAAAATCATCTCTGAGTGATGAAGATGAATTGGTCTAAAGATGATTAGGTGAGGCTTTCGTTGAAACATCGTTACAATGTTACAAATGTAATCAAGATTAACACGAGTTGTTCGGGGTGAGAGTGGCAAGGAATAGGCCATAAATTATCATCAGTTTTCAATACAAGTTGCCCGTTGTTGGCCACATTAATCAACAATTTACAATTATCAAAAGTGGAAACAAAAGTAAAGTTAATTCAGAAAATGGTTTAAGGGCGTTTCACTGTTTTTCTGGTACTTTTACTTTTAAGGTGGTGAAGATACATTTATTTACCTTTCATTTAACCTTGCTGCTTTTTTTGAAAAGGTAAAATTGTAAACTCTAATTGATGTGAATACAGATTGAATTGGATGATAGTGAGCAATCAGATTGCATGATACAACATGGAAAGGTAATGGAAAGGTAAACAAGCTAGAAATTAATGTTTTAAAATTGCAACCAAATTAGTTGATTGTAGGCTGAGATAAGCAAAGGTCAAAATTCAATTTTTTTGCTTTCATCTGTTTCTGTTTGTCAACTAATCAATACAATTGAACTAATCATGATAATTATGTGATTGAAGACTATTTAATTGGCAATGGAAATTGTTGATTAACCTTTTTAATCCGTCAATATTTCCTTAATTATCATCGTTGGTTTTGTAAGTTGATTACTTTTACTTTCAACATTTACCTTTGCTTCCTTCATCTTTAATGAATCTGTTGAGGTTTTGTCTCTTTTTTTGAATCAAACATTTACTAATGATTAAACGTAATAGGAATAGACTGTAGACTTAAGTGATTAGATCAATTTTGATGAAATTCACAATTCGCTTGGAATGAAAGTAATCAATGAATTAAGTATCATTCTCATCTTATTATCTTTAAACTTGTCTTCTCGGTAAAGACGACTGACTCAACTAATGACTTGGAGATTCACTTTATTAACTCAATGCTAATTGACTGGGCAATAAGTCGATCGATTGACCAGACTGGAAGAAACATTAAGATTGGTAAGACACAGAAAACTCAAGAATCCAGAAAAGATTGTAATGAAAAAATCAAAAGCTTTTAATCAAAATTAAAACATTTTGAAGACTTTTCTTTTTTACCAAAATTTCAATCTTTAAACAATGTTTTGCATCGATTGATTGAGAAGGAAAGTTTGACTCGGAAATGAATTTGGGTTAAAATTCAAAAATTGTTGAAACTTGAAACTGGAAGTTCTGAATTTTACCGAAAACTTTAATCTGAATAGAAATTGCAACGAAATTTTTACTCTTTTATATTGAAGTTTCAATGTGATGGAATTGCAAGAAAATTTTATTCCATCAGAATTTTTGTATCATTAGAACTTGTTTTTATTAATGGAAGGGAAAATAATGAAAGCTGATTGTTGGATTGATATTACTCACGCTAATGTGTTATTATTGATAAATAATTGTCTCTCTGTTATAATCAAACTCTTTCAGGTTAACATTGACTCTGCGATCTTGAAGTATAATTTGGCTTGTTATTCAAACAACAAATGATGAATTATATTTTCCATTCTCAACATCATCATCATCTTTTAACAATGTTATCTTCTAAATTTCAATGTTCATTCCTCTCCATCAATTCCAAGTAGATCATTCATGTCAGGTAGAGAAAATGGAAAATGATGAAAGAATGATTGATGAGCGCAAAGACGGTGAACAAGAAAAAAAGTAAATTCAAAACATGAATTTTGTGACTAAACAAATTTCGGCAAATCCAACAAGTAAAATGATTAGGTGAACCACTGATGAAATATTTATTCAAGTTCAATATAAACAGCAATCAAAAGTTGATTGCAAATGGATTTAAGCGTGAAAATATTGAGCAAACAATTAACTGTTTTCGCCATTTTGTTTGCTCAATAAATTAACAGTCAACTGATTGACATTGTTAATCATGAACCTTGTTTTCAGATTTTCTTCTCATTTCTTGTAAAAACCTTCATTCTCCTGGTTACAGGTTCAAGTGGTTTCACACAAGACGTCCAGCAAACACTCTTTACACAAAAGATTTACTGTAACTTTATCTCACCTCATATTTGCTATTTTCATCAACTCAAATTACAATCAAAAATAATGATTATCACCATCAACGGTAAGAAAGTTACTTTCATTTTAACCATTATTTTGATACCTTGATATGGAAATTCATTGAACCTATCAAATGTCAATATTTATCTGAAAGTTAAACCTTTCAAATCAATTGATGTTTCAATCAACCTCAACCATGCTGATGGATGGTTTTAATTGAATTTTCTTCATCAACATAAACCAAAGATTATGGTTGAAGAGATAGCAGCATTTGTCTAGGTTTGAAGCAGCCACGGGGTGCAAGCCACACCGGGGCAGACCGTCTAACCCGTGTGCTAACCAGTGTTTCACCTCGGTACTAGTCTTTATCCAACTTCGTGACAAATAGTAGGAATTTCTATTTTATTGAGTTTTATTATCTATCAGAGCAAAGCGAAGATTATGCTCAGTTTTAAAATTCCCGTTATAATTTATTGTAAGCAAGTTTTTAGACGAACAGACCGCAATGCGTTTAAACTTGGTATAGAATGTTTTAAGGACAAAACTTGAATGCATTAAATTTTCAAGCTCATTTTAGGCAATTTTCGAGAATTTTAACTTTGAACTTCAGAAGTCATTTGGACAACAATTTGCACTCAAATAACAATATTAGCGAAGTTGTAACATTTTAAAGACGAAACGCGAATGTTCACATTTACAAGGCATTTACATGATTCGTCTGATCTAGTAATTCTTTTTAATGAGTTAATTTTTCGTGTTTCTAGCGTTTTATCTGGACATTTGCACGGAATCAAGTTTGTTTCTGTCATTTTCCAGGATATTTTTGGTGCAAAGATTTTGATTTGGCGAAGTTTTTCAAGAAAATTTCATAAACTTGAAAATGCAAAAGACAAATAAGTTTCTGACTTACATTGAAATCCTATGAACATGAAAGGGAATGAAAACGAAAACTTGGAAATTTTATTCTTCTTGAAACACACATTGCAACATCTCTTCATAAACACATTGAACAGGTGCAAATGAATCTGGTTGAGACTTGGAAATTGCTATAGATTTGATAATCAATTGTTTCTATCGCTACCTGTGAATCAATTATAATTGTAAACTAATCCCAGCAAATTACCAGGAAAACCCATTAACAATATTTTCAATATTTATTCAGAGAATTAAGTTTTATCCCATGAAAAATGTTTCCCCCAAAATAGCCAGACAAGAAAAGGTGGTTGAAATAATGGCTAAATAATTAATATGATAAACTAATATTGAAGATTGAATAATATCCAATATTTAGCTAAACATTTGCACAGCATTTTTCTCTCCCTGTAAGATTCCCTGACATTTCAATGACATTTTATCCTATTGTTATCAAGAACTTGTGACAGTTCCATCAACGTTAACTAATGTGCTTTTACTGTTTATTCATGTGTTGATTGTTATGGTTTTCATTATTATATATTTATCATTTACTTTTTTTTCACTCCAAACGTAAAGATGAAACAAGATGAAAGATGAAGCAAAAATAACATTATTTTTCTTCTTCTTTTCCACCGGATAGAGGAAAAAAAAGTGACTGAATATCAAACAATTGCGAGTATATCAATATCATGTTGAAAAGTTGGCTAAGCAAAAAAGAATCTCATTTTCCTTGTTCCAATATAATCTGATTCATATTATTTGCTATCATTGGAAGCGAAAAAAATTGACGATGAAAAATAATCTTCATTGTATTTGGTATTTGACAAAATCTTGTTATGTTTATCCATCATCGTTTTGATGGGAATGAATTTTGGGTGCAAAAACTATTGTTAAACAGTGATTAAACTCGAGTTGTTTGATGTTTATTTGATTGATTTTTGTCTTTTGCCTTTCCTTTGATGAAAAGGATGA